TCACCCCTCCTAACTCATCAGCATGTCACTGACCTTGTCCCAAGTTAGGGCGTTGTTTTTAGGATGTCGTCATAGATGCGAGGCAAAACAAATCTTAACCCTCCTCCTCTGTTAAGAGAAGGTTTTTGTTTCCTCACAAAAATGGCTTCTTTCACCCCTCTCTCAAACCAATTCTTCTCCCGAGCCAGAAACTGATACTAACTTGTTTACGAGTTAGTATCAGGATTAGGGTGTGGCTTACCACACCCATAGGTTATAAATCTCCAACGCGCGGTCCGAGAATTCATTCCCTGAAGAAGTCCCCAGGTTGAGGACGAAACGTCGGGAAAACTTGCTAAGAAGTACAGATGATGGGTGAGAAACCTTCCTTTGCTTTGACTAATCCCTGTACGACTGAGGGCTTACACAAACTTTTTGAAAAACGTTTTTGACCTCAGACTAGGGTGACGGTTCATCTTTCAGCAGGACAACGACCCTAAGCACACAGCCAAGATAACAAAGAAGTGGCTTCAGGACAACTCTGTGAATGTCCTTGAGTGGCCCAGCCAGAGCCCAGACTTGAATCCAATTGAACATCTCTGGAGAGATCTGAAAATGGCTATGCACCGACACTCCCAATCCAACTTGATGGATCTTGAGAGGTGCTGCAAAGAGGAAAAACTCTTTGCAAAACTGCCCAAAGACAAGTGTGTGGGCCAAGCTTGTGGCATCATAGTCAAAAATACTTAAAAAAAAAAACTTGAGGCTGTAATTGCTGCCAAAGGTGCATCAACAAAGTACTATGCAAAGGCTGTGAATACTTATGTACATGTAGTTTCTTAGTTTTTTTATTTTTAATACAATTACAAGAATCTCAAAAACGTTTTTCATGTTATCATTATGGGGTGTTGTGTATAGAATTGTGAGGAAAATTATTAAATGAATACATTTTGGAATAAGGCTGTAACATAACAAAATCTGGAAAAAGTGAAGAGCTGTGAATACTTTCCGGATGCACTGTAGGAACAAAATAAAACTGTAAAGGCTATATTGAGTACAGCCACAGGGGGTCAGTAAGTTCATTCTTGGATGTGAGAAATGAGAGAACTTTGATTTGTGTTGACTAATCTGAAAGGATTGTACCATTTGGTTTAGTTTGGGGTTAAATTTTGCCTTGATCTAGTTTATTTTTAAGCTTTGTATTAATATAGCGCCTTTTACAGACCTGTACTAAACATTGCGATGGATGTCAATTATTATCATTATATATTCATTATCCGAGTTGAAGTGTTTATGGTTAAATTTGTAAACATGGGTTGAAAAGACCCATTCTTTCATTTTTTTAATGTTTTTATTTTTTATTTTTTCATACCAAAAGAGAGGCTTGTAACTGAATAAGACTTTATGGATTACACTTGCCCTAAGGGGAAGTTCTGCTACATTGTGAGCACTCATGAATGACTCCAAACGTATTTCTGTTGAGCGAAAGAATGACATTGCTCTATTGTACAAGAATGAATAAAAAAAAAAAATATTTCAATAATGAAAGATCAGATTCTGTTTGTTGTGCTGAATATTTAGCCTATTTCACGGCTTTGCTCAAATCCCAATGGGAACAGTTAAATTGATTGTGTTTATTGTTCTGGAACAGATTGAACCCGTTTATGAGGGAAGAATTTGATCTGGATAAAGATGTAGGCAGCGTGTGGCTGGGTGGGGAGGGTTCAGGCTTCCCATGGGCTCAGTCCGGTGCTGTCCTGAGATGCATGTCCGGATGGGTTTCCTCTAGGTACTCCAGTTTATCCCACAACCCAAAACAATATCCTCCAGCTCCGTTAGTCCTGACCATAGACTGATCCTGACCAAGCCAGGCATCAACATCTGGGGATGGGTCCTCGGGAGCAGCACCATTGCCCCTGACAGGTTGCCCTAGTGATGAGTTATAATTATATTTGGGACACTAAGGGGCTGGTGCTATGAGACTTGGGTGGCATCTCTGACTGCCACCCCCCTGACCCAGAAATGGATTAAAGGGTAGAAAATGGATGGATGGATGGACACTCAAAGACCCTTATGGCATTACTCATTCACTCAGTAGAGTGGTGTAAACTACTATATAGCCACAGCTGCTCTGGAGTATATACTGACAGAAGCTACTGATCTGTGGCTCATCGTCCATCCCCAAGCCCCTTTTAAGGCAGTGTGATGAAAAAATTATGATTATGTTGATACATTTTCTATATATTTTCAATAGTTTAGGCCAATATCTGCCCTCTAAAATCCAATCTGTGGCTCTAATGTTGTTATTTATATATTGTAATTATTGTTTAAAAACAAAACAAAAAACAAAAGGGAAATGGGTAATGATGATTAAGATTTTGATCACTTTTAAACCAACAGCAAAGTAAAGAGGCTAGATTCGCCAAACCATTTTCATGTGTCATTCAAATAGGGCATGTCAAACCACATTGAGCTGAGATATAATGAAATTCAAAGCTCGGTTCAGGTTTTTTGACGAATTTAACAATAATATTTAAGCAACACCGCGTTTCCGTATAATGTCACTACGGAAACCATTTGACCAATCATATTTACTCATCAATAGAGACTGGAGCGTCTGACCAATCAGAGCACGCGTTGTTCCTGAAGCCCCTCTGTTTGAAACCGCAAAGCCAGTTCAACTGATTTCTTTAAACTACGACTATAAATACTGGTAAATATATTTTAATGTTTTATGTCAGTAGGGCAGAAGTACGTGTGATTTTAGACGCTGTATTTAACGTTAACTTATTCGAAGTCGACGAAGCAACAAGTAGCTAGTGGGTCAGGTAATGAACGGGCTAGCTGAATTAATCCCCAGATTTGTTTTCAGCCAATCCAAGTGTGTCATTAGATCATTATAACGGTATCATTCCGCCTGTGACTTGCACGTATGTAATAGTTAAAGCTAGTATAAGATGCTATTATTATGTTTATTAACCAGGAGAAATACACTTTTAGATGCTCCTGCTGTAACGCTAGTGGCATGTTATTGCATGTGTTCTGAAAGCCCATGTTTTCTTCATCTCTGCTGTAGTGAGATGTCTTCTTCAGACGAGGAGGAACGAGCTACTCCTATTCTTCCCATAGACTCAGACAGGGGCAGTTCAGTCTCTTCAGAACTTCAGGTAAAACCTTAGACTGTTACTGTGCGGTACAGCACGGTACACGTGATACGTCTGATATTATGTCATGTAGCTACATAAACAGCACAGACCCCTAAAATGGGTAGTAGTATCAGCATACGTTGGAAAACTTAACATAAGTATTATTCATTGGTAATATACAACTTGAAGTAAGGCATTCATGTCAATCAACAGGATGAGTATGAAGAGTTACTCCGTTATGCTGTGGTGACACCAAAATTGTCCTCACTGCATCACTTGAGAACGTCTCAGCATCACGTGACAAGTCCTCAGACAAAGACTGGCCCCAAATCACAGCACCCAGCAGGTATATTATGTTGCACTGATATGTCCCCTGGATCAACTAAAATCACTGTTGTTATTCCAACCAAACAGGGGCACAGCAGACTCCACCCACACGGTGGCTGAGTGGATAGCACTCTCGCCTCTCAGCAAGAAGGTCCTGGGTTCGAATCCCGGTTGGACCAGGGCCTTTCTGAGTGGAGTTTGCATGTTCTCCCCGTGTCTGAGTAGGTTTCCTCCGGGTGCTCCGGTTTCCCCTACGACTAAAAATATGTACAATAGGTCTGGCATGTGCCTCCTGTACTGGCACCCCCACTCCCAAAAATAACAATTTACTACACCCCTGTTCTCAAGTGAGACCAGTCTTAAAGGTATATAGGAGGATTTTCTTCTTCTGGGTGAAGTCTGTTGGTCCTTCCAATTGTCAGTCATTCTGGTGATACATGCTCAGCAAATAAGACCAGAGAGTTTTGTTCAAAAAGGGGAGAGGGTGGTCCTTTCCTAAAATTTGGGAAAATCCTCCTATATACCTTTTTGTGCTGAAGATGTGAGGAAATCTTTCTGGAACCAGTTTGCTAACTCTGCTATAAATATTCACGGTTACAATGATTTTTTTGGTGAATTTTTAGAATTGTATCCCTTTTCAAGTTTCGGAGCTGCAGAGAAAATAAACTTGACAGTTCATGTTTTAAAACGTGAGATATTATCTTAAGTAGAAAACATATCATGAAACATTTATGAAGGGAAAAAATGTGTTTTCTTTTAGTATTTGCTCCTGTCCAAAAAATTCAGATGGTCTTTTTTCTTTTTAGACATGTTAAAATTAGATTAGGCCTGATACTGTTCACCTGGTTCATCAGATTTGTTCGTTTTATCCACAACTTACAGTCCCTATTTTCACCTCTGTAAGCAACCAGCTGCAGTTGTGCAGTGCACAGGGATGTAGCAAGTAGGCAGCATGATGGGTAATGATCTCTTGGCACCATGCCCAAAAAGCTCTTAGAGAAGGACTTCTATGGGCTGTATTTAATTAAGGTATTGACTTGAATGCGTTCCTGGACATCTGGAAGAGTCATGGTCATTAATCCCAGGGTTCATGGAAGTATGTTGGACAGTATTTTCCTGCTCACACATCCCATGCGCATTGCATTATTTTTAAAATAGAATAGTTTGGATGTAATAATCTTTCTGCCCTTGTCATTCTTCAAATACTGCAGTTGAAACTGAAAAAGCAAAACCTTTGAGTGGGAAATCTTCTAGATCCTCCTCTCAAGACTCGTTGAAGCGTATGGCATCCTCAAGAGCTGCTCCATGTAAAGTTGATACCCTTTTTCCCATCAAATAATTACACACATGTGCAGTTGGTTGTCTCATTGTCCTCGGTAACTGTCCTGTGGTGATAATATTTATTTATTTTTTCTAGTGGGAGAAACAGTCCAGAAATCAACAAGTATGGGGTCAGTGGTCTCTGAAGCAGGTTCAGAAAGGATACCAACTCCACCTGAGAGGTCCAGATCAACCAGCCCTGATCCTCTTGAGGCTGTTGTGGCCGAGATGTTTATCTCCGAGGAAAACATTAGCAGAATGGAGAATATCCTTGATATGTGGAGCAACAACCTTAAGGTTAGCTGTCTGTAAAGAACTATGTTTGTAAAAAATATGTATCCAATAAGTCAGTTTCATGGTTTTGTAGTGGTCTTCTACCTAAATTTGTGTGGTCAAGTGCTTACAATCTCAGGCTTGGTCTCACTGATATTAAGGTCCCTAGACTAGAGAGCAGATGAGCGTGGCTCAAAAAAAGCTTTAAAAACAAACAATCAAATCTTAGAAATGGATTCTAAAACAAAAATAACAACATAATTGAATTTCCTTTTTGTTCCAGTCAAGGAGAAAACATTTGTTGAGTCTGCTAAATCTATTTGAACTTTGTTCTGTCTTTAGTCAAACGTGCTGACTGAACTCAGGAAATGGAAGCTGGTGTTTATGGAGAAACACAAATTGGAAATGAAAAAAGAAAGGGATAAATGTGCTGCTCAGACCGGCACCCTGCAGTCAGAGATCGACCACTTAAAGGAGTTGCTACAAACATATGAAATATCAAACCAAAGAAAGGATGAGGTAAGGACGCATCTCAAGCACACTCCATTACCATCAACTATTAAAGCAGCTATACTGTACCCGATTCTGCAAGTTTTTTTCCAGTTTGAATATTTAGCACCGCCCCCACAACTCGTTCACAGGCTTCTCATTTTTAGTAACCCTCCTACTCTCCCCTACGCTCTCCTCCCAAACGACTTTTGCACCGGTTTGCAATAGCCTTTGTGCAAGTGGAGAAGAGCTAGCGTCAGGCAAAGTGTCTATTCAGCACTTTGCATGGCCTGAATTCATACACAAGCTGAATCAATGAGCTAAATTTTTCAATTAAATGACGGGTTTAAATACAACATGTAGTAATACACATTTTTATGAACTCATTAGAAAATAAGTCAGGTATAGTTCCATGAACACTTCAATCCTTTTCTTAGGTCATTGGAAACCTCAGCCATGTATTAGAACGGCAAAGGGAGAAGGTTGAAAAAATGAAAGCCTTCACTCAATGGAGACTTCAGCACATTGAAGTTAAGGAGGAGGTAAAGTTGTGTATGGTATATGTAATGTGGGCTTTTACAGTCCAAGCAACAATACATGTTTACCAATGTTGCCAAATGAAATGCTGCACACCTGCTCATGAAATTGTTATTCATGAGCAGGTGTAATTATGTGGTATTGGGGTTTTCAGGCCCATGATGCACAGGCAGCAAAGAGGCACTACGAGCTACAGCTGAAGAGAAAGGTGTGGCTCGGTTGGAACTCTCTGATCCAGAAACACTGGAAGGTCAACATGGAGCGTGCTTGTCGCACTAAGGCCGAGGAGGTCTGCGAGCGCCTGTCATTAGAATATGAAGCCAAACTGACAGAGGTAAACAAAAACATTCATGAGCACATCTTATCGTCAGCTTCCAAGAACACTGTTTTGTTTGGGTTCATATTCAGCAACGTGGGGTTCTCAACAAAGCACACGCAGAGATTCAGAGGCTGCGGCTGGAAAGGGAGCGTTACGAAGAATCTATGAAGAAGGCCTTCATGAGAGGCGTGTGCGCCCTCAACATGGAGGCTCTCACCATGTTCCAAACGACTGAAGGGCAGCTTCCATCTCTAGATCATCGGGGTCTGTGCAAATCACCCCTTTCTATTTCAACATATAAAGTATATGGTGAATTATTGTATTTTTGCATATTCTGTTTGTAGATCCCCCTCCTCCGGATGAGCCTGCCTCCTCTGCCATGGGCTCACATCCTGGTCCCTCAACTCTATTTACTCCTGTCCATTTTGACCACACAGAGCCTCCATTCAACAGCGAATCAGAAGACTTGGTAGGACAATTATTCATTTTTTTCAATCTAAAAATTACAATCCACTACCATATTACATTTTGCATTTATTTGGAATCAATTGTAGATTAGTTTGCGTCCAGCATCGAGAGCAGATGGACTTCCTTCCTCCACAATTGGCCACAGCTCTTTTCCTTTAGGGGGCACTGGACACTTCAACAAACAGCAGGTAATTATTGACCGGTGCTTGGCCTTCTGAATAGCCCAATCTGTTGTTTATTCCCTAATCTTTTGTTTGTTGTTCCCTATTTTTTCCCAAGGCTGGTGGCAGTGTAGTTCATGCTGGTCAACAAAAATGTAAAACTGTGACCGCTCGAATTACAGCCCGCAGCGACGGTGCTAAAGCTTCTGGCAGCAGCCTCCAGGTCATGGGCGTGTCTCCTCCTATGAGCTCGGTCATAGTGGAGAGACACCATCCAGTCACACAGGTACTGAATCATTTTGTGTCGAAACCAGATTATCCAAAAGTAATGGTTGTGTTTTGATTGCAGCTCACTGTTGGTCAGGCCACAGCTGCCAAGTTTCCTCGCAATCCTCAGAGTCAGCGGCCTACGACGGGAAAGAGAACACCCTCCGGAACCTGCCACGTGCACTCCATCAAAGTAGTGGATTGAAATACAGTATGAAGCTGAACATTTTTATTACGTTTTTATTTTTATTTATGGCTTTCAATCACTATTTTGCTGACACAGTATGTTTTAAATTATGCACAAATAAGAATGTACATGTTTTGCAATAGTTCATCTAGTACATGAATTTTTAATAAATTATGAAATGGAACAATTTGTATCACTCTGTATCAAGAAATTCTGCAACTCTTTTTGTCACTTTCAGGTTCCATTCGAATTATATCTATGAAACAAAGACATTTAAATACTTTGACGTATGTATTCAAGTAACATACAATATTTTAATAGAATTATCAGTTTACCCGCTGCCTTTTGGTTGTGAGTGAACACAAGGCTTTGGTAAAGTTCTTTCATTGGACTTGCATTTGCCATCTCCACCCCATGCAGCCATATCAGCAGCATTCTGTTTCCATGCTCTTGATAACTCTGCTGACCTGTGCATCAATCAACCCCAAAAGTGTATGCTGATTTTCAGGTATATTTTGAATTAACATTGCAATACATTAGAGAAGGTGTGAATGTATAAAAAAAAAAAAAACATTTAAAAGGTATGTGTTACTTCGTACCTGTCCACTGATTATCAATAGCCTGCACTTGCTGCGTGGTAAATCCCCAGTATTCTGCCAGTCTCTTCCACTGACCGAGCTTCAAAAGCTTATATGCTAAATGCCAGGCTGTTGAACGTAGCTGCTTTGTCTCGTGACGATGGTCCAGTTTAAACGTCAGAGGAAACTCGCTCCAAACCCTTTGATTCATTTCAGGGTTGGTCTAAAAGGGCAAATTGAATTACTTTGGCTGCCAGAAAATGTCACGTGCCATATTTAAATGAGAAATGAGTTGGCACATGTAGCATTTGAGAAGATTTGATTATATATGTAATTGTAATTTTCAATCTGTCAATAGTGTTAAGAATCACAGTTGTGTTCCCTGTGACTGTTGCCCTGGACATGTGTCTATGCCTTTTTGTTTGTGTTCAATGAAACTCAGATTTCACTTCACATTTTAACATGAATTACCATTTTCCAAACATCATATCGTTCGGCTTTGATGATCATGTCAACAGCAATCACCTCTCCTGCCCGCGCCGCGACTTCCAGAGCAGTTTTTCCTTGCTATGTAACAAACATGAAACATTCAATTACTCTAATATCAATTTTTTAATTGTCTATTCCGTTTATAAAGTACCTTGTCCTGCAATGAAAGGTTAATTCCTGCTTTTAGAAGCATTTCTATAACTTCTACTTTTCCCATCTCTGCTGCTATATGCATAGCTGTTTGGGACCACTATAGATAGAAATAAAAGTAAGCTTATTGGTCTCAATTATTGATCCTGTTGTTTGTACCTTATCTGCAGCATTGTAATTGCAGCCAGCATGAAGTAGACAATACATGACTGGAAGGTGTCCATTTTTCACTGCTAGATGAAAGGGAGTCTGCAAGTTCTGTGACATAAATCAAACATGGCAAAAATTGTTTAACATTATTTCACAGCACACTCCAAACGTCTGTAGCCATAGCTGCCCTGTCAAAGAAAGACTGCCAATCTGCTTACCTTCTACTCTACACCAACACAACACTACATGCACATAGCAATGTATTTTATTGGTTGATTCCACTTGAGATGGAGCCAACACCTATTCTCTGAATACACTAGAAGTAAGAGTTACCTGGTCTGAACATTCAGTCTGGGTTCGAAACTGCAAAAGAAGTCGGACCAAAGATGTGTCTCCTCTTTCTGCAGCACTATGCAATGCACTCCGTTTGTTCTATAACAGAGAGGATGGAACAAAATGTCAGAGTCGTGTACGAGTCTGGGTTTCTTGAAGCAGACACAACAGGTCAATAATAGTTTTGATGCTGTACATTTGTGATTATGTTGGGGTCACACTCAGCCTCCAGTAATGTTTGCACACATTCCTCATGCCCACGGTCTGCTGCTTGGTACAGGGCTGTTTCTCCGTCCTAAAACACAAATTCAATTTTAGAAACACTAATAAATTAGGGTGGTCTGTCTGTAGTTGTTTAATCAATAGATCAAAGGTTTTCCTTCTTCAAACAAAAGTTGTAGTACATTTTTAACGACTTTCTCTGGAAAAAAAAAAAAACAGCAAAAATCAGAAGCCATGGAGCAAATTAGGTGAATATTTTAGTATATTTTGGGGTGGCGACAGTGGCTCAGTTGTTAGAGCATTGGTCTTTGGACCTAATGGTCATGGGTTCGATTTCACCACAATCCATATCACCTTCTCCCACTGATGTCTGCTGTCGTTGTGTCCCTGGGCAAGACACTTGACCCACTTTGCCTGAAGTTCCCTGAAAGATCAAGGCCGTATCTGTGTTGAAGGAACAGCCATCATCCTGTGGACCCTGCAGGAGGATCAGTGAGGGACTAGTTAGAGCTGCACCCTGTACCCAGCCCCTCACTGATCCTCCTGCAGGTGGTGAGTCCACAGGAGCCTTGATCTTTCAGCGGGGGCTTCTGGCAAAGTGGGGTTACCTGACTGTGTCTTGCCTAAGGACACAACAACAGCAGTCATCAGTGGAAATCGTGAATTAGGTCTCGTGGTGGGCTTGAACCCACGACCTTCAGGCCCAACTGAGCCACTGTTAAATGATAATGTTTTAACTATTTGTTTTATATTGTAATGTGTGCACTATATTTTGCTGGCATTTTACACCTTGTAACTAAATTACTAAATTTGGAAACTATAATAATTTACAGGAATGTTGATTGATGTGTTCAGTCCCCATTGAAATAAACAAATACATAAATAATGTGACTTTACTGTACCTGGCAATGGCAATACAAAGTGACTGATGGAAACAGTATCAACATTAATTATCTACCTTATTGACTTCATTGCGAATATCGAAGCTCAGCAGCAGCAGTTGGACAGTGTCCCCATGGCCGTTCCTGGCAGCCAAGTGCAGAGGCGTATCCCCACTCTGGCAGAAGGCAGGGAGGGAAGCAGCTCGTAATAGTGAATGTTTTACTTTGAACTGTGTGAAAGGTGAGCCACTAAAAACATACACAGGGAAAACAAGCCGATACTTTAACAAAATACACAGCAATAAAGATCTAACCTTGTTGGGCTGCATGGTGCCCATACTGTAAGAAGAATCCATCAGCATCTCCAGCATTTCAACACAGCCATGCTTAGCTGCCAGAGAGAAGGGACGCTGCCCAGACTGTTTAAACATAACACATTTATTGATTAGAATATGGAATTATGGAATCTGGGTTATATTCTTTAAACTTACGCTGTCCTCTTTGTCAAGCTCCTTCATTATAAGGTCATTGATAATGTATTCCACTATTTCTGTGTGGTTGTTGATGGCAGCACAGTGCAAAATGTTCAGTCCCTCCTAAAACGACAACAGGTTTTACAACATTGTCCATTATCGCAAACAGACCTGGAGTTGTTTTTGGATCAATTCACGCTAATATCAATAACTTGTGGCACAAACATGTATCTCTGTTAAAGCTCCTGTCTCATTGAATAATGTTATCCCACCAGTATGACATCATTCTCCCTCCAGTGGTAGCATAGGGTGTTACAGGCGGAAAGCTATTTTTTTTACCCTCCATACTGTTTTCACTGTATATCATTTCACATTCTAAAAATGACAACATAAATTGTCTCATTGTTATGTTTACAGGCCATAAAAATAATGCATAATATTTGTTCTTTACTGTGCATTTACTTTTATGTTACAATATATAAAAATCACAACTTTACATTTACCTCGTTTTCAATTTTCTGCTCAGCCCCAGCCTTAACAAGTAACTTCAGGATGTCCAAACTGCCGAACCAGGCTGCTAAATGAATTGCAGTGACCCCATGCTATTAAAGAGACACCAAAGACATGTACAACTTTTGGTTTGAGCAATGAGGATATTTGAAATATTTAACTTACTTTGTCTTTTTGATCCACTTTGACTCTGCGTTGGAGGAGAAACTGCACTGCTTCCTTGTTCTTTCGAGCAACAGCAAAGTGCAGAGCAGTTTGATGATTCTGAGCCACATATGCATGTTTATGATGCATGAATTTACAAATAATATATATTTGTGAGAATATTGTGAAGATTTACCACATTTTTTGCATTTGCATTCAGCCCCTTTCCAACCACTTTCATCGTCTCTATGTCGTTCCTCTTGGCTGCTTCTATGAACTGCTTTTCAGCAAGAAGCACTTCACAGAAATATATCCATTACATCAATCAAGTCTTATTTGAAAAACAAGAAGGCGACTGATTTAGTTGAGTGTAAATATTCCACTTACACATTTCCTTGTTGTCAAAATTTCCATCTGGCTCTTTGTCCGAGTTCTTGTTCTGGACAAAGTCGGTGAATGCCTTCACACTGTTCACCCACTCACGAGGATCTAAGGTTTTTTTCGCTCTTTTCCAAGTTGATGGTTTCTCCATTGCGTAACTAAGGTGGGACTCGCAGTTTCTTATTGTTTCACATGTACACTAGCACCATGGATGAGCGGAACTGTGAATAAAACCTCTGTTGGAGTTGTTTCTGGGTTGATCTTATTGACTGTTTGTATTTCCTTTATAGCTGCAAGGCAGATTCATGTTTACTTTATAACACATAACCTCCAGTGAAAAGACTGGTTTCAGTTAAGAGCATATGTGCTATGTGCTTTCCATGTCAAACTTAAAGGTAGATATAAAGGATTATCCTACATTTTAGGAAAGAACCGCCCTCTCCACTTTTTGACCATCACCAGAATTATCACCAGAATTATTGACAATTGGGAGGACCAATAGTCTTGATGATCCACCCGGAAGTAGAAAATCCTCCTACACCTTTATGTACATTAAAGGTGTAGTAGGATGTTCTACTCCCGGGTGGATCATCAAGACTATTGGTGAAACAACTTATTCTTTGCATTTAGATTTTTTACATGGAAAAAATATGAATTAATTATTCTTAATAGAGAGTAATGCAGACTAGAAGTTGCATTTAATAAATTGCCTTTAAATGCCATATTTGTCATTTAAAGCCTTTTATTATTTCAAACATACGTATTCAAAAACACACCAGTAAACAATTGTTGTAAATAATAGCAGTTTATTGTTTAAATATGTTTCTACAAAATCCAACTGTAATAAATAACAATGTAAATTCAATGTCTTTACAATAATCGTATAATTAAAACTTTTAACATTAGGTAACAGTATTTCTTAAATTTTCTGAAGTTAGAATACTGTATTTAATCATAAATCACATACTTCATTTTAAAATCTAAAATTATGAAAGTGCAGCTGTTTCGACTCTGAAGCAATAATATAATATCTTATAATTGGCTACATTTGCATGGTTCATAAATATTCATAGCTACATAGTACAGACACACGTGTTGTTGTCACCTGAAGAACCTGTCAATGGTGTTGCGAGGTCCTTGTGCTTTCGCCTTCTTTGGGGGAGGGGACAAAGGAGAGTCTCGCCTTTTGCTTTTGCCTTTGGCAGCTTTATGCACAAGTTGATTGCTGACTGCAAACAGAAGTGAGCACAGGCTCAGGAACAAACACACAATTCAATTATTTTAACACAAAATATATTGTCTCAACTCACCTTTGCTTGTGGTAGTAACTGATGTGCGCTTTTCTGGCATTATTGTTTGACCCGCCAGTGTGTGCAGCACGTCCTGGTTGAGGCACAGGTCTACATGATGGTTAAATGCCGTGAGGTCATTCGTGTCCTGTGTTTTGCGGCACACCGGGCAAATGAGGACAGAACCTTTATTGCTACATGATTTTAGCTTTTCTGAATCAATATGATCATAGCTGTTCATAACAGTGTCTCCATTTTTATAATCCTCATGTAGATCAATCTCACAAAAATCTTGTTTTGAGACTTCGGTAGTCTCAGTTTCTCCTAATCTATGTCTGTCTGATATGTGGCACTGGACGTCTGTACTTTGTGAGCTCATTTGTGATTCAGAATCAGTGTTCTGGTCTGGTCTTGATGCAGGTCCTTTGAGACACTGGTCAATGTGATTATTAAAGGTATTTAAGTTGGTTGTCTTGACTTGACAGAAGCACACTGGGCAGGTAAGGCCTTCAGATGATGGGATACCACATGCTGAAGTGGATGGTTGGGGCTCTGGTGATGGGGAGAGGTTCTGCACAGGAGAACAATCATTCTGTGGCACCAGCTTTTCAGTTAAAATGTCAATTTTGCTTTGTTCCTTGTTGACCGAGGGATTTATAATTGAAGAATTTAATTGTGAGGTTGCTTTTTCAACTTCAACTTGCAGTCTTTTAGCCTGAGCCATTTGAAAAAATGATAGTTTTGATTTGTCCGACGTCTTTAGTTTATCCTGATCTTGCTTATTCGGCTTTAAAAACTGAGGTTTCTCCAGTTCCTGAGAAAGATCTTGTAGGGATCCACAAGGGAGTTCCTTCTTGCTCTTTTGAAAAAAGCCGATAATGCTTTTCTGTAGTGGCTTTTTGTCCTCTGTGCTGACAAACGCAGAAACTCGAACCCCTAGAAATACACAAGCATAAAACAGTCAAACTTGACTTGTATTCTATTCTTCTATAATCAAATGAATTAATATTCCCTCACCCATCAGTCTCAATCGAAGGAGATGAGGAGATACATTTTCCATTTCAGCTTTCAGCAGGTCCTTGGCAATGGCAAAAACCTCCTCAGCTGTTGCCACGGCACAGTGCACTGTTATTGCCCGAGTTTTCACTTCAAAATTTACGTTTTTTAGTTTCACTGTGATGGTTTTGCCCTTCGAACAAAAATGTTATAAATAAACTCCCAGGACACAGGATATAACAGATGTAATCATCCCCAAGGTCTGTACCTTTAGACCTTCCTTTTTCATGTCTTGTGCTAAATCTTCACAAAGCTCTTTACACAAAGCTAACTGCTCCTCTGGTCGACTGAGTTCTTTAAATGTCCTGGCAAAAGAAAAACATTCTTTCAAGACAGTGACTTAAGTATGCTCAATGTGTAAAGTGTCTTTGGGTGTCAATGAATAGCACTATATATGTGTTATGTTATTATGATTAAACTATGGTAAGATATTAATTACCGTTCAGTGCTCATGCTTTTTCTTTCCTCATTCCTGCAATAAACCATGTTGTAATTTTTATTTTTTTCCCAACAACAGCAATTTATTTAACCAAAAGTACCTTGGTATCAGCAATATATTTAACCAAAAGTACCTTGGTATGTATGTGGAGCCCAAGCCCAGTGATAACTCCATGAAGTGATGCCAGGCAGTCTCAGAGAACAACAGAGACAACAACGCCATCTGCTGTCCAAGATCAGAACAGTAACAGATGCCGAGAGCGTTGAGCATCTTCTCACTTACTTTACCAATGCCAGGAACCTAACACATATAAATGGTCTTGTCTTATAAACAAAAAATCTGGAAAGATTTAAGTTTGAGAATGTGGACTTAAACTGTACCTTGCGAACCGGCAGTTTTTGAATGAAGTCCATCACTGCGTCTCTTGTGGGAGGAAGTCTGTATTGACCATTCGGCTTATTCTTATCACTACAAACCTTGGCCAACATCATATTGGGAGCAATACCTAAAATATCATAGATTACATTTCAATATTTAAGTAATTACCACATATATATATATATAATCCAAGAGGAAAAGTCTCAAAGACATGTTCATCTTTATTTTCTCAACAGGGTTAAGTTAGAGGAGAGGTTGCATTCATTATGTTATAATGTCAGAGGCATAATTGGTCCTCGATAGTACCTTGCATACCTGTTAATTATCATTCATATACATAATAACTGTTAAAATACATGTTATAATGATGATGATATCTATTACCCACCTGCACTTGCTGTCAACTTTATTTTCTGTTCAATTCGGAAACGCATTTCTCTTACAGCCTCCTCAGCAGACGTTCCAAATAGTTCATAGTTTTTGCCTATAGCGGCTCCACCTCCACAGCTGGTAAGCACTGGAGACGAGCTGGGACTGTCCTCAAACAAAACAGGGGAAAGATCCTGAACATCTTCCGTTGCATCCATTTGTGTGGTGCCTTAAAGAAAGTATTACAAACATGAAGGACAGATGTAAATTCTGTTATAAGTTATAACTGTAAGTAATTGTAATTTCTTACTGTAATAGTGTGTGCGTGCCATGTCTGTCCAGTTCTTCCTCTGTTCCAGGTGCTCTGTAAAGTCCAGATAGGCTTCATCCAAGCTGACTGATTGGAATTGAGGATCATACTCCGCAAATACTGCCTGAACCTAAATGATTGAACAATTAAAAATATAACTAACAAAAGAACAAAAACTAGATTTCTTTATCATTGAATTGTCACACCCACCTCTTTACTAACAGCTCTATATTTGTCAAAGTTTGTAGGAACAATAGCCAAGTCAGGGCAAAGTTTCTTTGCAATAAATCCAGGCATGGCAGCTCGTACTCCATACTTCCTTGCATGATAATTAGATGTAGACTAGAAGCATAAAAAGATTAAGTATCAAAAAAACAAATACCTCAAAATATTATCATTATCAATAACTAACAAGCATGCTCAAAGAGCCCACGGCCATCGGTTTGTCTTTCAGTTCTGGACAGTCCCTCGTCTCAACAGCTGCGTAGAAAGCATCCATATCTACATGTACAATAATCCGACTGAGATCACGGCGTTTCTCTATCTCTGTCACCATTTTTTCAACCTACAAATATTTTAAAGTAACAGAGAACAACATAATTGTGATTGACTGAGGTTAAATTAGCATACATTCGTTGTATATGGTAGTAGTATACCTTAAGACGTGCCTTCTGCAACTGCTCTTCTGTAATTGATGCCTTTTGCTGCATCATTTTTTCAATTCGTTGGTTCACTTGCTGATCTCTTTTCCGTTCGCTTTCATAAAATCTCGAACCCTGTTGAATTGATTACAAACATTACATTAAATAAAGTAAATTTCATCAGGCCTATAAGAGAAAACAGGTAAAAAGAAACACATATTGAGCATGAATATTACCTTTGATGCCTCCATGATGATCGCGTTGATTTTGTCTCTGTCCAGACCTTCCATACCCGCTTTATTGTCATTGAGAGCCATTCTAGAGAGAATGACTTCTCCCTTTGTGATATCTTTGTCCATTGTTGACAAAGAAAACCTTTACTCGAAGTGCACTCCGATTGTAACTGCAGTTTGTGAAATACCCTTTACATTAGCATATATACAAATAAACCCATTTACTCTTCCAAAATTCGCTCTCCAGGGCTCATGCGCCGACATATTTCAAAATATTGATAGTTAGAGGGCACTTCCGGGTTCAGTGATTACGCAAAAAGGCGAAAAGGCGGGGCATAATTTGACCCTTAAAAAATAAAGTTTTCATTCAATTACTAACTTTTGAATAATTGTGATTTTCAAACTTACCTGGAACGAGGCACTCCATATGCGTTACATGAATTGTATATGTTTGTGGTTAACTGTGATGAAAACGCAGGGCCAGTGTAGCTTTATTTTGGTACTTGTGGTGCGGCCGTCGCTTGTTGAACTTGCCGCCTCTCTCTGGTACATACAGTCTATGCTGGTACCATAGACTGGTACCATAGACTGGTACCATAGACTGGTACCATAGACTGGTGCCATAGACTGGTACCATAGACTGGTACCATAGACTGGTACCATAGACTGGTACCATAGACTGGTGCCATAGACTGGTACCATAGACTGGTGCCATAGACTGGTACCATAGACTGGTACCATAGACTGGTACCATAGACTGGTGCCAGTGACTGGTACCATAGACTGGTGCCAGTGACTGGTACCATAGACTGGTGCCAGTGACTGGTACCATAGACTGGTACCATAGACTGGTACCATAGACTGGTACCATAGACTGGTACCATAGACTGGTGCCAGTGACTGGTACCATAGACTGGTGCCAGTGACTGGTACCATAGACTGGTGCCAGTGACTGGTACCATAGACTGGTGCCAGTGACTGGTACCATAGACTGGTACCATAGACTGGTACCATAGACTGGTACCATAGACTGGTACCATAGACTGGTACCATAGACTGGTACCATAGACTGGTGCCAGTGACTGGTACCATAGACTGGTGCCAGTGACTGGTACCATAGACTGGTACCATAGACTGGTACCATAGACTGGTGCCATAGACTGGTACCATAGACTGGTGCCATAGACTGGTACCATAGACTGGTACCATAGACTGGTACCATAGACTGGTACCATAGACTGGTGCCAGTGACTGGTACCATAGACTGGTGCCAGTGACTGGTACCATAGACTGGTGCCAGTGACTGGTACCATAGACTGGTACCATAGACTGGTACCATAGACTGGTACCATAGACTGGTGCCAGTGACTGGTACCATAGACTGGTGCCAGTGACTGGTACCATAGACTGGTGCCAGTGACTGGTACCATAGACTGGTGCCAGTGACTGGTACCATAGACTGGTGCCAGTGACTGGTACCATAGACTGGTACCATAGACTGGTACCATAGACTGGTACCATAGACTGGTGCCATAGACTGGTACCATAGACTGGTACCATAGACTGGTACCATAGACTGGTACCATAGACTGGTACCATAGACTGGTGCCAGTGACTGGTACCATAGACTGGTACCATAGACTGGTACCATAGACTGGTACCATAGACTGGTACCATAGACTGGTACCATAGACTGGTACCATAGACTGGTGCCATAGACTGGTACCATAGACTGGTACCATAGACTGGTACCATAGACTGGTGCCAGTGACTGGTACCATAGACTGGTACCATATACTGGTACCATAGACTGGTACCATAGACTGGTGCCATAGACTGGTACCATAGACTGGTACCATAGACTGGTGCCAGTGACTGGTACCATAGACTGGTACCATAGACTGGTACCATAGACTGGTACCATAGACTGGTACCATAGACTGGTACCATAGACTGGTACCATAGACTGGTGCCAGTGACTGGTACCATAGACTGGTGCCATAGACTGGTGCCAGTGACTGGTACCATAGACTGGTACCATAGACTGGTACCATAGACTGGTACCATAGACTGGTACCATAGACTGGTGCCAGTGACTGGTACCATAGACTGGTGCCATAGACTGGTGCCAGTGACTGGTGCCAGTGACTGGTACCATAGACTGGTACCATAGACTGGTACCATAGACTGGTACCATAGACTGGTACCATAGACTGGTGCCAGTGACTGGTACCATAGACTGGTACCATAGACTGGTACCATAGACTGGTACCATAGACTGGTACCATAGACTGGTGCCAGTGACTGGTACACAGTAAAGCGTGGCCGGGGCTCCTCCCCCTCGACCTGAATGAAGACAAGCCACTCAATCCTTCGCCAAAAGCTGACTAAACTGCGGAACTAAGAGCTCTGGCGTATTTTTTTTTGCCTTATCGTCAAAAAGGTGTATTATCTTCTGCTACTCCTTGTCCTTCTCATTGATAGTTTTAATGGTCGCTTGGTTGGCTGTAGATAAGGAAACGGACCTTCTTCCCAAGTTGCTGTAAGTTACCGCTAGCTTACGTTGGTTGCGTCGTTTTGACAGCTAATGCTAATGCTAATGCTAAGTTGCTAGTTTATTTGGTAGTCGACGCTAACTTCAAAACAAACCCTGTGATCCGAATAATGTTCCGTATTTTGGCGTTGTTGCTGTAGGGCAGTGCGCTGGTCGTCTCTTACTGACTATCTCTTGCTGTTTGGATCTTACTGCACCATGCCCATGCTTTAAATCGTAAAGTGAATGCTACTTTAAACCTGTACGCAGCTTTAGCTCTGTTTGAATTGACAACAATCAGTCCACGTCAAATAGACTTTGTACACGTGCATTTAAATGTCTGAAAAGAGTTCATCGTCCGGGTCAGATGAGGATGTGGACCCCGAGCCTGGACCACATATGGAGCTGGGTGGTGTTTTGAGCAAAGTAAGTGCAAGTACATTACTTACAACGTTACAGTTGCACGAATGTATTTCATATGTTTCTTTTACTCTTGTGATATTGCAGTGGACAAATTACATACATGGATGGCAGGACCGATGGGTTGCGTTGAAAAACAACACTTTGAGCTACTACAAATCAGAAGATGAGCGGGAGTACGGATGCAGGGGATCTTTGTGCCTGAGCAAAGCTGTTATCACAGTAAGGATCTGTTCTTCTATGAGGAACAATCGAGGCCTTTTATTAGGCTTTGAAAACAAAAACACCTGTGTATTCCATCTGCATCCTGAACGAGACAGGACCTGGCACTATGCAGTCGTGTGTTCATGTCTGTAGTTACCTGTCCCACTGCCTTAAGCCTAAATCACTTGCCTCACGTTTATCAAATACATGTAGCTAAAAATTAACTTTGTGCCAGATTACATCTTGTTTGCTGTAGTATCATAACAAAACCTAGATTTTATATTAAGTAGTAATACTAATGCTATAGCCATTTATATGCTACTTAAACTGCCATGGGCTTTCTTTGTAAACTGTGTACTGCCATCTTTTCTCCATTACAAAGGTTTTATACTTGAGCCCTTCGTATTGCTAACAGATAACTGAAATCTCGCACCCTGGTTAAACATTCACCCTTTTCTTACTGTCTACTGGAAACGACAAACTGGAAATTCTTTACTGTGATTTGAGCTAGAGGATTATTTGAGTAATACCACAACAAATCACAAGATTAGGTACATAGCTGGGCGCTGTTTGTAACATATTTTCTTGACTACAATTTGTGCTTTGCTCGAAAATAATTAATAAATCTAATACATTTCACTATCTAAATTCAATCATGGCAAGAATTTTATAGAGTCAATGTTTGTTTTACTTGACTCTCATTCCTAAGATCTACGGTCTGTGCTTTCCAAGACACGGTTTGGTATGAGAGCAGAGGAATGCAGAGACAAACTCTGTTACTACTCACCGCAGTCTATCAATGTGTGGATGGATACACTCACTGCACACACTAGTGAGTGTAAGAAAGAATTAAATGTGTTTCTTTAGCCTTTCACCACATGTACTTTTACAACTTATGATTTAATAGATAAACAATTTATTTTGGGCCTCATTATTTTCTTTGTTGCTATTTTCTCTGTTAAGTGTTGAAGTTTTAGCTGAAGATGGTTCAGTATGGCTAATTATTACTCAATTCAGCTGTTTATTTTCAGATAACATGTTTTTGAATACTTTTTTCAGTTAGGGTTTCTGAGCTGCTGTATGGAGGCAATGTCAGTGGCAGCAAATAAACCGGCACATGAGCGTCATTCACCAAATTTAATAAAGATTTACAATGTGAGGCATGTCAGCTGATGTTGGGGAGGAGAATGAGATGAATCTGCAGTCTTCAGCTCCAGTAGTAGATCATCTTCTCCCGCTCTGTTTTTCTGTTTAAATTCTTGTCTCGAAAGGGGAGATTCAGCGCACGTGTTTGGGTGCCTTAAGCGGTCAGTGATTAGAGATTGGGTGGGGTGTGTTGTGGAGCGGGGGAGGTGAATAGTTGGAAAAAGGTGGACTTTGGTGACCTGGATAGGACTTTTTGGAAGTATTATTTCCCTTGATTTTTGGATTGTGCCTGCATCTCATACCACATAAGCTTTCGCTCCAAATGCTTGTTTATTGTGTACTTTATTAATAGTTCTTTCAAACATAACATTATATTCTATGGTGTTGGAATCTATTGTAATTCTTTTAATGTGAGCTTGCTAATTGTTGCCCTCTCACCCTCACAGCCTCATGAGTTTGACGAGTGCCGTTTTGACATCAGTGTCAATGACAGTGTGTGGTACCTCCGAGCAGAGGACCCTGAGCACAGACTGCAGTGGATCGAGTCCATAGAGCTGCACAAGGTGAGAGACACTACTTTCATTCAGGGAGTAATTGTTCTAAATTACTCTTATGTCTTAATGGTTTTCCCCTATTTTGCTTGAAGTTGTTTAATTAAGTCATGCATTTAAGATCTTTTTGCTATCCCTCGTCAGCACAAAGGCAATACACTGTGTAATGTGTCAGTTAAAGTGCAGTGGCTAATCGGAAAGATTATTAGATGGTGTATAGTGGTTTCTTTGAATTGTAGATGTACTAATAGTATTCAACCGGCCCCAATAAAGTATATCTTCTGTAAGTATTTTAATTGTGGGGAACAGTGGTGGCCCTGCTTAAAACTAGATTCATAAAATGTATTTCTTGTAGTGGTTATAGATGATTTTGATGACAGTACATCATACTGAGCCTAATGATTGTCACAGTCGAGATTCAAGTATCGCACAAAACCTGAATGACAGAATATCACAACATGCACTTGTTTGAGAACATCACTTCAACTTTCTGTTCCGCTTCTGTGTGTTTTTGTTTATTTAAATATTTGTTTATATTCTATGCGTGTGCTAGTGAGCGGTGTGCAGTAGACTGGGTGTGGCAGTGTGATGGGGAAGCTTGAGCCCTCAGTCCGGGAATGTGAGGAATCTAAAAAGTTACGCGTTTAGGTGGATAGCCCCGGCATCAGAGACAGGGCCAGGATAGCTGCTCTTGGTTATGGGGAGATCAGTACAGTTCTCTGGTTATGTTGACCCTGTTTTGTTTATGTTCTTTAATAGAGACATTACATTTTCTCATGTTAATTTTGGCATAACCCTTTTTTGTAAGTCACAGGGTCTTAATGGGAATGTGCTGGTTATTAATTAGGATTTGTTTTGACTGGAGGTTATTGATGAATATTGATGGATTAGGTTTGTTTTAAAGAAAGAACACTAAGATATCCATTCTTTTTTTGTTTGGAAGGTTTCGTTTATAGTTCAAGTAATTGTGTGAAGCCAGGTTACTGTAGAGAAAGTGTCCTGGATTCAGGAGCTCCTGTAGAAATTCTTCTGCTTTGGTGCCGAAAGGGTACAGCCTTTAAAATATTGGTTGATTTCTAGAGGAAAAAATGTCTGCAGTCAATAATCAATTTTCTTCTTTCTTATTTTAAATGTATTTTACTTTAAACAATGAACCCAAAACACTATTATTTACAGTATTATTTATTAGAAATCAGTCAACAAAACTCTGCCTTTTGGTCTAATTTCGTTTCAGTCAAAGTATATAAATGTTCTAATTTTCAATAAAAGTAATAATTTGTAAAATTGCTCAAATATTTTTCCTCCATAATGTAAAATGGTAAATATACTAAAATACTGCAGATGCAAAAGTTAATGAGCTATAAAACATTGCATCAAGAAAATCCTGGATATCTGGATATCTTGGTCTCCATGATTTCCTTTTCTTCTTTTTCCCAACTACCACATTAGCATTAGCACCAACTTTGCTTAATCAAATCCACTTGGCATGCCTTAAAAAATCTAATTTATAGTTGCCTGTTTGTCAATTGGCAAGTATCTTTATAGATGTATTGCAAATCAAATATAGCATTCATTGTTCAATAGATTTTATATAAGATACATCATTTGTTGCTTGTTATTAAAATGGTAAATAAACACAGGTTCTTTCTTGCAAATGCATGTTTTAAATGCGATGGAAAGTGTTGTTACTTGACTTGGACTTGGTTGATGGTGTGGAGACTGCATGTGTTTTCATTGACAAAGCTGTGAGAGTATATAGGGTTGCTTGTGTTTGACCTGTAGTAACCCCAGAAGAATGCAGCAGAAGTGCAGCACTGCAGTGACTGTGGTGACTTACACTGCCCTCTTCTGGCCTGAACAAGAACTGCTTTTTGCCTTTAGCAAACAATCAATCTATGTTTTTTTGAAAATCATTGCTTGCTGGTGTTATGTAATATGTCACTCTAGAGTCCCTGGTAATATTTTTGTCTTTTGTTGTGTGGGTGTGTACTTGTGGGTGCTTTGTTCTGTGAATAATGAATTAGTATTCTGTAAACACCTTTCAATAATAAACTTGTGTTGTCCTAATCACGTATAAATATCTGATCCTGCTTGAGGTTGGTCAATTTTCTAAAATGAAGTTGACATTAACACAATGATTTTAAAGACTGTAGACCTTCATTATTCGCTCTCACTGTTGTGTTTCTTGAAGCTGTGCGTTTGGCTGCTTCCATCGCCCACCCATTTAGCACTTGACTGGGTTCCTGAAGCGACAGCCCAGACAGTCCTGTGCCTCTAATGCACATGTGCAGGTCCTCACAGGGAGGAGGAGAGCTTTTCTATGATGGATGCTGGACTTAAAGAGCGAGCAGAGGAAAAGGTTTCATGTAACAGGGTGTGTGGTCTGTGGATGTTTGTCTGCAGCAGGACTGTAGTGCTGTGAGTCTGTGTCTGACTTCATCTATGTGACTAAAGGTGGATTTTATCAACTCAACAGCAATAGGACTTTGTGGCTTTCATGCTTCAGCGGCCCGCAAGTAGCTTCTTATCAGTTCTATCTTATCCAAATGGATGCTCTTGCTGCTTTGGGATAGGCCGAGCCTGTGTTTTGTGTGTTCTTGAGGTGTGTCCGGAGAAACTGCCTCATTGGATGTGACTCCCTCTGTTGTGTGTTGGAGCCTTTGGGCCATGTTTAGGCCAGTGATCCGCCGGGACTGCAGCAGCGTGTTGCTCTGCTTTGGCTGTGGGTTTGGTCCAATGGTGGGCATCAGCATGAGCACGCTGCCTGCTCTCATTCATCTACAATGGCACACATCTTTTTATCATTGTTCTTTTTGCACGAGTTGCATAATCAAACCTCCTGATCTCTATTTTAAAGTGATAACTCTCTAAGCAACAAACATCCACACGCTGATTTTTCTATATTAAAAACATTGTTACATAATAGGTTTTGAGCTCAGCTTTCTCACATTTGGCTAACTGTTGTACCAGGAGGACATCAAGATGACTACATTCTGCATGTAACACAATGGCAATTTATTGTGGTTGTTTTTTATTTATACCACACCGTTGCATCGTATGTCCACTTCAAGTCTAAAAGCAATTTGTAATGAGTGGAAACTATAAATCTTGTTATTTGTCTAACCAGAAAGTGCTGGTCCTCTTCTGTTCCAGGCAGAGTCTGGTTATGGCTCTGAAAGCAGTCTGAGACGTCATGGTTCGATGTTGTCACTTACATCTGCAGCAAGTGCCTTATCTGCCACCTCCTCATCCTCTTTTAAGGTATTTCTTCTGACCTACACTACTCATGGTTTTTTAAAATGCAACATACAAATAAAATTGACTTTTTATTTTACAACCAAATGTTTTCTAAATGAAGCTTGTGTTTTGTTTGCTCAGAAGGGTCACAGGTTGCGTGAGAAACTGGCAGAAATGGAAACGTTCCGGGATATTCTCTGTCGTCAAGTGGACACGCTGCAGAAGTATTTCGATTCCTGTGCCGATGACGTCTCTAAAGATGAATTTCAAAGAGATGCAGGTGACAAATGTCCTGATTCAGTCAACCGCTGTTGAAATCTGTTCTGACGCCTTGTTTGTTTAAATAGTTGAAGAGGATGAGGATGAAGAGGACTTCCCCGCCGCATCAAGAACCGATGCTGAATGTAACCATAACAACAATGGCAGCAAAGAGAAATGTGAGGATACAAATAACAGTCCCTTGATTATACCGCATATGAATGATTTATTTATTGGATCATTCTTTGTTCCCAGTGTTTCCTCCGGCCTGTCCCAAAGATATGAATGGTATTGATTTTAAAGGCGAAGCCATTACCTTCAAAGCCACCACGGCAGGCATCTTGTCCACCTTATCCCATTGTATAGAGCTCATGGTGAAACGGGAGGACAGCTGGCAGAAGAGACTAGATAAGGTATTTTAATTCAAGTATAAATAAATCAATGTAGTGCGAAGGGGCTTTCTGATCGGAATATCAGCGCTTCAGAGTTGTGGAAAAAGCTCCTTACAGACCAGAGTTCACACATAGTACTCTTTGGTCACAAATAAACATCAATGTGAAGGATGGAGTTTTTTTCAGGACTTTCTAACCGTTTATGCCTTTGCTGTTAGATCTTATCTTTTTTTTCACCCACTGCTCTGCTTTTTCATCCCTGCACAGTTGGAATTCAAACAGATTTGTTAATAAGAAGTCATTTAAATTCGTTGAGGATGTTGAAATATGCTTTTTTTTTTTTTTTGGGTCAAAGGCATTGTCACACGGCTTGTGATTTGTTTCCTGATACTCAGATAAGGTACGACAATCACAGACAGTTTGACAATAGATATCGCCGTCACGATTCCTAAATTACAGCTGCGGAGGGTGTCTTTCCTAAATGGTTTTGTCGTACCAGACAGGAGAGACGCCCATTATTACACTGTTGTCATACTGTGGAAAGTTCATAGCTAGTTGTATCATTGAACATCTTCTAGCAATTCTCTTCTGTGCTATAATATTGTGTTTATTTATTGTCACCTGTGAGTTTCAGAGAGTATTCCGCAGACGATTTACTATTTTCTAAACAATGTGATAGGTCTGCTCTCATACTTGTTTCGTCATAAAACTTCCCTCGTGTCTGATGTCGCCAAACCAGTTTCTTTGCCTCTCTTGTATGAAGGAGTGCTGCCCAACCCTAAACACACAGACAAATGCTTGGTAAAAGTAGTTTAGCTTTATCTGTAGTCTGAAGTCGAACCGCTGATGTGGAAAGACCCTTATCCACTTTGAAAATGACTTCTTGGCGGAGTCTGTTGAAGCCGTCTGCAAACTCTGTAAAATGGAGGAAAGAGTCTCTCAAATGCCAGGCTCAGAACTGGATACCTCTTCAGACCTGCAGCCGCTTCTTTAAAGTAGGTCTCTCAAACTGTTGGTCCTAGACAAAATGTGTGTGTCGCATCTTGATGTTTTAGTTAGTTTGGCTGTGTATTTGGCTCCAATCACCTTTTTGTTTCAACAAATCTCAATTCATTGCTTTAGTTTAACTTTGTTTTGTTCAAAGTCTACAGGCTTATTTGGTGATTTCCAAGAGTATTTTCTCATTTAATCTGAAGAGCAACCGAGTAACAACGCTGGATAAATGTTGTTGAAAACCACCCACAGATTAACAATGTGGTGTTTTCTTCTTCCCTCTAGCTGCTCGGTCTGTCGCCTGAGCTTTCATTAGAAAGAAAATCATATCTATCCCATGTTTTGGCAAATAGAATCAAATATTTTTTTAATGATTTTATGTTTGATGACCCAAATATCAACCTTTTTATTGTCTTAGGAGCTGGAGAAAAGGAGGCGACTAGAAGATGCCTACAAGTGCATGATGAACGAGATGAAGAAGAAGTCTCATTACGGAGGACCAGACTATGAGGCAAGAGCGAAGTGTGCCTTCTCCTCTCCACCCTTCAGTGTCTGACATTTGTCCCTGCTCACAGGAGGGGCCCAACAGCCTTATTAATGAGGACGAGTTCTTTGATGCAGTGGAGGCGGAGTTGGACAGACAAGACAAGATAGATGAGAAAGTAAGTGATTTCCTTGTATCATGTATTTAAACAATGGCCATCAAATTTGCTGAGAAGTAACCATTAGGAAGTACAGAGGATCACACTTTGGTCAACTGGACCCTCACAAAGTCAGATCTGTTGGACTTCCTCGTATGACAAATGGACCAGTTATTGTGATTGGATTTCTGATTATTTTGTGAATATGTGAAATCAAGAGTTCACATGTTTTGGACCAAATGTGAACTTAGTAAATCATATTTGTTGTCAATCAATGCCTTTATTTGATGGTGCAGTTCATCTTCACCGTCTCATGTTCAGCTTGATTTATGAAATGTAAATGTTTTAAGTAAATATGAATAACTGTTAAGTATTTTTACACAGAGCCACTCTGAGAAAGTCAGACGAATTACTCCGGCTCCCGCTGCTGACCCATATTCCACGATCGGCACACATCGGTTATCTGCCAAGGTGCTTCTTAATCTCTCTGAGCATCTGTTTGTAATGTGTGTGTTCAAATATTGAAATGATCTTCTGTTGAGGAACTTTAATCTTTAAATTGAAAAAATCCATGTGAAGTGACTGCTTACAAAACACAACCTTCTTATATTCTGTCCTTTCTAAATGCTTGTTTGTTTGTCTCTCTCTGCTGTTCAGCCTCATAGCTTTTCCTCCTCCCTGTCCTCCGTTGAGTTATTCAGTGCCTCAGATGACATTCACAGATTCAGCGCACAGGTACAGTCACAGAGAGGCTCTCGTCAGTCACAATGAGATGCCACTGCCCACGATTCCCCCAGACTCTAACCAGCGCATGTGCAGAACACTTGACAACGCTCACTAACCAGTCCCTCCAGGATTTCGATCAAAGCTTCCAGTGTCCTTTTGCAGTCGGTTGCTGGTTGTCTGGCTGTAATCCTGCAGTGACTAAAGCTTCATTAACATTATATTAACCACGGTAGTTTATTGGCGCATGAATGTAAAAGCGTATCTCTAGTCATCCTCCATGTGTTATGCTGGTTGCGTTCCTTTCTGAGCTTTAAACTCACAGAACAGGTTTAATGCTTTGACATTGTTGTTGTGAACCCAGACAGACATACTAACAAAAAATACTCAGGCCATGTCAAAAAGGACACATTATAAAAAGCCTAAAACAACGGTTCTTTGCACATACTTGAACCACACCTACCCCTAACATTTGCATGAATTAAGATGAAAGGCAGTGAAATGACGTATAATGAAAGTAAAACAATAGAAACTTGCTGGCCTAGTTATTTTTTTCCTTTTGTACCGACAACCCTCAGTTTGTCACATGTCATCCAGAGCAGAAGAACATGTTTTCAGTTTTGTTGATGAAGCTGATTTGGACTTGTCTCAGGTGGAGGAGATGGTGCAGAATCACATGACTTACTCGCTTCAGGACATGGGTGGTGATGCCAACTGGCAGCTGGTCATAGAGGAGGGAGAGATGAAGGTGATGCACGAGAACCTAATCTTTTTGCGATGAAGAAACACTTACTTTTCTTTTGGTTTTTCATTGGTAGGTTTACAGAAGAGAGGTGGAGGAAAATGGCATTGTTTTGGATCCTCTGAAAGCAACCCACTCTGTGAAAGGTGTCACTGGACATGAAGTTTGTCACTACTTCTGGGACACTGCTGTTCGAATGGACTGGGAAAGTAAGGCCCCATGTCAATTAACAATATGACCTGATTGGGTTAGTTTTAACCTCTTTTTGTTACAGCCACCATAGAAAATTTTAACGTCGTGGAAACGCTATCAGATAATGCAATCATTGTGTATCAGACGCATAAGGTACACTTTTTCAATATGGTTTTATTGCAAACTGCACATCTCTGCCTTTTGATGACTTCACTGGCTGTGCTTTCAGAGGGTATGGCCTGCCTCTCAGCGAGACGTGCTTTACCTGTCAGCAATCAGAAAAATCCTGGCGACAAATGAGAATGATCCAGACACGTGGCTTGTTTGTAACTTCTCTGTGGATCACGATAATGCCCTTGTAACTATACTCATGTATTCTATCAAGGGTCTTTTGACTTTTTATTCAGGAATAACTTTTTTTTCTTTCAGCCAACCAACCGCTGTGTTCGTGCCAAAATCAATGTTGCCATGATCTGTCAAACACTTGTCAGTCCACCAGAGGGAGACAAAGAAATCAGCAGAGACAACATTCTCTGTAAAATCACCTATGTTGCCAACGGTGAGATATTAGTGCATATAAAGTAGTAGAAAGTAAGGTTACTATGAATTATACTTAACTGTTATGTTAAGTATATACTTATACTTATATACAGATTAAGTATGTGTGTTGAAATAATCCAGTGTATATTGTCTTTGGATACAGTGAACCCTGGTGGCTGGGCTCCAGCCTCAGTACTCAGAGCAGTGGCCAAAAGAGAATACCCAAAGTTCCTCAAACGCTTCACCTCCTATGTCCAAGAAAAAACTGCTGGGAATCCCATCCTATTCTAAAGACAAGGTAAAATCTGATAAATTTAAGTATGTTAAACTTGTGAATGACACTATTGGATTTACAGCAGAAGTGAGAATATGTTTGACTTGTCTTCCAGACTTTGAAAAGGCGTCATCACCAGAGTCTCGATATCTGCTTCTAGAAGATGATATGGGTTTAATTCATCCAGGCCGTTTTCTATCGAGTTTCTAAATGTGTTTTGACTGGTTGCTACCACTGTTTGCGTTTGTAAATTGTTTTGTATATTTTATATAATTATAAACATATTGAATTTGGGGTTCAATTTAATCATTAGTATTTCATCGATCTGATTTGCTGCTAAAATAACTACTAGAGAAGTAACCTGAAGTGTCCATGTAGAGGCAAACTGTCACTTGCCGTGTTCAATGTCTCCAGTGACTAGTTTTCCTGGAGGTTTAAGAGTGAGGACATGAGGACACAACACTGAATAGATTCATCAGTGTGAAATGTGAATTGACTGTTAAATGCTTGAACTTGTAGACAGTAGTGGACTAAGAAGGCCTGGGCAGAATATTTAAGATGAAACCCCATTTATAAATTAATGATTTGGTGCTAGATCAATTGCGTCTTAAAAGAAAATCATAACTTTTTGCCCAGGTTCTTCTTATCCATGAAATGGAATTTCCGTTTTTATATTATTTGTGTGCGACTGAACGGCTCTCCTGTTGTCAGGCAGGATTATTAAAGTTGTAATGTGGAAAATGCCTAACCACAGTAACATTCAGTCGTAGTGTAAACATGGCTGATAGAATGCCCCTAATGCCTTAGACGCCAGGTTCCACACGGAGCCCGGCTTACACACTAACGTGCTTTTAAGAGCTACGTCATGAGCGAGGACATTTCACTTCACCTTACCTCATTTGCATAATGTGTGCTGCTTTCCCCTTTAATCTGGGGGCTCTACATCACTGGCGATCATCACACGCTTAATCAGCTGTGATTTTGTAACATTTTTGTTCATAACTACATGGATTATGAGCTATCGCAGTTAGCATTTTACATTTATGTATAGGCTACACATCTTATCAAATTTCTACTTCAGACGTATTCTTTGCACTAAATGTTCAGTTTGATCATAATCTGTAAATTAAAATTGTTAAACAAATTTTCTCGAGTTTTAAGTATGAAATAGATGGAAGATTCAACAGCGGTTGGGTCATAGTTTATTTATATCCTCTATAAATATGTTGTATACATTCAAAGATTTAAGATTAAGAAAATGTAGTAAAATTTACAGAATAAATTATTGTCTGCACTGATGGACATAAGCATTAGCCATGGCCTTGAGAGTCTGTCTCTTAATTGCTTGAAGAGGACATGCTAGATATCCTGAGAAAAAGCATGACATATCAAAATAATCTACGATGCTCCTTCAAAGTATGAAAACAACCATTTGTAAAGTAAAAGTGCATTGTAACACACCCAAAATGTGCTTGTTTACCCCACCAAAGCAATTAACTCAATTATCTTATCTTACAGTTGAGTGGAGTCAAAAGTGCTTTTTGTTAAGAGCAAATAGGTCCTTCAGTCCATTCTGCAGTAACTGGACTCGCTATGAAGTCAAAAGTCTGGATTGAATGACAATAAAAGGTGAATGAAATCCAGCACAAGAAAGTGGAGCCGTGGGAACGAGACCTGCTTTCACATGAGTCCGATTTGGCCTCGATTTTGAACTCCACAGAGTCCAATCAGCTCATCTCTTCTTTTGGCATTATCAGATGTGCTTCTGTTCCGATTGTACACGTGGACTCAGGCAATCATCCAATCACTGTAAACCTTTGTGGACAGATGATGAAAGCGGCTGTAAACTCTAAAGTGTCTTTCATTCCTCTCAGGTCAGCAGGAAAACGATAAGAAATGCATACTGTAACAGTTACAGTACAGTTGAACCTCCGCCGTATAAACATACACATATAAAACTTAATGGCACAGAGTAAATGCATGCTCTAAAAGCTTTTTCGGCTCATTCAGTATAATGGAATGTCACTAAGGTTCATATAGCCGTGGATTATTTCTTTAGTCCACTAAAATATTTTCTCTCTTGGCTAAAAAAAAAATAGTGGCAACATGAGTCTAGCAGCACTGGAAATTGAGACACTGGTCTTCATGATGACATGCAGATTGTCTGATGATGGGCTAAAGACGGAAGGACAGATGGAGAATGTTCACTGTAAGAGACAATAAGGAATAGGTATTAATGCCCCTCAAAGTATTCAGAGATAATTAGAGGAGATGAGACTCACCAAGTAGACATCCAGAACCGATCCATCATCTCTGTCGATGTCCACGTCCATGGTGCTCTGCTCTGAGGTCAGGCAGATGGCGCTGTCCTCCAGCGTGAATGTGGAGCTGGACCCAATATCATCTCTGAGAGACATTTATTTTTTTTCAACTTTTTTTTCAACTTTTAGTGTACACACCTTTTATGTTATTTCATAGTATAACATTATTTTTTTAAGTAATCTAATACATGTGAAAAGAACGAGGAAAAAAATAGCAATACTTTGTTACTAAACGTTCTTTTTTTCCCATGGCATAGATCATCCACTAGAGGGCAACAACAGATCAAAATAAATGCTTCAAGTAATTAGATGAAGTCCTTGTACTGTGAGTGACCTCTCTCTTGGCAGTTTTTATTTGCACTCATATACCTAACCATAATACTGTTGCCCTGTGTGTGTGTGCGTGTGTGTGTGTGTGTGTGTGTGTTTGTGTGCGTGCGTGTTAGTGGAATACCAGGTGAATGGTGTATCTAAAAACATTTAAATGAAGGCCATTATCTAAGTAAATGCCAAAGTATGATGAGCTGCAGACTCATACTTTGTATGGAGCATGCTTACATAAAAGCTCCATACTCTGCTGGGTAAATGTACGTGACACATCCTTCCACAGACCAATACGTCACAATGATGTGTATTTAACATACCTTTCATCTGTTTGGTTTTCTACGTTGACAAAGATGGAAGAGGTGGAGATGGTTCCCATGGAGGAGCCGTCGTAAAATGATGAAGGAGTTGCAGGGACCAAATTGGGGCGCAGATACGACCCGAACACCGCTGAGAAGAGAAAGTCAAACCAATCAATAAAATCCCTCCAGCTTTGTGTGGCTTAAGTCATTCATTGTAAGTCTATGGGAGTCTCTCACTGAACAAAAAGTTGAAGTTTCAAGAAGACATTTTTACTTACACGTTGACTGAATACTGAAGATTCTTGGGAGTAATACAATAAATATAAAGTTGTGCTTGAAAGATACACACCAAGGCAGGAAATTTGATTTTGGTGTCAAAAAAAAAAGCGTGTAGAAGTTTAGACTACGAGTTCTCAACACCGTGCACACTTAAACATAATATTTGGCAGTGGAGGACTTTCTTTTTCTTCTGTGATGGTAAAGCTGCCCATTCTTTTGGGAAAAAAGCCTTCAGTTCTTGTAAATTCCGCATTCCATAAAAAACTTTCCAAAAAGTTAGAATTTGTAAACAGTTATTTTGGCCAGACACAACAGTGTTTATGTTCATAATCTCCTAAATATGATTGACATAAAGAAATCCCTTTCATGGAGTGCAAACTTTAAAGCACAACTGTACATTATATTACTTTGAAGTTGTCAAAAATAAGCTGAATGTATCTTTTCAAATGGTGATTATGAATGAATTGTTACATCATAGTTAATAATAACAGCGGGAGAGTTCAGAAACTGGTCACATGACAGTTATCTTTCCTGTAAAGATCCACACCCGTGTTGCTTCCGGAGGGATAAAGACAACTCTTGTCACAAGGTGAAAACAAAGGAAGACTTGCAAGGACGGAATGCAAAAAACATTTTACATAAAATTTGAAGTCCAAGGTGAAAAACCAAAGAACCGAGCAGGGACGAGGCAAAACCGCAGACTCAAGAACCAAATAACAACGATCCACAGAGCTCAGAGATGTCCCAAAAAAATAAAGCGAGCTGGGAAGCTGCAGGGGGTCCGTAGGAGAGAGAAGAGTCAGTGCGGAGTCTTCTAAGAATAAGAAGCAGCCGATGAGGACCCCAGAGGAGGCAGGACACAGCCAGAAAAAACCTCAGGTCAAAAGTGAGCACTCAAACCAGGGCAGGAGCTGAAACCCAGAGGTGACGGTCCACAAAGGTTTAGAGCAGGTTTAGAGGAAGGAGGGGTCATCATCGGGAGGCAAAAATCCAACAGTGAACCATGTAAATACCAATAAAGAATAAAAACAAAAACAAATAAAAATTAAAGCCGCAAGCGGCGTCGAACGGCCCTCGCCGCACCGCGCGCACCACCCCGCATCAAGCCGCCCCGCATCAAGCCGCTCCGCACCAAGCCGCCCCGCATCAAGCCGCTCCACACCAAGCCGCCCTGCACCAAGCCGCAACGCCCCGCACTACGCCGCACCACACTGTACCACGCAGCACTGTGCAAAGGAGGTGGGGCCGCCGTGTGATGATTTGTTGCTGTTGCCATAGAAGAACGTTAGTCAAATTGTAATGAATATGATGATTAGAGCTGTTTGGCACCCCATGCAAAACTTTGCCTCAATCTGTAGGGGGCGCTAATGGGCCAATTTCAAATATTTCACTTTCAACTGACCTAAACCCTGGAGTTGAACAATGGATTCAAGTTTTGTGCAAATCAGACTTTGTTTGTGCAAACGGGAGCAAAATTAATGTTATGAAAAACGGCCAAAAAACACTCACATTTTGCCGCTCCGCTGCTCAAACAACGTTTCACTGATCAAAAATCCCTTTGGTCATTTTGAAGGTACATGTGTTGAGATGATGTGGAGCGATTTTGAGGCAAATCGGCAAAACGGCCGAGGAGGAGAAGATTTCCAACCGACATGTATGAAAAGTATTGCGGATAATTTTTCCATTTTGCAGTGAAATGTATGGGCCTCCTGTTTGTCAGGGGGCGGAGCCATGATAACATTTTGGTCTTATCTTGACTTGAGGATCATGTGTACCGAATTTCATGGCTCTACGACAAACTTGACCTCTGAAACTCCCACTGGCTGTTGTAGGTGGCGCTGTTCTGGCATTTTTTGAGTCCCATAAAAATAAACACCAAAATATCAAATTTTTCACCAAGTCTGATGTTTGGGCAAAATTTTACAACTTTTCATGCATGTTCAGGGGGTGAAATTAAGGCTTAAAGTGCAGATTTTGACATCTCTCGAGCAAAAACAATAGGACCAAGAGTGTGGTGATGAACAGGAAGCAGGTGAGAAAATGAGTATCCACTGATGTAGGAATGGTAAATAAATAATGATTTCTTACAAAAATGAGAAAAACACACCTCAAAAAATCCAATCAGAATACAGGGACTGGGGTAACAAATACAGAGATATTGACAATGGAGCAGCAACAAATGGGGATGAGTGTAGGGTGTTTATATATAGACACAGGTGAAACACATTAGGGTGGGGCAGACAATTGATGTCAAAATAATGAGTCAGATGATGAGTTCTGGATCTATAGCCCCTCTGTCCATGGGAGCGGATCCCTCCCTCAATGTCAGCCTCCCCAAGGTTTCTCTATTTTTTCCCCACTGTTTTTTTTTTTTTGGGGAGTTGTTCCTTGTTGATGCAGGAGGGTCAAAGGGCAGTGGTGATGATCCAGGGCGTTCAACAACATTTATGATCATCTATTAAAACATTTATGGACATTGAACTGTTTGATTTTCTGATCTGTGTTGGCGAAGTGACAACTTAGTAAAGTCCTCAGAGACGTCTGTAGTTGTGATTTAGGGCTATAAAAAATGAATTGAATTGGAATTGAATACAATAAAGTACAAAATAACCAAAATCCACACCATGACGACTATTCATGTCTAACTCCTGGTTTAATGATTTATACAGGTGCTAAAAGTGTAAAGTTGCAGCTGTGGGTGTTTTACCTTGGCCGTCTAGACTAGCCAGACTGCGGGCCCCTCCTAGCGTGTCCTCCTCGCTCCGCTCGTCTGTTTGGGATGAAAGGATCTCCTGTGAGGAAAACTTCAGAGCAGGAATAGACGTGCGTGTTCTCTTTGAAGGGGAGAATCGGAGAGCTGTGTGGGCAAGCACAAAAGACACACACACAAAAATTACATTGATTTTAGGTTTTATATCCATTTGCTTTCACTGAGCCAAAATTGCCAAAATTGCATTAAAAAACACCAAATGTAACTTCAAAGCATTTTTCTGTATCTCGGACACTGAAATCTTCATAACCAGCACCTACAAACGGAGTTGACTTATCTTGTCTCGTCACCTATTCTTTCTCTGTATGATGTAGTGCATATGCAATGGTACCTAAATAGTCTTTTCTTATTAGTCAAGTCCAATAAAAAACGTAGGTTTAGGAAAACGGAGATTAGGATAATGTTTTAAAATACGATCTGTTTTAGATCAACCTTTAAGGAGCTTTCTGCAGATGATCAGATTTGGGCAAGGACAAGCTCCACATGCCAGATTACTGTAGCCAGCATGAAACAAGCAAAACCAATCACTACAGGTTTCATTTGTGAGTGCAGAGAGCCTACACTACACACTGTCATGTGCATCTATTTAGAGCACACAGAGTCCAATCACAACTCCTGAGTCCTGAACACTGAGGGTCTTTTCTATATAACAGTACACAGGAGTTTCAGTCAAACATGAGTTAGATACTGGTGATTCTAAAAAGAAACTGGGTCAAAGTGAGGTTAAATTAACATTGTTCAACTACAGGAAAGAAGGACCTACTGCATACCATTCGTACCAGACATTTGTAAGCTTAAGACGTAAATATTTAGTGAGTTCATATTTGAGATTGATATGTCTTTTTACAGAAAGTCCAGGCCTCTGTATATGTTTTTAGTAGAAAAATAAGAACCAGGAAGAAACATGCAAAAAACACAAGGAGAACATGCAAATTCCACATAGAAAGACCCGGAGCCCCCAGGGAGCCAAAACCTGGTTGTTTTTGTGTGAGGGCAGAATGTTAACAACCAATCAGGGGATGCAATTTATTTCCTTTGATATGCAACAACAAATGGAATGGAATGAAATGAAATGGACTTTTTTCCAGGATGGATCTGCCCAACAATCCTAAATTGTATTAGGTTAAGTTCTAGGTTGTTTTAGGAGACCCTGGGACTGTCCAGAGAGCTGAGTTCTAAAATGAAAACACAGGCGTGTCATCAGTAGTGAACCCTGTCACTCCCAGATTCTTTAGTTTTCTATTTCACCTTTATTAAACCTAGATAAAGGTTCTCAACCTCGACACCTTCATTTGAGGGTGTACCTAAAGCAAGGCCAATTAGTATTTGCAATTTTTTTAATTTAGAGTGTAAATCTCAATAGTCTCAATACCCTAACAAACATACTTACACTCACATCCCAGTATCATCTCTCTCACAAACAGCCCTAATAGGACTTACGTTGATTCTTCCGGAACACCCTGGTGCTCATAAATTTGAGGAAGCGACTGGCATAAAACCCGGGCCGATGCACAGATACCGTGTCCTGAAGGCACAAACACGGAGCTTCTGTTAAACAGCCCAGTGATGACACGCTTTGATTAATCACAATATCTACTTACACCATCATACACCAGGGCTTTCCACGAGTGTTCCAGCTTCTTGATAAACCTTAAAAGCAAAGCATATAGGCCTATAAAACAATTTTGCAGCATAAACAATATATGTTTTGATCAAATCTCAGGTGCCTCTTGCACAGCATACATCTTCCAAGTATATGATATAATATTGGTCTCTGAGGTTAGTCTTTGATGGAGCAAAGAAAACAAAACAGTGACACATCTGCTTGCATTATTATGACTCATTAAACACTAAAATCCAGCAAAAATTTTATCTCTATGGTCTTTATAAACTGCTTAAGAAATGTAAACAAAATGCAGCCATAATGATCGAAGGGTACACGGATTAATCTTGAAGGCTGAATTTGTATTTTGAGTCAAAATGTTTTAAACTAATTTGAATTTAAGAAATGAATAGTATTATAATACAAATATATATAAGTAGATGCGTGTACAGTGCATTCACCTGTACGACTGAAGAATATCAATTATTCCCAGGAAGATGAGCAGCTTTTCCTCTTTGTGTGTTTTAGCAGGAATGCCTCCCATCCTGAAAGTATTCATGATAATAGTAAATTATCTAATCTTAGACTTGATAGACACAACATGGATAACAAAACTGCTTTGGCCAAACTACTTCTTGCATGAGATATTAGTTATTAAAGCTTAACTGATCACCAGCTGTGGGCTAAGCTTTGTACTGAGCTAGTTTTTATGGCGTGTGTATTCATGACTTTTGTCTGTCACCAAGTATTGATGAGCAGGTTCAACCTAAAGCGACTGTTTCGGTGCTTGCCTGTTCAAACAGACAATGCTCTTTTACTCTTGTTTGGGAAAGGCCCGGGCAGCGTTTTTATTGGAGTGTGCCGTCATAGTAAATACACAAGTGATGGCTGTTTGTATTATGTAGCTATGGTTATGCTAAGGCCTCGGCCTGTCCATATATGTGTATATGATGGGAAAAAGCTCACGTGTCGTCTGTGCTCAGCACTTCAGCTGCTTTGCCGTCTCCTTGGATGGACTCCAGTGCAGTGGAGTAGAGCACCCGCTGACCCTGCGGCCTCCTGCTGTCACCGCCCGCCTGCCCCGGCTCAGTGCTGTCTCTGTGGGGATGGTCCAACACGTGCACTCCCAGCAGCAGGCTGTAGTCCATGATCTTAAAACTCTCCAGGACCTACATATGAAACACAACAATATTGTTTCATTACTTTACTTTGTTTTAAATGTTCAAATGATTTAAGATATGTCCTCTCTTGATTATAGATGTAGATATATAGCCAGCATCTACAGTCTAATACACCAGGATGTAAAGTCAACAATATAACTTGTGTAGGTAAATATACAACTTTCAGTGACCTCAAAGGAAGTTTGTAAACCAGGCTGGAGCTGAATAAACACAGTGTTTCTCCACAGAGAATCAAGTGTTACACATTGACCTGTGTGAGGAAACTTTCACCCACATCTAGCATCTTAAAGGCGACTTCATGTCTCCTGTATGCTGCTCTCATGAGAAAACAACATCAACCTTAGGTTTTATGTGGGAAAAGGAAAAAAGTGAATTGCAAAGAAAAGCACAGTCAGCCTATTGAAGGTAGAGTCAACGATATAATTTTCAACTATTAAAAAAGTAGTGTAGGAAATACTATAGCTATAATATAGAGCATATTATAAAACCTCTCAGAGAAAGTACAACTAGGTTTAGTAAGTATAAGTATATCGGTATTATGTTCTTGTCAACCGGATAATGTGGGGACAAAATGTACTAAACAAACAGCACACTTTCCCACAGTGCCTTTTCTCGTCATTGGTCAGGCATAAAAACAATCAATGCATGACTGAATGTCCTTGAATAGTCACTATAGTGTGATAATTTATACGCTTCAGGATCTCTTTTCAAAGACTGCATGTAAAATTCTCTGTATGGAAGCCTCCGCATTTGACCCATGCTTATGCTTCATATCTCAACAAAATAAAACCAACAACTAATTATTGCTAAACTAATCAACATCAAACTATCTATTTCCTTCGGCTTTATCCATTGCTGGGTCACAGTGTAGTAGTCTAAGCAGAGACGCTCAGACTTCCCTATCCACTCAAACATTCTCCAGCTCATCCAAGGCGCTCCCAGCCCAGGTGAAAGACTCCCCAAGTAGGCGTCCAGGAGGCATCTGAAACAGTCGCGCCAAGTCACTCAGTCAACTCATTTGGACCTATTGTATCCGTGATTTAATCAAGAATTTATAAATGTTCTATACATGTAATATTGTACCTCTTTTCTTAATGTTTTTAAGATCACAAAAGTGTAGAACATATTTCCCCCGTATTTACTTTTAAAAGGCTGCACATGACCAGTTTGACATTAAAGGCAAGTTCATGCACTTAAAGCCAAACACACAAGGACATGCTCTAAATGTGCTGCCCTGATAAACACTGTGGCATTGTCTCCTTTTCCACATCAACTATTTGCATCCCATCACACCCACAGCATCCACCAGACATAAAGCATCTAGAACTGACAATGCTCCTTCACAATGAACAACAGCGCATTTCAAAGATGTATTAATATTTTTAGATTCATAGTTTACAGTTGAGAGAAATGTTGACAGATTTCTCAATATTTTAGCAGATTCAAACATAATCACATACATCCAAGAGTTTAAGTATAAGACATTTGTGAAAAAATTCATCGAAAGTGCTTCAATATAACTATCATATTATTTCTATCCTATAAACAATAATCTAGCATAGACTAATGGCTTGTGTCGAACGATGTCCATAAATGTTACTGCAAATCCATACATTTTTTCAAACGTCCCAGATCATCACTATCTGCAGTATTAGTATAAGTATATTTTAGCTTGGGCCATTTTATTATTGTCACAGGATAGACATAGAGTGAATTAATACACGTTCCGGCGACTCTTATGCAACAACTCATGGTTGCCCCATTACTTCAGTGTGTGTAAGTCTTTCTTTTCCTGTCGATTAATGAGCTAAACTGTATTTCCTTCCAAGTAAATAAGATTTAACAGGAATAATGATCAGCATAGAGACTAAGAAGGATGTTATGGACTCAGAGCACTCTAAGTGAGTCTCTTATGGGTTTCATGAATTATTTATGCTGTGTGTTGTTTTGGCGTTTGGGCAGTGTCAGGGGAGCTGTGGAGTAATGGAGAGGACTGTGACTATCCAGCATTTTTATCCAACACATAGTACGGGAGCCTGTCCTCTGCATTTGACCCATCAAACCTGCTAGAAAATTAAAAAAAGAAAAAAAAGAGTTAATAAACAAAACTCAAGTCCAAAAATATTTGCAGTTTTGATTCTGTTTTAAATGGACATGTGTAATTCAAATAAAAACAAGATTAAGCTTAAAATCACTTGCAATTGTTATAAAGAAGATTAGAAATATATTTTCTTGAGCCGCTGAAAACATATAGCTCTTCATTTAAGAATGTTTTAGTTTTTATTATAGTCACTGTAGTAACTAAATTGGTCAAGTTCTGGGCCTTGTCCATAGTAACAGATTATAATAAACCAATACTGAAAACAGAAAAAAGATGTGCAGATGTTATGTGTCATTTGGAATATAACGTTACATTCTGAATTATTTTATATTAAAATGGTGCTATTGTAGTTAGTTAATTATAACTACTATGCCATTTCTCATTAGTAGGGTTAATCTGTCGTTGAGTATTCACTACACTGCGCTCATGCGTATAGTGCGCTCAGCCCCTTAATAACACATGCAGTCTGTAGTAGTTCACAGCCTCTCGTGGGGTGATGAGGTTAGTCGCTTACTCATGGAAAAGATTGTGCTTAGAAGGCACTTTGTTTCCCGCTCAAGAGGAGAACGCAGGAAGCTGTGACAAAAAACAAATTGACTGCCGCATATGCAGGCTACAAGGGTAAAGGCTCCGATATCTTTGAACATTTAACCTTTGAAAAGGCAAATGAAAATATATGAACATGACACACACATAAATACAGGTCGAAGAAAGTGTGACTTGTTATGTTGCAATTGTTTAAAGTATGACTAATCAATGTGATTGTACAGTCACCGGATATCATTAGTCAAAGTTTAACTGTGGAAAGAGTGGGATTTCAAATGTTTATACTTCTTTCAATCAACCTTTTGATATGTTTATTTCTTTATTTGCATTTGACATAGGTTATGTAATATCATATGTAGAAGCAATTATATTTTAAAAGAGTAAAACAAGGCGGCTACATACCACAAACTTAACCTTGCCTCCACTGTAGAGTGAAGATTGACCAAAGTGAAAGCATGAGTCTTATCAGAAGACCAGATAATTGTGTAAAAAGGCCGGTCTAAATTTAAAAGCAGCTAGCACATTTAATTACAGCAATAGAATCAGTTTGGACTGATAATAAAAACGTTGATCCAACCATCCAAATTCCTCTTTTCCCACATACAACCCCTTGTAATAAAGCTCACACACTGTTACATAAAAGGCCAGCATCATGTGACGGGGCATTGGATACAGTCACAATGGGGTACGACTTGGCATAAGTATAATATGAGCATTATTACTTTACACCAAGCAGAACAAATGGGATTACAACACAGAGGGCTTTGAGAGTCTTAAGCCAACAGTAATGTACCGCTACACCTAAACCTTTCAAACTGAACATCGTTTTAGGAAGCATACATTTAAATTAAAAAAGAATAGACCAAAAACACAATTTACTGGACCAAAGTTACCAAAGTCATGTTTGTATGGAGGCTGCATCCTTGGGAATATCATTATGTCAGTTTTACAGAAGGCCTCTCCTTTCCACTGCTGCTTTCATTGTTGTTGTTGTTCTGTTGGACGCTGACCTCATTTGTAAAGGAAGGAAAATGATGTACAATGCAGCAGTGTCTGGGCCCTATGTAGTGTATACTGTGAATTGTTACCGTCAAAGGCATCCGGCAGGTGAGAGCAGGAAGAATACAGCAACTCAGCTGAAACTAAATTAACCAAGAAACTGATGTTGCGGTCCAACATTAATCAATCACATTTCATGTCATGTGTCACAGTTAGTGGGGATTTTGAAGAGTTTCAGATTTATCTTAATTCCAAGCTTTATAATATCAAACTTTATACTTTTATAAGCCAACATGGCTTATTTGTTGACATTTTTACTAAATTCTGAACAATATGTTCTATTGTGGCCAGGAAAATAATTGCCTACCCTTACTATAGTATAGGGAGTTTGTGCCTACCATGCTTACAGGCCAATTAAAAACCAAAAGAATTAGAAAAGACTAAAGTCAGTCACATTCCTATGCCAAGTCCAATCAGCTCTAATTGCTTCTGGTGGATAACACAGCATGATGTTTGCTGGGCACAGGTCAAATGCCTCTGTATTCATGCGTTTCAGATTGAGGAGAAATGAGGGTAGTTGCAATGGACTGATGGACATTACAAATATCTTTTGAATGGGAAAAAAATTATCATTGCACATATGCAACTCTTTATTACAGATGAACATACAGAGGGGCAAAAATGTATTTTGTCAGCCACCAATTGTGCAAGTTCTCCCACTTAAAAAGATGAGGGAGGCATGTCATTTTCATCATAGGTATACCTCATCTATGAGAAACAGAAAATCACATGATTTTTAAAGAATTTATTTGCAAATTATGGTTGAAAATAAGTATTTGGTCACCTACAAACAAACAGGATGTGTGGCTCTCACAGATCTGTACCTCCTTCTTTAAGACGCTCTTCTGTCCTCCACTTGTTTCCTGTATTAATGGCACCTGTTTGAACTTGTTATCAGTCTAAAAGACACCTGTCCACAACCTCAAACAGTCACTCTCCAAACTCCACTATGGCTGAGGCCATGTCCACACGTGGCCGGGTATTTTTACCGAATAAAAATGAACTAACTTAGACATGCACCAGGCAAGAAATTAACTGAGGGAGCAATTATTAGAAAATGGAAGACACACAAGACCACTGATAGTCTCCACACAAGATCTCACCTCATGGGGTCAAAATGATCACAAGAATGGTGAGCAAAAATCCCAGAACCACACGGGGGTCAGCGACTCAAATCCATGTCCAGGCCCGTCTGAAGTTTGCTAGAGAGCATTTGGATGATCCAGAAGTGGTTGGGAGTATGTTATATGGTCAGATGAAACCAAAATAGATCCCAAACACACCGCTTGGGTCCTGGAGTGGCCTAGTCAGTCTCCAGATCTCAACCCCATAAACTATCTTTGGAGGGACTGGGAGATCTGCATGGAGGAATGGGCCAAAATACCAGAAACATTGTGTGAAGTATTGAGAGTATTGAAATGAACATTTGTTATTGACCAAATATTTATTTTCCACCATAATTTCCAAATACATTCTTTAGAAATCAGACAATGTGATTTTTTTTTTTTTTTTTTTTTTTTTTTGCTCATTCTGTCTCTCATAGTTGAGGTACAGTATACTTATGATGAAAATAAAAGGCATCCCTCATCTTTTTAGGAAGGATAACTTGCATAATTTGTGGCTGACTATACTTTTTGCCCCAGGGTAGAGGAAACAAAGAGAAACACATAATAAAATAGGTGAGAAAAAGCAAACAGAAAACCTTTTTTTTCTGCTGTGCTCAGAAAAAAACGAAGAAAGAAAATCAAGCTTCCCCACTATGGCACAAATAAAGGTTCTTAGATCTCTTGGTCAAAAGTTGATACCCTTGAATATTGGTCTGAAATAAGTTGTGTAACACGTACCCGACAGTCTCTCTGCAGAGTCTTCATCAGGTTGTTGTAGGTTTCTGTGTCGAAGTGAAGGCCCTCTTCGTGCATGTCCTGAAAGTCCAGGTCTTTGTAGGTGGGACAGGACTTCTCCCGCTCCTTCCGTGAAGCCCTCCTTTTGTACGTGGAGCCCTTCAAGTCGTACTTGTAGTGCATTTTGACAGAGCGTGGCAGGACATTGTTCATTACCACCAGCCTGATGTTGATGCCTCCAGATTGGATACAGTAAAGGCCATAAAACTTTGGCAGCAGCGTGCGAGGGTTCTGGTTCAAGTTCTGAAAGGCACAAACACATTTTAATAGTATCAACACATATGGATGAACAAAAGATACATGGTGCAACGATTCAGATAAATTGGAGACATTTTTTCCGGTCTGTGTTGCTCAGTAGGTCATGGGCAAAATAAATACTATATGAATGATGGCTTCTGTCACACCTTTAGATCAGCAGAGAGGCAAGTGAGAGGACCACCCTCACTCAATAATCAGATCTCAGCCTAGTGTCAGAGACTCATGAGGCTCTTTTTACACATTTTCTAATAAGATGAAGGCAGCATGTTGTGCTACAAATTAAAAAAAAATTCTGATTATAAAAAACAAAGTGTATTGTTTATGAAACTAAAAAGTTAGGTACTCCAGGTGAAGTGGAAATAATCTATCAGGGTAGATGTCCTGTGAAGAAATTACACATTTTGTAGCTACTTTTTGTGTGAAGTCAATGTTTGGGAGTTAGCAAATTGCAAGAGCTGTTGTGAAAAACTACTTAATAGGATCTAATCAATCAAATGAATAGGCCACGCTTTTGCGGCTTGTATGCGTCTCACCATGTAGTATCCTGGCAATAATCGCTGCAGAAACTTGGCCTCTTTGTGTTGGACGGTTTTGATGATGAATTCGTCATCACTGGTCAAGTAGAAGAGGGACCCGCTGGCGCCAGGGTTGGTCAGCTCAATAAGGGGTTCATTCACAAGGGAGTACTACAAAATGCAAAGCAAATACACTTTACATTATTCAAACATATGTACTTCCCATCAACAAATGTGTCAAAGGTCGAGCTGTGGAGTTACTGTTGAAAATATCTAAAATAGGACTAAGTGACTAAATATAGTCTACTCAAGGAAAATACGGAAATCTTTTATTGTCTTAATGTTCCTTTAAAATCCAAAATGCATAATGAAAATGTAATAGTGTTATATTTGGAGCTAGATTAAGAAACTACGGCCCACCTGGAAAAAAATATTTCACTTTAGTATTTACACCATATTTACATATATTTTACTTTTAGCTACAGTTATTCAGAAACGGACGTTCCTTTTTCAATCAATATTTGCAGTCACCTTAAGTCGTGTACACAAGACGTCAGAACTTGATTGCATTTGCTCTGTGCGTATGCAGTGTATGCTTTATGCTTTATGCTGTAATTAAGACCAGAGGTTTGCGTCTGTTCGAATTAATCCATCTTCAAAGTCCAGCAACCCTCCCCTGCTTCTTTTATCTTTCTTATATGGAGGAGTAATTTTAAAGCATGATTTTTACATACAATGGAAATTACATGTATTTGTGCATTGGTTTATACACAGACATCATTATTTGTTTATTATAATGGACTGTCAGTGTGCCAAAGCTGAAAAACCTTTGACTAAAGCAACAAGAACACATTTGAATGTGGGTTTGTAGTCAGGGTCTGACTGCGGGAAAGTGAAAAATGCGGTTTTCTGAGCTCTAAAGCTTTCAATGCAGGAAAATACAGGAATCCACATACATGCATCAATCAAAAGAAAATACTGGCTCAAGTAGTGACATAGTTTAAATCACAGTAAGAATAATAATTGACATTAAATATTTACTATAGTTAATTATTTCCAATACCATTGGTATAATACCATTTTTAATGGGTTTACTTTGCTTGAAATGTCACTCAGTTTGGTTTAAAACATGTACATTTCCAAAATATGGATGAGGAATGATGTGTTGAATTTCCATTGTTGCTACTGTGAATGTGAGAGGAATGATTGACTTGTGCGCATCTCACCAGGTAGTCATCTGGTTTGATGCCGAACAGATCTCTGAAGTAGCGAAAGGCCAGAGGAGCGTAAGTCTTGAAGCGGAAATCGGGGTAATGGTGGGCTGGGGTCAGGTTGCTTCCCTCACTGACAAAACAGTAAATAGATAATAGTTATTTAACAATGAAGACAAGTGGCTCTATAATTAAATCTGAGTTAATGAGCCAGTGTAATATCCATTTCTGGGCAAACTCCACTACCTTCATTGGTGACTTGCTCCACCCACATGAACACATTATGTTCTAAAGGACTCTATGGGAACTTATATTTCACTATTGTAGTGACAAACTGTCATGTATTGAATTCTTTGCCTGAAGATGGAAAAAAGTATCTGATTACTTGGTCTGAACTAAATCAAAACATACCAAAACGCCAGGGGACAGAAAGACAAGAGCAAAAATACTTTGGCTGTCATGCAATGTCAGAATTGGCAATAACATTGAAACCGGTTTGTATGGACACTTACTATAACGGTCATAATCGGAAATAACGTCATAAAATGAGGGCTTTTTTGAGAGAGAGAGTTGCTTGGAATCAGTTTTCTGGGTAATGAGGTAAACTGTTGTTGTTTTGAGGTGCCGTCTAATTTTCTGACAAGAGACATGGTCTTGCCTTACACTGTAACTCTAAACCTGCAATTACAATACAGGGACATACTGGCGGCTCTGTTTGACATACACAAAAGCCAAGACAGTGAGATCAGGCAGCCACTACCCAACAGATTATGCTGGTACAACAGTTTCTTGGTAACCATTTCCCAACACACACCAAGCAGCAGTGCCATTCAATCTAATCAGGAAGTGTGTGTTTGCTGTCAAAGATATGGTCATATCCCGTCATCTAAAACAGGCCTGACAGGACAAACAACAAGAGAAAGCCTCTGGAGAGAGATGGAAGGAAGGCCAGGCATAAGAGCTATTAAAGCCATCTCCATCACTGCACCACTCCAAAGAAACACTTTCAGAATAAATTGCAATTTCTGAACTCAAAGACAAGAAGAAGGATGTGGAGAAAATAGTGTCAAATGCCAACAATGTCTTCTTCTGAAACTCTGCAGTGTGATCTCTGTTAACGGTTTATGTACCTCTCCCTGGCCATGATTCCTCATACAGGAAAAATTGTACAAAATTATGTACAAACTACTAATTTAAAGTTGATTTACCAAACAATGCACATTGTTTAGTTGTTGCTGAGCAACCAGGCAGTAAATAGTCACATTGCTGCCAAGCACAGGTTTGCATAAGCCAAATAGAGTTTGCATTTCCAGGTGGAGCCGGCATGGAAAAATATTACCTTTTTCCTTGTACCTTTTATTGTTCTATGCTGCTGTGTACATTTAATTCCAGCAGAAATGTGTAACTACTGTTATGTGTGAATCTCTCAAAGAATTTCTTCCCTGCGGTGGATTATGTAAAGACTTTCTTTAAGCCTCTGATGTAATTTTGTAGAAAGATGAAAACGAAGAAGCAGACACACACTGTCACAACTGCAGAGCTCCTGGTGATCCATTAATCCACTGCATCAATGTTTAACTTTAATTTTAAACATTCAATTCGTTAACAAGTCAAGTGGTAGATACTGATTTTTGTCAAGGCAGGTCCAAGACTCACTGCATTTGAGCAGTGTCCATCTGTCGTCTAACACAGTGATTCCCAAAGTGGGGGGTCCCGGATGATTTACATTAAAAAAAGAAAGAAAAAAAAGAAAATGCGAACACAAATATAGCCCTTAATTATGTTGCAATTGATTTGATTCACTACTGTGCTCGGAGAAGAGTCTGATTATAAATATAATATATTTTAATCAAATTTGTAATTTTGTCCCAGACATTACGAGATTATAAGAGCATAAATCAAAATCTCGGTCACGGGTGTCACGGGTGTCACGGGCTAAAAACTTTGGGAACCCCTGGTCTAGCAGGTCACTGCTCCTCTGCTCTGTGACCCTATTTATTAACAGAACCAATTGTGTAATATAGTTTTTAAAAAGTTTTACATGTGGATTACTTTTAAAACCACCTGAAGTACTAATCGGTTAAGCTTCTGTGTGTTTGAGGAAGCAAACATTGTCAACAATAATTCATTATAAAGAGCATTAAACTATTGAAGTACACCACAACTCCCACCTTGGAAGAAAAACACTCTCCACAACATAGAAGTCTTGCATAAGGACATCTCTGTCAGGCTTAGAGGTCAGGTTCCCCACTGTGTAGCCAATTCCCAACTGAATGGCGCCCTTCAAGGCTGATGACGTGGTCTGGAAAATAAAGAAAACAAAAAGTTACCCTGCGGGGTAAATTACAAGTAATATGGTTGTTGTTGTTTAATTACCTCGCCTCTTGTTTTACCATTTTTCTATGGGCTTAAGTCGCACCAGCATAAAATACATGGTATACATTGTTGAAGATATATGTTATCACTTCCGATGGTAGTAGCAAGTAATGGTCTTATCAAGTGCATTAGCAAATGAAGCTATCTCAAGTACAAAGTAAACAGGACTACGCAGTACTTGGGTGATTCATGGCAGCTCTCCATGGAAAAGGTCAGGACATGTTGTGCAGTAAAAGGACTTTGAGAAATAAACAGAAAAACTACCATTGTATGATTGCTGATGTAATACTTAAAAATATAGTGGCGCATACCTTTTTGTAGGTTTTTTCTCTTCCTGTGCTCCCTCCCATCCCATTTTCAGTTGTGGTTGACATCTGATGAGAACAATAAATGGTTCTGGGCAATGATCAGACTCCATCAAAACACCAACTATTATAAAGGATACTCACTTTGCTTAGAGAAACAACTGATGAATCAGGGCAAAATCCATTGCTTATAAGTAGGCTCCATTATCTGCCGATTGGATTGGAGTGAACACTGAAAAACAGAATTGTTTGATTATCTTTTAGAGCTACATTTTGAATCATGCATAAAGAACTACTTATATTGTAAATATGTATTTAGAAATAATAATAATAAGAAATAATGCATCTACTTTTCATATCCTATTTCTGGTTTGTTTGCCAGTAAAGCCTAATCGGAGTGTGGATCGGACTGAGTGTAGATCCCTCTGGGCACAAAAATAGTGATCAATAAAGCCTAACATAAAAAACAACCCAATTCAAATAAATAAACTTTGCTTGAGGAGTAGCAATGCAGTAAAATGCGAGATAATAAGAAGTCTGTCTGCAGTTACCGCCTGCATATAAATGTACCACACTGATAACTGCACTGTCAGCACCAACACTACTACGTCCCAGCGGTCACCTCTGCTGTCCACCAGCTCCTTACCGCAAACATGCTGCATTAATATCACTATGAAAATGTGTTCAAAACTGGAAACAGTTGATACAAAGCTCTTCTCTCTACAGAAGGCTCTTATTAATACCTGGTTGTGGCCATTGGCATGAACATTCTGTGTTTTATCATATTAATGTAAAGCGAACTCTGGATGCCCTCCTTTGCAACTATATACATTTAGGCAAGTCTGTGTGAAAAGCAATAAATCAATAATTAAATGAGTGTTATTAGTGAGTATGTCAACTGGTTCGGCCCACGATCAACAGGCATGGGCCCATGTATACACACTGTGTTTAGTCCCCAGTCACCTCAGCCTATAACTGCTGCTGCACCAACACATGTTCCAGAACTCTCCGCGTGAGGCCTACACCTGCAGAGCATTGTGGGTGACTGTTCAGTCAACAAAATGGGGTCAGGAGGGTGAACAAGTCTAGTGGGAAAGGATTTGTCTAAAATTTTGTCTCAGCAGAGTGCTATTACAGTAATACAATATTAGGGTAAAGATTTGTTTTAAATGTTTTAAATCTTTCGTACTATAGGTCCACAGATGTGCGAGATAATTAGGGTTGAAACAATTAAGTGAACAAATCAAATTATTTTATTGCAAAACACCTTTGATTACAATTACAGTTGAATTGCCTCAATTATTATTATAAATCTTTATAAAACTAATTGAATTAAACTAATTAAAACTAAAGCGCTTGTTTGACACAAAGAAGTGTGTGGCACCTGCAATGTCAGTGCAATAGAGATTGAATGTACAAACGTGAAGTGAATATTTGATTAATCCCATAGAAACAGGCCTAAAGACAAACATTTTAATATAAGAACCTGTAATAGAATAATGACCTTTAGTAGGCACGCCCTTTAGAAACTTGACCTCTCTTCAAACAAACTCACTCAAACACAGTTTTGTGAAATTTCCTTCCTCTTCCTTCAGAGAAATCGCCAACAGCGCAATGAAGCCGCCACATGCAAATCTAACAGCTTTTTGAGCCAATACAATTTTGGCAAGCTCTGCAAACTGTCTGCTATAGTGCTGTTTTAGTCCCTTTAAAGATGTCTTAGCAGCAGGAGAAACCAAGCCCCAACTAATATAAGTAAATAGCGAATAGGTTATTGGCGCTCTGCTTGAATCCCAGGGTGATATTGGATTACTGCAGCAGATTTGAAACACAATGGAGAATCAATAGGAGACTGGTAATGCCCACGGCTAAAGGCTGCTCCGCTGGGCCTTCCTGACCTTCTCAGTCTACACCAGTAAGACATTAGATAAGCACTGATAGCTGGATTTAGGAGATATAATCAACTAGATGCATAGAAATCAGCTTAGTACAGCCTGCGGGAGAGTGGACATCTAATTAACTCCAGCATATGGTCAGAGCATACCATATTAATACAACTTCCATTTAGGCTTGGGTTTGTGTACCTCTGTCTTGTAGTCACAGGAGTGAGGAAACTGGCTATGGACTGTCTGGTCTCTACTTTCTCCCCACCTCTCTTTCCTGGTCCAACAATACGAAAGTAGGATACCTCTTTCTTGTCATAAATTGATATCCCTGGTCACCCCTCACCCATCAAACTCAGATTTCAGAGCAATTAAGCAGCTCATATCATTGAGAGCCCGAATTAAGCAACTTGTTCTCAAATTGTTTTTTTCTTATTGGCTGCCATATTACGTTGATGTTTTACTGATTGGCAACCCATCTAAACTGGTGGTCAGGCTGTAAAAGATGCGTATAAAAAATACAATATTCTTCTCAGACATGGTCATAACGTCCATATTCATTTGAACGTGAAAGATATACATCGAACCAGACTAAACATCCGATTCAATGCAAAGTATGTTAAATACAGTATGAACAGAGGCAGTAGGAGTGGACAATCCTAATTGCTCTAACTCATATTGGATTCTATTCACTTTCATCTAAAACTGTTCCTAATTCAAGATGGTTTAGCATTCTCTGTGACCCTGGTGCTTGCATTTATTTGTATAAAGTGTTTGTAAATCCAGATATTAGCCAACCCAACTGACCAATCAGCCGAAGTCCCAACATCGGCTTCAGTGAGTGAATATATTAACCTCTTAAAACCCGCCTCATTTTGGCTCGTGCACAAAAGTTGGGCATACCCAAATGTCTTTGCTTATTTAAAAACACATCTTACATCTCACATACTTGTGTGATGCATCATTTTAAAGCTAGAGCCTTCTAGTTTATGTAAAAAAACACTAAAATAATGTTTGTCATTCCTATTTTCCTCTGCATCCTTTGAAGTTAGGGAAAAAACCCAATTTTTTTAGCCTCGCCTAACATTTTCAATTTCTAAAGGCCCTAAAAAAGGCATACTTCATTGTAAGTTCACAATATTCACACCCTCTGTTCATTGTGTTGTTGACAACAAGTGTCTAAAGTTTCAGACTTCTAAGTTTTATAGTTTTTATGCAGTTTCTCCTTTTCATCAAGTAGTGCACATTTGGCACAATTTGGCACACTTGTGCCAAATATCTTTACTTACATTTAATCATCATAAAAACGATATTTTTTATTATTGGTACTTATAAGTTACTAATCTATGTGTGTTTTTCTTTTTTAAATGTCAAAGTTATTTTTTTATGAGTGTAAATTCATTGCAGCTTCGAGAGCGTCTTTTGGCTTCCATTACGCACAATTCTACAGGCACAACATAAGACAGGACACCATTGTCCCACCCCTTGTTCGAAAGCTTTCCTCATTGGCTACAAGGACATGTCAATCGTAAATCCCGGAAGTAAAAGCAAACAAGTTGGGACCCCACAAAAGATCAGTGATCCATGCGCAAACAGCAGCGCAAGCTGTACTTACGGGACCTCTTGCAGACCCAAAAATTGGTCTAGCTTTTCGGGAGTAGTCTCATTTGAAAGATAAGGAGCTAAGGAACGCGTGGATACCAGATGTTTGGGTGAAAAACAAAGCTAAATGTCCGTTAAAAGTGAAAGAGTAACATCTGTGCTCTTTTTTTTTGTTTTTTTCGCTAAAGATAAATGCACATTTTTGGATTATTTCTGCAGAATGGATTTTACTTTGGGAAATACAAGTGGATATAATTTTCCTTTGGACTGTTCCAGAGAGAATGATGTATTGCAAGCTGGGAGGAAAGCTGATTTATTTGTACAGCACAAGCCCAAAGGTAAAAAACTATTTCGGAATTGATTTATTTTGTGCCCACATTACACTACACACTTGTATATAAATGTAGATAAGAAAATAAGCTTTAAAATGATATACAGCTTTTGGGGTTTGGTGTTCAAAATACATCTGCTATTGCCAGCAGAACATTTAAAAACATAAAAACGGCCGCCGGCGCGCCGGTTGTTGTAAAAAGGACATAAATACTGTATTTGTGATAAAATACTAAGCTTGGTTATTTCTTCTTAAAACAATTAGATTAAATGACTTACTGTAGATTAGTGTTCCTAAGTGTCACAATGTTGGTAGTAGTGATCAGACTTATGAAAATTAGTACAGTCTTTTTAGGCAATAAACTGTTTATAGTTTCCAAAACACACACGTCCATTACTACAAAAAATGCTAAATGAATATAATCTACATAACTTAAATAAAAACTAAAATCATAATATTTAAGTTTCTTTAGTTTTTCTTTTCCAGCGTACTATCATGTTGTCCTGTACAGTATGTGGAATACCGTGTATACCAGGCATGTCCAAACTAAGGGCCGCAGGCCCTCTGCCTTGCTAACACAAAGTCGTCTTTGAGATCATAAACACAAGTACAGTGTCATCCAGCCAACTTCAGCTCCATGAAAGATAATTATAAAGCTCAGAACAGACCAAATACAGTCAAAACTGCTTTACAATACGGGTTATCAGTCTGGTTAACTCAAGTGGCCTTCTTACTATAATGTTTGGACACCCCTGGTATAGATACTTGCTCAAATGATGATCTAATACTCGATACTAGCTAAGGCTTGAAATGTGATTTCAGATATTTTTGACACATTGAATAGGTTATATTGATATAGTACAAAAAAGGACATCATCAAAATGAGCACAGCATATTCAAGTTTGAGTTGTATTATTGTAAGTAAATTCTTACAGAAGAGTAAGTATTCCATGGAGAGTGGATAAAGGAATACCATAAAGACTGTAGTGATTGTGAGCTGTGTGGAGTACAGGTCGCCCTCTGTGTCCAGTCACATGATGGACTGAAGCTGCACAGGACACACACCAGTGACACAACACTTCTGGAGAGGTTTCATGAGGTTTTAGCCACTTTCGTGTTGTTGCCTCACTCACGTATAATATTATGAGTCTGAACTAGTCTGGGAATACTCATGCTGATGTGTCGGTCAAAGCCTTTCCATAACAAATATTCACTACTATACTGCAAAGACAATCCTTGCAGTCCAAGGTCCTCTGCAGCAGGTTAATACAAGGTTCATGGGCAACTCATCTCAGGGATTTGTTCCCACCAAAAACAGAACATATATCTATTCAAACCAGTCATTTTTTTTAAATATTTCTTTGCAAATACCGCAACCTCTTACAGGCCTCTTTTCATTTGACGGTCTCTCTTACGTCTTAAAAGTTAAAGACTTAAAAGTACTAATAAAAAAGGGCATTTGTATATTATTGCATAAATGTAGTAATTTTGTTTCATTATTAACCTCTGTTCCTTTGTCTTTTACTCAGCTGAGGAAACTCTGAAGGCCATTAAGATCTCTGATAATGGGCGAGTCAATGGAACCACATTTGTGAACAAACTACGGTCATATGACTGGTTCATTATACATTGTAAAAAACAGGAAATTGTGGACTTTCAATAAGAGTCACACATCATACATGGGCTTTCATTGGCCAGAGTCTCAATATTGCACTTGAATGTGTTTCTTCACATATATGGAAATAATATAATGTGTGAAAGTGCTTGTGTGCTGAGGTAAGCATGAAGCGGGCAGTATAGTAAAAGACACTGCTCATAAGGTTTGCAGTGAGATGCAGTGGTTATCAGCAGGACTATATCTGCTGACATGAGGACAGCCTGCCCATTCAACGAGTACAATAAAAGCCATGATAGCACAAATAGAGAGTAGTGCAGCCTGTGCCTAGCAGAGGCAGACTATCAAGACAAGAGCCAAACATACGCATAAATGTGACCAATGGAGAATGTGGGTCACATCCATTGACATAACAGACAAGAAACCATTATTTACAAAACACAATGACACATGCAAAATCACTTGCTATCAACAAAGCAAATAAGAACATTTAAATTGAATCACAAGAGTTTTTTGGAGTTTTTCATTGTATTGTTGCTATATTTTATTGAACTTATTGTGTATTAAAATTTGACAACTAAACAAAGTTGCCAACTAATTTAGTAATTGAATAATGATTTTTTAAACATGCTCAGAAGAGGGTTTTTTTATAATTATTGCAGAAAGAAATTCAAATGTATTTACAAAGCATTTATAATCTAACAACCCAATGTGTAACATCTCAGATGTTCTCCAAAGGCATCACATGAGCTTTGTTTTGGTTAAAGGTATAACCCTTTTCACTGACCTTTTGGGATCCAAGCAACTAATCAAGTTAATAATCAAATGAATTTGTTAATTACAGCCCTAGTACAAAAAAGGGTTGTGAAATGTCGCTGCACCTGCACTTGCTGTGATTGTTGTGATAAAGCATTTAACTTCTGACATCAGTGAAGAGCATAGTGGAAAAGTGAATGTGTAGCCACAGCAGTGCTATACACGCTGGATTTCATTAACACTATGGGGAGAAGTATTTCTATCACAACATCTTAAATGTAACTGGACACGTTGCCAGGCCGCACCCATGTGTGTGGACAGAAGGCACATTGTCTGCTTGGCCATTATCAGGAACGAGAGAGGGTTGAGAACTCCTGTTGGAGGCAATGACTTATGTAACTGTCTAAAATGAGCCTCATGTGCCTGTTATTTTGGAATTATCTGAGATGGGATCCACTCACTGTTATGGTAGGACTGCAGTGCACAAGGTTACTATATAAGTCCATTGAGAATATTTAGAATTGAACTTAAATCAAAATATGACACTGTTTGAATAAGTCCAGATCCTAACTGTATGTTTTGTAGATTTGTATGTATTTGTTATGCATGAACTGTATCAAATCCACATAAGGGGACCTAATTGGTTTAATTAATAGTTATAAACATTCTAAAACACAAACACACCACATAAAATGAGCCTGTATACATAGGTGTAGGAGATAGATCAGAAATAAAGTATGAAATCTATTATTATGTAAAACCTATATGGGAATTCTAGACAGTGGTGCCATGATTTCCCCTTTTTGTGTTTAGGGAAAGAAAACTCAACTTGCACTGTATCCATGTTTGTGTAAACTAATCTGTGACGACAAAACGTACCTGAAATTACAGGTAATTAGTGATACATTTATTACACAAGAGTTGTTCAATGAAACTGCAGCAGACAGAGGCTGCACTGCAGAGGACGGCTGCTGTTACAGAGAAGAGTGGTGAATTTTCATGACTCGTTTCCCTTTCAAACTCCTCCAGCCACAATCTCTGCCTTTCAGTCAAATTAAGCCCTAAGTGTGAAGTGCTTGACAAGGAAAGGCCAGCTCCACATATTACCTGAGCAGACCACCTCCATTTGTCATTTTCATAAAGAGAACATATGAACGATAAAAATGATAAACGTGTAGTTTTTAAAAAGCAAATGCAAATTATGTAAATGGCCAATTGGAGTGAACATTGAGAATTAGCCTTGAAAAAAACCATTGTATTGTGTAACATGTGCTAAAAAAAACACACTATCAAAATGACCCAAAAAATGAATACATAAATACAATAAATATTGCTTACAAAAGTTTGAGCAATATTTAAAAGCAAATATGTCAATATACTTGTTAGTGCTTTACCACATACAAAATAAACGCATTTTTACCAAACTAGATAATCAACCTGCAGGGCCAAACTACACATTTAAACAAATATATTCACATATTGCCCTGTGCTTTACCCCTCTCTGTGGTATATATAATGTGCTCAACGGGAGACAATATAGAGACTACAGAGCAGCACTCATATCAACAAGAGAAATGTGGCACTTGACCGCCAAGAGCTGTGATAATGGGGACAACATAAGGACAGGGCATGATTCTCACAGATTACAACAGGATGACACTTTGATACTAAGTCGCCCCCACACTTCTCAGAGTTGTGACAATCCAATAAAAGCATAACTCAACATACATTAACATCACTGTAGAGCCAAAGGTCATAACTTCAGCTGACAGTGACTTTTTCTATGTGACAATGCACGCTGACAATAATACACACACAAATACACACAAACACACGCACAGACGTACAGTACACAAACATAAGTAGTAGGGACGCTGTTACATCAAATACTTTGTAACGGCAGTCCAATAACAGTCATATTAGAAGCATATAGTCGAGATCCACCATCACACCTCTGTAATTAGTGAGAACACAACACCTGCTGTTTTCACCTGTCCTCGCGCGCGTATGTCCCGTGGAAGTTGGAACAGCTGAGCGCGCATAAACACGGGGAAATATGGTTGTAGAAAAGGTTCAAACTCACAGCTCCTATTCCTCTGGAGAAGTCACGTTGTGCTGCGGTCTTTGAAGAAAACCTACGTCGCAGCTGTGTCGTTCCCCCAGCAGCAGCAGTAGCAGCAGCAGTAGCAGCAGCAGCAGCAGTGGTCCTTCGGCTATACGCAGATGAGGGAAACATACGCAGTGTCTGTCCACCGGCCGCTCACTCGTTTGTGTGAGAGCTGCACAGTGGGAGGAAAAGCCCCGTGTGTGTCCCAGCCCTGCGCCCTTACGTACGACCAATGCTTTTGAATGCTCCGCTATAATGAAGAGACATAACTCCAACATGCCCCCTGCAGGACTGCGGGAAAAGCCCTGCATCATGTTGGCCAGAGTCATGATCAAGGCTGCTAAATGGTGGTAAAACAAAACGAAATTGTATATAGATTTCTAGAATTTCTCTACAATAACGGTGTTATGAGTAGATGCACTTTTGTCTCATTCCATGGAGAGTGGATAAAGTGATGCATTGTTTGAATGTCAAATATCAGATTACTAAATCATTATGAAACATTAATTAAAACTAGATCACAATTTGGGCAAGTATTGATACAAAAATTGCTGCATGTTGTGTTAGGCATACTATAAAAGTACCGTCACCAACGTGATGTAAATAATAATGATTAAATACAATTATTATTATCATTATTATTAAGGATGCAATAGACAACATTTATTGACGTATTCAATAATATTTCAGAAGTGAACGATAATCTCGCATGTACTGAGTGCTTAGTATTTCACTTAGGCTTGGGTTAAAGATATTGAATTGGGACAAAGGATCCATTAATTACAAATTTATTAAACAAAAAAGTATAGCAAACACTATGTGAAAAAAAGCCTTTAAAAACATTGATTTATTCTTCCAAACTAAAATGAAGACTTTTCAATTAATGCAAACATCTAGCACACACTTGTGGAAAATGAAGTCAATTGTCATTTTATAAATAAAAATAAAAAAGCTCTAAGCATCAGATTGATGCTTGGAGTTGTAGTTCACATCTTAGGAGGTGAAGGGTTTGATGAGGCCCAGTTCCATGGCTTTCACCAAACTTTCCCGTGCAGCGTTAATTGCCGCCTGTCGTTTGGGGTTGTCAGCAGCTTTGCCCACCACACTCAGGATCTCCAGCAGCTCGGTCTCCATCAGCCTTTGGCACAGCTCCATGTCGTCCGAGTTCAGCATGTTGTAGACAATGACAATGCCTCGGTGCTGGATGTCAGGGTTTTGGTTAATGCAAAGGCGCTGCAGAATTTCCAGCCACTGGGCAGTCTATGGAAGAAACGTTTTAATTATTAACATTTTACAGAATCTATACTGTTTAAAGATATCATGACTGAATAAATACACTATAATGTGATGGTTTGAACAAAGTGATTGTTCTGAACTTTTGTTAAATCATAAGAATGTCCGATCATCATGCCTGAGGTCCATTAGACTCAGGCTTGTGTCCTTCTAAATGTGCCATCCTAAATCCAATCCTTTCTGAAAATCATCTGCATCAAAGATGTGCATGTGATATCAATACGCTAAGTAACGAGTCTTATCAATGAAGAGGCAAGTCCCTGAACCTTTCCATCTATTTTCTTCCACTTTATCCATTGCCGGGGGGCAGCAGTCCAAGCAGAGATGCACAAGCTTGGGATAAGATAAGATAACAGAACCTTTATTTGTCCCACAGTGGGAAATGTTGGTAATGTCCATGCTGATGTCATCTCTGTTAGAAAGCTGGATAGTTTATCTTGAAGAAAACCTTTTTATCAAAGCGTATATTTGCCTGCCCTGGAGTAATTCAAGCCTAATTGAGAAGAAAAAATAAATCTATGTGCACTCACCACAAGTGTCATTTTCTTGCAGAGCTTCTTCTGTGCAGCAGTGAGCATGGCTAGAGCTCCAGCCGCTGCCACCTGAAGTTTTTCTTCCTCCTCACCACAGAGTAGCACAAGCAGCTTCAGCTTGTCATTGCCATCCTGCAAATAACGCTCCTGAACCTACAAAACATACATTCTTTAAGTATTATCAATCAATCAATCAATCAACGTTTATTTGTAGAGCGCCTTTCCTACACAAGGCAACGCAAAGCGCTTCACATCCCCTATCACATCATGCATAAATCAAACACATTATTTAGTGTTCAATGTTATTTGATCCTTGTTATGCACCTCTTTACATGTCACGAGGTTGCACATGCATTCAGTGGCAGCTTCTCGGATCTTCTCATTCTGCTCAAACATGTAGTTCTCAATTTCGGGAAGGGCCTTTTCCTTCACAATCTTGACTCTATGAAAATATACATTGTAATTCAGATCTAAATATTGCATCGTTGGTATTAGTGAGACAATTGACAATTTTAGAAAAACAAGGGTGCCTCAAGCGAACATTCTTGATAATGCATCAACTGAAAATGTCTTACCTTAACTTTTCGCTGTAACCAGCCAAGTTGGTGAGACCTCTGAGTGCTTCAAAGTTCTGCATTCCATCTTTGTCTGTTCCCAGTAGAGTAACTAGGGGACGCACAACTTCATACACCTGTCACAAGATGTAGACAACAGAATATGTTTGAACAGTGTGCACTGACCCACAACATGTTGTTTTTGATTATATCAATCCTCATACCCTTTCTCCAGGGAACGCAAAGTCTGGGTTTGAAATGGCAGCAATTTTGGCGATGGCATGACAGGCCCTCACCTTCCCAACCTCTGTTCCTTCCAGAGCCAGTGGGATTAAAGCCTAAAGAGGGAGAAACATTAAACAATAAAAATCAAATAGGCCTTCTCAATTTGAACCCTATCTGAGTCTTACATATTAAACTTGGGTTACTTAACTTTTAAATCACAAAAACTATGTAAGAAATTCCATTTAATTCCTTTCTCTCAAAGAGCATAGGTCTATTGCTTACTTTCATATGCATCTAGTTTTTGGCTGCTGTCACATCTTTAGGGGAGCTTTCAAAAGAAAACAGGAAGCGATGACCACTTTTTGACAATCAGCTCTCAGTCCATTGCATTACAGGGCTCTTTCTCTTGAGTATGCAAAAGATGTTTTTCTAAAGACAGCATTTTGTGTTGGGTCTGATTTGTACACAGAATGTTACTTTTACAAGACTCTCTCCATGGGGACAAACTGAATGTATAATTTAGTTTAGGAAGGTTCATCTTATCTTTTTAGTAGATTAAGTTATTTGGTTCTACATTTAAGAATAAATACAATAGAGTGAGGTTATAACTCAGTACCTTTCCGCCTCCTTGAGCCACTATGGTACCACGATCTTTTGGATCATCGGACAGAGCCAACAAAACCCTACAAGATACAAAAAAACTGTGAACTTTCCTTTACATGTGTGAAAATGCAATGAACCACTCTCAATACTGCTATCACATACCTTGCCATCATCTCTTTGGTCTGATCTGTAAGAATTGAGTTGTCTGCTTTCACCATGACAACAAGGGCGGATATAACCCCAGCCTTTAGCAGCTTTTTCACTCTATTCATCACAAAATCCTTTTTGTCTTTTGGGTGTTGTTCGGGCACGTGTTGCTTTGAGAACTTTGCGAGTTGGACCAGCTCAGGAAGGATCTCTTTCTTATCATAGGAGTTTGTGCAATTAACTAAAGTGGCAGCAACTGAATACAAGATGGTTTTGTCTTTTGACTGGACATGTAAAAACAGAAATATAAATTAGTATGCTTTATACATTTGCAGTGTGTAAAAGTCATAGCTTCATTTTGTCTCCCTACCATAGCCAGATCAAACATGGCTTTCAATGCAAGCTCATCCTCAACAAAGTCATCCTTCACATCTGCATCATTAGTCAGATAAGCAAGACCTTCAATAGCCCACTTTCTTGTTTTGGTGTCAATCTGGGGATTACAAAGCCATCTGCAGAAGAGCACAAAACATTGTATTAATGTAGATGTATTGTTTAAATTATTATGATTTTGGATAGTGAGGGTCTTACTTCCTACACTGCTTGGCCAACTTCTCAGTGGAGCCTTCAGCAAACTGCCTTAGTGCATAGTCATCACCTCCAGCTGATCCCAGTTTACAGAGACCCTGTCAAAAATACCACATAAGTATGCGCATTATGAAACCATACATGCAATATTACTGCCGTCAATCCACTCACCACAAGAGCACGAATTTTAATCTTCTCGTTTTTGGTTTTCTTGTAAATGTCTTTGAGGAGTGACACACCGTTGGTGATGATGAATCCAGCGCGGCTCATTTTTGAAGAGGCATGAATGAGAGCCTCCACAGCGACCAGTTGGTCCACCTCGCGGTCCGACCCACACAGAGCTACCATCATCTCCATGATTCCCTGCTGCCCTACCAGAGCATTGCCAACATCAAAGGGACCCTGCAGCAGTCCTGAGATCACGTTGATGGCGTGGATGGTTTTGTCCATGTCATTGGGGTCAATTTTAGCTCTGTGAAACACAAGTTTGATGTACTGAAATGTTTTTGCACTGACAAGTGAATAATTTCACTGGGAACTTACTTGATATAACTTTTGCAGATGTCCTTGTAGTTGTCTCTCTCTGGGTCACAATTGAGGTCATCATATATTTTGTTCAAAAGCACACTGGCTATCAGTTGTGTGTTTTCTGTCATGGGAAGCTGGTCTGGGAGATCAGGGACTTGACCGCAAACCTTAAGAATCTTTTTTAAACCTAGAGAAAAAGGTTGAGTATGAAGACCAGATTATTCAATGTTATGATTTTATTGCATTTTATTTTTTTATTTTATTATATCAATTAACATGTTATAACTCACCATGATCAATTGTGAACAGTGTTTTGCTGTGGTCGGGATTCCTCTTGTTGGAGCGAGGAACATTTTTGCTGAGAAGATTCAGTGCCTGGTCTCTGCCATGACCTGAGACCTTACTGCTGCCAACCATTTCCAACAAGGACAACAGGATGGTCTTCAGCAGCTTTGTTGAATCTAAAAGGGGCACCAAACACATACATCAGCTATAGCTCATGGAGAAATGTATTTTGTTTATTTATTAAGTTGCATATAAGAAGTTCTTGCCTAAAACCAAAGCTTCTTCTTTTCCATACTCTCGTTTGTCTGCTCCGGTCAGAGAGTCATAGACGCACTGGAGTAAATTACAAGTAGCCAGAGCTATCTCCTCATTGTCGACTGCCATGACGCTGCACAACTTCTCAACACCAACCAAATGAACAATTGCCATTGTCTGTTCAAGACAAGAACACACTCTGAATAAGTGACCACTGTACTTCTGAAGCAATGCCACTTTTGTTTGAATCACACTATGTCCTCACCCTGGCCTTATGTCCAGTGCACATTCCAGACAGTGTGCGGATGGCAGCCAGGAGCATTTGAGGTTTACCCGTCTCGATCATGTTGAGCAGCAGTGGGACGCCATTATTCTCAAAGATTCTCTCCGCTCCTGCATCTTCTCGGGACAGCACTATCAGGTTATTAGCTGCCTAAAGAAGTTATAATGTATGAACAATTAATAACAATGCCTTTTCCAATACAACTTATATAAAAATAACCCACTTTTTCTTTTGTGTCTGTATCCATTTCCTCATCAAGAAGAATGTCAAACATGTTTTGTACTCTTGAATCTGTGGAAAATGATGTCTTGAGCTGCAAAATAAATATTGTATACATTTGAATTATCTTTCATCGACAATAATTAAGATAAGTTAGTCCTTTATTCATCCCACAGTGGGGAAATTTCAGTGTCATAGTTGCGCACATTACAGCAGAATAAAAGGAGGAAATAAGAGCACTCAGGATGCACACAACAAACAAAATCTATTGTATAAAATAATAGATTATGAAATAAAATGATTTATCTCATTTTATCTAAATGAGCATCTCTGGCCACCCCCCGACCCAGAAATGGATTAAGGGGAAGAAAATGGATGGATGGATGGAAATAAAATGTTATGTAATAAAATAATAGAATAAGATAAGAACAACAAATCCTAAATATTCTATTTATACCAACACTATACAAACCTTGGCTTGGATGTCTGCTCCTAACCGACGTAGAGTTTCCAGGAATGTTTTGTTTTTTGGTTCAATAGTCGCACATCTCTGTACATCTTTGAAAGCCTGATCTAATTTTCCAAGTTTTTCCAAAGCCTGGCATCGCCGGTACAAGGCTTTAATGTCAGCTGCGTCAACGTCAATTGCTAAAAGAAATGAATTATTGAATGAAAGAATTAACAATTATTGTTGCGTATTTATACTTTTTAAATCTCATGTCATGTGATACCTTTTGTTGCATCACTTGCAGCACATGAATATTTTTCCTGTGAGAGAAAAAACAGTCAACCATGTTCTATTTCACTTTTCATCCATTTGAAATGGCTTGATTTGTCTGCAAACCTGTTTCAAGTAACATGCAGATCGATTTCTGTAAATAATAGCCAACGTCTTTTTGTCTTTGCATTCCTTGGCGGCTTTTGTGTAGCACTCAATGGCTTTATCAACATCCCCGTTCTGGAAGAATTTGTTCCCTTCATCTTTCAACTGAATTGGGTCATCCATCTAAAAACACACAGCAGACCGAGTGAATTATTTGGAAATATCTGCAAAACAGTCCACAACACCAGTTTATACATCTATGGGTTTTAACTATACCCATTTAAATTAAAGAACAATTCTAAAACAATTGGAAGCAGAGTTTCCTGAACAGGTATTTCTCAAGTAACAAGTGTAATTCATAAACATGATAAGAATATTTGTTTATTTTTTATCAATAGATTGGTCTTACCCTTCTCTGTCTGTTTCCAATGTGTTTGAATGGAGCAAATGGCTATCCACATGTTATCTCAAACTTTAAATGGCCTCTGCCCACACCTTATTTGGGCATGACCCAAGTCAACCCTTAAGCTCACCTTTTCCAATGAACAAATGCTCTCTTCTACATTTGTACAAACGTGTTCCATGCAATTTTACTTCAGGCAGATTAAATGCCATAGTAAAAAGTTTTCAGAGAAGGCATACCTTTTGTGTTTTATTGAGTACGGCGTCTTCTTCTGAGTGAACTTCTCTCCAAATGTGGTCTGGATCTACAGTCTGAACTGTTTCAAACTTTTTTCTTGCTCTTTGTAACCTTGCCCCTCAAACACTCCTGTGTGTATATATAGAGTATCTGAATGAGGTGGGACTCGACCAAGAAGAAGCGCCCTGGACCATTGGGGGTCGATCTCAAAGGCTCAAGGTTGCTTTCAAATATGATTTTTTATTTTTATTAACACGATCAAAAAAACTCAACATTTTATCTGTACTCTTTCCTCTGTGAAAGCTCGTTGACCTTATTTTTGATAAAAGGATTGTTGTTTAGAACATGTAATTCTGGGGCTTACACCCCCTGGGGATGGACTACCCCTGATAAGTTCTATTTAGGGCATAGACAGCTGAGAACACACTAGCAAATGCCTGATCCCAGAGTGACGCGTGGGGGGAGTGTGGTGCCAAGTGTGATGGGGCTCTGACAGCTGGAGGATCCGAGAGAAAGCGGGAAGCTTCTGGAGAGAGGATGGTCTTCTTAACTCTTTGGGAGAAGAGGGGATGATTAAAGTGATAAAATAGTGCATTAATTTTCCATAAAGTTTGACCAGGATTACACAGAGGTATAATAGTTTTGTGTCAAACACAAAAGCACCCGGAGAAAACCTACGTTGACACAGGGAGAACATGTAAACTTCACACAGAAGGGATGGCTGTCAGAAAGTGGAATAGAACCAAAGTGCTAAACACTTTGCCATTTGTAATCGCCATTTGAGACTCAAAGGAAAGATTTAGAACAAAATAAAACAAAAAAACAAACAAAAAACATTAGCTTATGACTGTTATCTTGAGGCACAGAGAACCAGACCACAGGTGCGGATCATGGTGCTGATGTCATGGTGCTGATGTCATGGTGCTGATGTCATGGTGCTGATGTCATGGTGCTGATGGCTCTCACAGCCGTTCAGCCTGGTTTCTTTACAATAGCGTTAAACATGTACTCCACAAGATGGCGACACAGCACTATTCTTCTTTATATGAATGGTTCTTCAAACTCTTCTACGTCTACAGTCTAAAGTCGTAGATCCACATTGACCGATTTATGAACCTGAGAAGTTGTATAAATGTGTGTAAAAGTGTGAAAGTTAGAGTACTGTCGGGGTGATAAATACGTAATTCTCTAGGCCGAGTTAAACTTGTATATTCTTTCACAAGACTCATTTGGTAAACGTTTTTCCCCTATGTATATATATCACTATGAACAGATTATTGACAACATTGTGACAGTTACGAGTAAATAGTTTTGTTTAGAAAACACAAACCGGAAGTGTGTGTGATTTTCCTGACGTAATGCTGTGAGGTCTGCATCCTCTGAAAGCCTGGCCAAGGCGAGCTGCCTCTGCACCGGCTCAAATACATGTCCGTTTTATGCACATTTCTGCGTAATGAAGGATGGCGTCTACTTTCGGGAAAATAGTCGTGGGTACATATGTGGAGATAAAGCGCAGCGATGGTAAGAGTGTGTCTGTGTCTGTGGCGACTCCTCATTCACAGAACAAGTTGTTGGGGATCTTTGTTGTTGGATACAGCAGCAGCCGTTGTTCTAGTTGCACACCCAGCGTCACATTCACGCCCGCACTTCTCCAAAACCTGAGCTGCTCATAGCCAGGGCCGAGCTATGCACTATGGAGTCTCCGCTTCCAGGCCAGTATGTCTGAAGTGTAACCGTTGCATCGCGTTGTATGTATTCATGCCCTGGTGAGGAATACGTTTGGGCCTAGCTAGTTACCCACATTGTTGAAGAAGTGTGAGCCATACAAAAGACTGTGCGTGAACCCATAACGGTTCACATACGACTAATAACGAGGCTAACATCAGCTTTTTAGGCGCTCCCAAAGTCCCTGGAGAAAGCTCTGTCTGTGGCTAATGCTAGCTTACCGGCTTTATAACAGCTTTATGACGGATAGGGTGTCATGATAACTGGGATTCACTTAATCAACAGATGTTAGTGCTATAGTTGTATTTGGGACTGTTTTTGTGTTTTTAAGATGCCACGTAAAACATCACGTTGTCATGGTAACTTAATACCAAAATGTTCTTTAACCCCATTTACCAAGCCTTTTAGCTTGTGGTCAACTATTTAGGTTTTTGTCTGTTTTGGAAATGAATACACAGGAAGTGGACATCAAAGCACATTCATAGCATTGTTTCTGTATTCTTGTTCACTCAATGTAGTTAGCTAACTCTGGTAACATTAGTCAATAAGGCAAACTTGTTCTGTGACTCCTTCCCAAGTGAATAGCAGCTTTATTTGGTCTATTATATTTGTTTTGCTGCAGGGACAGGCTGTCAGGAGCACACCATCCAGTTCACCCGCCAGGATTAGGATGGCAACACCCACTTCATTATGCAACACAATGAATGAATGAATGAACGAACGACATAAAAATAACTAAAATATGTCTTGTTTTAATCAGTTTTCTAGAGTACATATTTTGGTACAGTCTTGGCTGAGTCATATAGACAATTATGTACATATTAATGTGCATGTTTAAAATAAAATACAAAAAGCATTATAGTAATCATGAAAACAAAATGCTCTTTCACAGAACCACTAATATATAAAATGTTATCAACTACTGAAGCTTGAACTACTGATACAAGTGTAAACTGTGTGTTTGAAAAATTTAACTGATGTTTTGTAGTCACATGAGTCTGACATTTTACTAACTTGGACAGCTGCCATTTAAAACATAGTATATATATATTTCTCTCCTCTGTCTATTTGAGGTGTGAGAGATCTTACATCCATAGAAGAAGTCATCATTCTTTACAAATACGGAGCTTTCTTATGGAGGGGTCGCATATTTAAATTCTAATCTATTGCAGAGAGCTCAAGGAGTTTTCTCTCCAGCATAGCGGATCATAAAATTACATACTTTATTTTTAATAGTAAAAATGTAAACAATCATGCCACCACGACCACACCATTTTTAGTACAACCCACTAAAACGGCTTCATAACTCACTTAACACACATGTACTAAGTCATGGGTGTCCGTCGGACTTGCTTTTGGAAAGTGTTGCATTCATCCATGCATCCTAGTTTTAGTGAAAAGTGGGACACACTAGAATCAGTGCATTCATTTACAAACAATTAGCAGGTCAGCTGCTGTGGGAAACCACTATTGCTTCATCACTTCTTTGGAATTAGAACCCCCTGCCTCATTCTGCGCATTACATTTCCAGGAGGAAACATGATACATGAAATTACAGAGAAAAATAAGAGTAATATCCACAATCAAGTGGATTTCTGATGCTTCTGTGTTGCTTTCCGTTTGGTGTGTTTGCTACTTAAACTTCTCCAACTTGAGAAGTGTGGTACTTGGGATCACATGCCGGCTGTGATGCAGCTGCTGTAACTGTTGCCAAAGGGCTACCGTAAACCACTTTGTTATAGGATTATATGTCTGTCTCTCCATCTTATTATGAGGGCTGCAGAGTTCACGGTTTACCAGAACATAAAGGTGTATCTGTTTAAATAGTGTTGTCCATCCGAGAGACACTGAAAGCTCAGGGATTATAAGTGATATCAAGTAATATTGCCTTAGACATAAAACTGAGGCACTGATAATAGTCATTTTAAAGTGTGATCGCTTACTGTTGCACAAGTTGAGGAACGTTTCCCAGAAAGATTTCTGAATCATTAAATATGAATGTTCTGATCTGTGGTTCTGATGTTTGCTTCGGTTAGAACCTGGTAAAAAATTCCAATTTGACTTTGATAAGTATTTTCAGTACATGGTTCATTTAAGCGACGTCGCTATGAACGCTTGGCCGGAGCCAGAGCTGTGTTCGCATTGCCGGCAGTAAGTCAGACCTGTTCCCGGTGAATGTTGGCCTCCGACAGGGCTGCCCTTTGTCACCGGTTCTGTTCACTGTATTTATGGACAGAATATCTAGGCGCAGCCAGGGGTCGGAGGGGGTCCGGTTCGGGGACCACAGGATTTCATCTCTGCTGTTTGCGGACGATGTTGTCCTGTTGGCTCCAACGAACCAGGACCTGCAGCATGCACTGGGACGGTTTGCAGCCGAGTGTGAAGCGGCTGGGATGAGAATCAGCACCTCCAAATCTGAGGCCATGGTGCTCGACCGGAAAAAGGTGCCCTGCCCTCTTCAGGTGGGTGGAGAGGTCCTTCCTCAAGTGGAGGAGTTCAAGTATCTCGGGGTCTTGTTCACGAGTGAGGGAAGAATGGAGCGTGAGATTGACAGGCGGATCGGTGCAGCGTGCGCAGTGATGCGGTCGCTGTATCGGACTGTTGTGGTAAAGAAGGAGCTGAGCCGAAAGGCAAAGCTCTCGATTTACCGGTCAATCTTCGTTCCCTCCCTCACCTATGGTCATGAGCTTTGGGTAATGACCGAAAGAACGAGATCGCGGATACAAGCGGTCGAAATGAGCTTCCTCCGCAGAGTGGCTGGGCGCTCCCTTAGAGATAGGGTGAGGAGCTCAGTCACACGGGAGGAGCTCGGAGTAGAGCCGCTGCTTCTCCACGTCGAGAGGAACCAGTTGAGGTGGCTCGGGCATCTGTTCCGGATGCCTCCTGGACGCCTCCCTGGGGAGGTGTTCCGGGCACGTCCCACCGGGAGGAGGCCCCGCGGAAGACCTAGGACACGCTGGAGGGACTATGTCTCTCAGCTGGCCTGGGAACGCCTTGGGGTCCCCCCGGACGAGCTGGAGGAAGTGTGTGTGGATAGGGAAGTCTGGGCGTCTCTGCTTAGACTGCTGCCCCCGCGACCCGGCAACGGATAAAGCGGAAGAAAATGGATGGATGGATGGGTTCATTTAAGGCGACAGTAGCTCAGTTGGTAGAGCATTGGCCTTAAGGCCAGAAGGTCGTGGGTTCAATTCCCACCTCTGCACCTTCTCCACCGACTCCCACTGATGACTGCTGTCGTTGTGTCCTTGGGCAAGACACTTAACCCCACTTTGCCCAAAAGCCCCCACTGAAAGATCAAGGCTATGCTCACACAGAGAGCAGCCGTCCTCCTGTCCGTCCCGTCCACCTGCAGAGGGTCAGTGAGGGGCTGGTGCTATGAGACTTAGGTGGCATCTGTGACTGCCACCCCCCTGACCCAGAAATGGATTAAAGGGTAGAAAATGGATGGAAATGGATGGAATGGTTCATTTAAGATAAATCATGTAGCATCAAAAATGGCATCTGGACATCCCTATCATCCTGGCTCACATCAGAAGGATGTGTGTAGCCCTCAGTATGAGAATATGTCGTGAAGGACAAGGGTAAATGTGTGTCCAACATATGTTGTGTTTCATATTTCTTAAACCCAAAATTAAGTAAAATCTAAATTATTAAAAGTAATATTTATAATGTATTAATACTTTGGTTATTGACTTAAAACAGGGCAAAGATCTAGATGTGTAAAAACAAAACAAAAAACAACAACTAAGATCTTCCAAAGGCTTGGGAAATGTTTTCACTGACATTAATGGATTTGTTAATATTTTATCCATATAGTCAGGATTGTTAGTTTTAGCTATTTAGTGGTTTCATCGGCTGATGGAATCCTAGTCAACCAAAATATCTATTAGCCGACCAATTCTTTTTACATATTCAAATGATTTATTAAAGCAAAATAGAGGAATATATATTTATTTATTTATTTTAGTTTTAAGGCAGAAAAAGTAATGCGTCATATGAATAATTGTTTTCTTCTTGCTTTAGTTGGTTTGTTAAAGTAACACCTCTGTTTCCTTTGACAGGACGTATACATCAAGCCATGGTGACCTCGCTCAATGAGGACAATGAGAGCGTGACTGTGGAGTGGATAGAAAATGGAGACACAAAAGGGAAAGAGGTGAACCAGTCTTTGTATTATGCCTCCATTAAATTATTAAGCTGCAGAATTGGGTTTGTCTTTAGATAAATATATAATTAATCATAGTATTCACAGTAATTACAGTATTCAGGAGATGAAAGCAGTCTGCATGCTCATGTCCTTCAGAAGTATATGTGACTGAGGTCACCTCGTGTGGCCTTTAGTTGATGCATTGTAATTGTATAACTCATTTATGTAATTGTACTAAATAGTTGTGATGTTATAAGCAGGAGTCATGCCTGATGCCTCTTATTTTCTCAATAGATTGATTTGGAAAGCATATTTGCACTTAATCCAGATGTAGCACCAGAGGAGGAGATCTCTCCCAGCCCTGAAACTCCTCCTCCTCCCACACCTACAGGTGTCAAAGTCAGCAAAATTGCTAAGGTTTGTCTTGAAAATGTTAATCTATGTGTAGTTTAGACTTGCTCTGAGTGTTGATGATTTCTCCCTGCTGCCTTGTGCCTTTGACAAAAGGAATTCTCCTAACTACTGGTCTAACTTGTTTGTTTGTAAATTGGGAAGGTCTTGCGGAGCATTACGTTTGACATTTTCAATAGATTCCTTCATAATAATTGGTTTTGAATTCATATCATCTCCTTGTTCTTTTGGGTCCGCAAATAGAATTATTCTTATGTAGAAATTGATTTCCCTTCTTCGATAAAATGCCAGCTGCCAGTTATAGCATTTAACAAAACTTGTCTTTGACCAGAATCGACGCACAATAGCTCCAAATAAGTCTGAGACACCGTCCAGAGATAACAGAGGTGAGTCCATGTCTTGACAGAGAAAGTATATTATATTTAGATTTTTACCTCAAGCATTTCTGTTGTAGTGCTTCCAACCCGCGGCCGAGCCCTGCCATCGCAGCAGCAGCCGCCACAGCCTTCGCAGCTTCCGCAGCCTGAGTCGACACCGCCGCCTCCTTCACAGCAGCCAGCTCAGCTCACTCAGGCCCAGACTCAACAGCAACTACAAAATGGTAATTCAACTAATATACATTTCTTATTGCACTGGTCTCTGTATACAATAGACAGCAGTGAGACTATCAGCTCTAGCTTGTAAACATATTCTTTTCTTAAGGAGAATTTAACAGGGTTTAACTTGAAAATGTAAATATGTGCTAGAGAAAATTATGACATGACAAACGTAAGCCTGTCAACTGGATCTCTGAGGCCCTGTCCTGACGAAGATGAAACGGCGTATAATTTTGTCGTATCATGAAAAGACGGGCCGCGCCTGAATTTAACATTGTGTGGACAGGGTCTGAATCATAACACACCAAAACATCCAAATTGCATCCTCTGCTATCCTGCATTATGGACTAGTGAATCATCTGAAATTGTAAATTTTAGTCTAGAAAGTTGAAGTGTATTGGCTTTAGATCATTATATTTTCTGACTTTTTATCATTATAAACATGAACATGCAAATTGTGTCAACCCGATCTTAATACGTCTCGCAGTGGATGCCTGCAGTTGAAGGGATTTTTCTGGAGGGGGGTGTGTCCTCTCTGCACTGAGTGCACAGTCTGCTCAGTATCTTTGCTGCTGTCTCATGCGCCGTAGCTGCCATTTCTTAAGTACACATGACAGTTTTTTTATGTAGTATTTTTATGATGGAATGACATGTATTGTGTATATAGGAGCTATACCCGTTTCTGCAAGGTTTGAATGTTTAGCCCCCCAACTCGCTCACAGGCTTCTCATTTCCCCTACACTCTCATTCCACGGAGCCATCTAGTTTTATTTGCGATCTGATACATATGCTAACATTAGCATTAGCACAACTTAAGCTGTACAGCCATCACTGATGAAATGGTACAAGAGCAACGCACTGCTAACAAAATATAACTGAAAGATTACCGCTAGTTTTGCGTCCGAATGTGGTCCGAGCATAGATAGTCCGAGACAGTCCTGCAGGTCTCTCCCATAGACAAGTCTCTCCAGAGGATACGATGTAAGCTAGCTATGTTCACCAGGGCTTGATTTCGTCTTTGATCATTTTTACGCTTTAGTTCCCTCTTCTCTTCCACACAGCAAGAAGAGTTATAGCCAATTCTGCTAACATGCTACTGTGTTTAGCAGCGCTGTAGAGGCTAGAGGACGCAGGCTGTTCGCTCCTCGTTCTGTGAGTGGAGGAGAGCGAGCGTCCCGCTAAGTCTCTACTCAGCACTTTTATACGGCCTGAATTCATACAAAGCTGAATCAATGAGCTCAAGTTTTCAATTAAATTACGGATTATAATAAGCGTTTTTATGAACTCATTAGAAATAAATCGAGTATAGCTTCTTTAATGACCTTTTTTCTGATAAAGCGGCAGTTTGTTCGTCTTTTTTTAATCTAGATTTACAGAAAGTAGAGATGTGTTCTTGAATCTCCCTCCTGTTCAAGAACATCAACAAATTTTGCGGCGTTAAGGAGTTTCTGCCCAGTTTATTACTCAACACCCCTCTGGTGATGTTATTATTTACAACCAGAAAGTAACTAATGACTTTTGAAAAAAATCTAGCAAATTCTTAAATATAATGACTTTGACTGTGTTTTGTGAAAAGTAAGTTCTTAACTGTTTAAAATGTCTGATAGGGAGGAAAATCAGCTTGGAAAGGCCTGAGTGAGACTAGTGAAACATAATAAGCCACAACTTCTGTGTTTTCAACATCGCAGCTCTTGTCTTAGCTTCAATATCATGATAATAGGGTCTGTTGCATTAAAAATCTGTGGAGTATACTGCAATGTGCTTCACAATTTGGGGATTTAGACTAAATATTGACAATTGGGACAGCCGTGATTCAGCTGCAGTGTTTACCCAAGAGCCTAAAGTCATGTTATCCTGTCCTTGAACAAGACCTAATGCATTATTCTTTGCAGTAAACGATTGCGGATGGTCTTAATGTTATGTCTCATTCATGAAGATCATATGGATCCTGTTCAATGTTTGTTTTCATTAAATACATTTTTGTCACAGAAAGCTTGCATCAACCTTTCTCCAGAAAAGAGTCTTGCCAACTTTGTATGTATCTCCTAAATGTTTCTCCGCCCTTGTGATTTTTGTCTTCTGATCATAGAACGTTCATTCCAATGTTAGACAAGATAGTGACATAATTGTCTCAAACTTACATGGGGTGCTGGTGGTGAAGTACAGTTGGTAAAGCAAATGTTTTTGGTTAATCTAAAAGTTGATTATTTGGCAGTACAGTTGTATCCGCCTCAGACAGCTGAGTCACGACTGAGGAAAAGCCCTTGGCGCTGTTCCTCCTCTCGGCTCACTCTGTTACAATCACATTTTCTGCTTCCACATTTCTCTGTCACAGAGAAGACTGATAAGATATTTTTCTGTTTTCCTTTTTGAATCAATTGTCTCTCCACCACTTGGATCCACCAAAACCCTCATCCCAGTGCTGACCCAGATCATCTCCTCTCAGATTAACAGATTATTTATTCTGTGCTCTGTTTGTCTGGGTCCCAAAGACTGGCCAGCATTGGACAGAATAAAACTGTTAATCCAATGGCGAGCTGAATTTATTGAAACATTTGAAAGCAATTGTGAAGTTAATATACTGTACTAAGATATAATAATAGAATATGTAATTCATTTAATCAGTTTGGGGGCACATTGTAATCCTTTGAGAAATTAATTCTTGTTTATTTTAATTGATTCTAATGAATGTAAACTGCATGAGGGTAAGTGGATTGAATGATTTTAAGTATGCAAAAAGAGGAGACTGCAGTATACTTTGTGAAGGCCCCATTGTGGTTCTGTAGTGAGAGCCGCTAGTGTTTGAGTGGAGGCACTGTGTACCAGCTGCTCATTTGCCTTTGCTGGATTAGTGATTGTTGTTGTTAGATTAGTGCTAAATATCAGTTTTAGCAGTGTAATCATGTAAAAAGTGAATTCACTGTAGGTCTGCTCAACTATGGAGAGGTAGCTATGCTTTTAGCCGTGTTGCAACATTGTTCCACTGTCATCTAGCACAATGTAACTCCCCTAATTATAATTTGAAATGTATTGTGGGCCTAAATATGTTCATTTTGCAAGTATAAGATTAGTTTGATAGAAAACACTCAATTTGTCTCAATTCTGACATCCAATTACAGTCAGACATATGTCAGTGACGCAAACTTTTGATCCAGCCTGAGTTTCCTAGCTGAATTTCCGAGTTGAGCAGGGTTTCAGTCCCATTTTTTATAGAGCAAAATCATAACTCCACGTTCCGAAGTAACATCATGTGTTTGCAATTTAAATATATATATTAAACTTAAACAAGCTCCTCCCTCTGGTGGTAGCATAGGGAGTCACAGGCAGAAAGCATTGTTTACCATTCATACTTGTTCTACTTTAATGCTTTTGTCTTGGTAATATATACTGTAGCACTATAATGTATGTGTAAGGAGAATAATGAGTAGCATAGATGAGAAACTTATGATCCTTGTCTTTTTGATTACAACTGTTTTGTTTAATGATTTAAAAGATAAATTAATTGCACCTCTCACTAATTTGTCCCAAGCAACATGGTTTCAAGATGATGTCTGTTTGTTTTTCTGGTAGCACGGAGAAAGTCTAATTGTGTGAAGGAAGTAGAGAAACTGCAAGAAAAGAGGGAGAGACGGCGACTTCAACAGCAAGAGCTAAGAGAAAGGAGGGCGCAGGTACAATCTTGTCTGCAGTCCTGAATTCTCAGTTATACTATATCTTCTAATTGATATTCATCTTTCCTTTTCTCAGGAAGTGGACACGACTATCCCCAACTTTGAGATTATGTACATGATTAGAGATTTCCGAGCCAGTTTAGACTACCGGCCATTGACAACAGCAGATCTGGTTAGCATTTAAATATATTTTACTTTCTCTTGTAGTTAAATCGATAATGTTATTGTTTGATTCTTACTTCGTAGATTGAGGAGCACAGGATCTGTGTGTGTGTGAGGAAACGTCCACTAAACAAAAAAGGTAAAATACGCTTCTATTAAAATCCCTGTTTTATGACCCGTGTTGAAATACCACTTCGACCTGGGACAACAGTGGCTACAGGAAAGTGTTATAATGAATAATAGTTGTGGCTTTCAGTATCAGTCTTTTAAAAGTCACAGCACAGTGGGATCAGTTAGTACCAGAGGGAATCACCTTGTAATGGACCACAGCAAGTGTATCATCCACGAGGAGCAAGAGGAAAAATTGTATGCAAGCACAACTTTTAATAGGAAAGGCCATTTTGTGCAAAAGCCTTGTGGGAAAGACCAGTTTGTCAATTTAACAAAAATATTGTCACTGTGTCTTTTTCATTCATCAGAGTTGGCCATGAAGGATTTGGACGTGATCACAATTCCAAGTAAAGACGTAGTGATGGTGCATGAGCCAAAGCAGAAAGTCGATCTCACCCGTTACCTTGAGAACCAAACATTCCGCTTTGACTATGCTTTTGACGATAGCTCCACAAATGAGATGGTCTACAGGTTTGTTAGGAGGGCACATGTGCAGCTGCGGCGAAAGGATTCTCATTTGTCTTTGTGTGGTTTGACCTGCAGGTTTACAGCCAGACCCTTAGTAGAAACCATCTTTGAGCGAGGCATGGCTACCTGCTTTGCCTACGGACAGACTGGCAGTGGAAAAACCCATGTAAGTGCCAATCCATAGCTTAGAATTTAGCAAATGTATAAGTATATATACATTTAGTACATTTGAGTCAAGTGCTGATGCCTGATCTTAAAAGAGTTCTTGTTCATTGGTAGACTATGGGCGGTGACTTTTCTGGTAAAAATCAAGACTGTTCGAAAGGAATCTATGCCCTTGCCGGTACGCACATTTTTATGCTTTGAGATTAACAATTTGTAAGTTGTGTCTCATAACATTCTCTTTCACCGCAGCTCGGGATGTATTTCTCATGTTGAAGAAGCCCAATTACAAGAAGTTAGATTTACAAGTTTATTCCACGTTTTTTGAGATCTACAGTGGGAAGGTATGTGACAAATTGCCCGTCTCTGCTGGCAAGAGAAATGCTCAATGTGCCGTATGCTTTTAGGTTTTTGACCTGCTGAATCGAAAAGCCAAGTTGCGAGTACTAGAGGACGGCAAGCAGCAAGTGCAAGTGGTTGGACTTCAGGAGAAAGAAGTAAAATGTACAGAGGATGTCTTAAAACTCATAGAAGTCGGCAACAGCTGTCGGTAGGTTGCTTTTTAAAACCAAATTTAAAAAACTCTAAGCTTTGTATGTGTACAGCACTAAAGCATAGTCGTTACTCAAAAAACATGTACTGCTGCCTGCTATGGTGGAATCGCACTATAAAGATTTCTCAGGTCTGCTGTTATGGGTCGTTGGACATAAGTACCTTTTGTGCAATTTCAGAACGTCAGGACAGACATCAGCCAATGCCCACTCATCCCGAAGCCACGCCGTGTTCCAGATTATCATCAGGAGGAAAGGCAAAATGCACGGAAAGTTCTCTCTTATTGATCTGGCTGGAAATGAGAGAGGTGCCGACACGTCCAGTGCTGATCGGCAGACGCGCTTAGAAGGGGCGGAAATCAACAAAAGTCTGCTTGCTTTAAAGGTTTGTACATGACTTTCATACAAAACATGAACTAAAATGTTGTGTTGTCGCGTACCGTAAACGCATTCATATATTTCATTTTTAGGAATGTATCCGTGCTCTGGGTCGTAACAAACCACACACTCCCTTCAGAGCCAGCAAACTCACCCAGGTTCTCCGCGACTCATTTATTGGAGAGAACTCGCGCACATGCATGGTCAGTGCTGAAACATTTCTATCCTCCACCTCTGATCTTGGAGAAATGTGTGTTGTAATCGCTTCACATTTTCTACACAGATTGCCACTATCTCTCCCGGAATGACTTCCTGTGAGAACACATTGAACACACTACGTTATGCCAACAGGTGATCCATTGTCTTCAGAATATTGTTGAATGTCTGTGATGTAGGGCTGTAATTAATTATCATAATTATATTTGATCAGGTATGATTTAATTTATTTTATATTTAATCTATCTAATAAGGGATTTGTTGTATACATTTGATCAAAACAAAGAGCATAGACTATTCGTAACCTTTTTTTATGATTAGAAACAAATTAAACAAATCCATGTAATTCTGTAGTTATTATAGCTGTCATCAAACTGCTATAGCATGTTTTGGTGCAGGTATTTATGATAAAAATGAATCAATGACTAAGTTTTTTTAACTATTTAAATAGTTGCGATTGCGTGATTGTTTGTCGTTGACTCTTGTCGTTTTCTGACTCTTGTTTTTTCTCCCAACTTTCCTCTTTATCTTATCCTTGGCTCGACTATGCACTGATTTGGCCTTTGCTGCTCTTTAGAGTCAAAGAGTTTGGGATTAGTCCATCGGACATCCCCTTCTCCCAGGGCGGGCAGGGGAACCGTCCTGACCTCTCACCAACCAATACCTATGAGTATGATGACTATGCTGCTGTATCTCCCAGCAGGTCAAGCTCTTCCTAAACCAATAACTCATCCATGCTCCCCACAGTGCATGTGCTGCTCCCTGACCTAACGATCATCATTTCATCCCACATTCATACACACAATCTGCATGATCTCTTGCTTTTACATGTTTTTTTTGTTGCTAAAGACACTTTGACTTTGAATTATTGTTTTATTTTGAATGACTCCTTTGCTGCTGTACTGATTATAAAGAGGTCCATCAGTGCTGCAAAGAATCTGATAAGCATTTGAAATGTAATGAAAACTTTAAAGTGAAAACATTCGTGTTCCCCCCCCCCCCCAGAAATGGATTAAGGGGTAGAAAATGGATGGTTGGACATTTAAAAGTATTTTTGATGCTCTTCAATGTCACTGTTGGTGGTTTTAAGACACAACAATGTTTCCAGACATTCTTTTCATGCACGTCGCTGCCATCATTATACTATTCATATCTGTTTAAAAGTCCTGTCTTGAATCATTACAGTCCCGTAATTACCCATTACCTTTGCAGGGTAAAAGAGCTTACAGTGGACCCTAACCAGGTGATGGAGGGCGGCCGTCCCAACATCCATACTGTAAATCAGTTGGACCTAGATGAAGAGTGGATGGGCCTCTCTCCTCAGAGGGACGACCTCAAGCTGCTGTGTGAACAGAATGTGAGTGAAATGTAGAAGTTCCAACTAAAATTGATAATTTAAATTGGAGGGCAGATGCAAAAGCAACAAAAGATTTATAGAGGAATATTGTCACCACCTTTCACCTTTAAAATAATTTGACCATAGTTGATCTGTACTGACGAAGAATATCTGGAACTTTAAGAGTTTCTTGTTTCATGTGGATTGGCCCAAGAATTAGATACATTAGCTCTAAACTACTAACTATATTTTCCAGGAAATATTTGTTTGCAATTGGTGTCATGTGTTCCAGGAGGAGGAGGTGTCCCCTCAACTCTTTACTTTCCACGAGGCCGTGTCTCAGTTAGTGGAGATGGAGGAGCAGGTTCTTGAAGACCACCGGGCTGTTTTTCAGGTAAAGAGGAATCAGTGCTCTCCAGCCAAAAGCTGTCATTCACTACACGCTGCATTTTTGAAAGCTCAGTACAGCAAAATATTAGGTGTGCGTTTGGGAAACAGTCTATGGGTCAAACACTCATTTTTATATTGTTCTCTATGATTTCCTACTTTGATCCAAGGCCTGTCAATGTTATTTAAATTACACCGGAATGTATCTTGATAATATTACATTTTATTACTTACATTTCCATGAAATCAAGTGCTACAAAAAAATAAACATGTATCAACTGTTTCTGCGTACAGCTGGATCAGAGGGCTACACACTCATTCATAAATACCAGACTCACTTTGCTGTATGGGCAGATTTCTGATGTTGGCAAATGAGGCCTATTGTGTGTCATTTGCAGGAGTCCATTCGATGGCTGGAAGATGAGAAAGTGCTGCTGGAGATGACTGAAGAGGTGGACTATGATGTTGAGTCGTACGCCACTCAACTTGAACAGATTCTGGACCAGAAGATTGACATCCTCACGGAGCTCAGAGGTATGGACTGTTTTGCAGCTCATACTGTAAGACTCAATGTCTTTGAAATATACTGCATATCTTTTATGATTGTGATGTTTCCACTCTTCAACAGATAAAGTCAAGGCATTCCGCTGTACACTTCAGGAGGAGGAGCAGGCTAGTAAGCAGATCAACCCCAAGAGGCCACGAGCTCTTTAGAGACAGTGACGCACGATAACATAACCACTAGCAGTTGGACAAATTGGACTGCCACTAACATTGATAAAAAGTATTGCATCCAGACTTCCATCATTTAATTCCATTCCCAGACATCTGGCTGGTCATTCAAGTCAAAGGGAGGATTTTTTTTTTTAGAAATAAGTTTACCTGACCTTTTGCATAAATTATTTCCTTTTTATACTTCTTTTTATGAAAAAAAAAAATCTTCTGAAAACCATGTTCTTTATGGTTAACTTGTTTGCATGATTGCACTGTGACTGAACACCAGTCTGTGCTTTAGGTCTTCACTTAAACTGTACAGGACAATTTTGTAACATCTGTTTGTGTTGGCCAAATGCACATTACTTTTGCATAATTTGTCAGCCTGAGACTCAAAACTTTGTTTCTTTTGTTCTGGACATATCGAAGCTGATCTTGGCGTCGCATTGTGCTTCTTTTGTGTACTTTTCTTCCAACTCTGTCCCGTAACATTCATTGCAACTGTCATAAATTACCCAAATGTATAATTCCCCCATTTTGTGTAGGCAACTCTGCAGAGGTCCAGTGTCTGTTTGCACCAGATGTAATTATATAAAATAAAATATCATGTTTTGGTTCATATGTCAAATTACTGTGCGATACAAATCAGACAAATGTGCAGCTTTAAAAAAAAAAACTACACTTTGCAATTAAAAGAAGCCGAGGCCTGATTTAACCAAAAATGTATTTGCCATTAAATAGTAATTTACAAAGACATTGAATATTGTATTTCTATTGTTGCCCACATTTCCATAACGGAAACACTCCTCAGCTTTCCATTAATGCAACAAAATACTTAGGCTTTCTCCTTTAGGAAAAGTGGATCCCCGCAGAATTAAACGCATGAAGTAGCCTGAAAGAAATGTAAAAATACAGCAAATACAGCACTTTCCCAGATAGAAAACATTGTGACATGTTGCTTAGATATTACTTACACCATGAAATCATCTATGTCCATGGACCGAGCTCTCTTGTCACTGAAATTTGCTTCTTGCAAAACACTTTCAATCTTCTTAGTAATACTAAAATCGTCTGGTACAGGCTGTAAAGGGCAAATATTTAGAACGAGTCTTGCATTTATTTAAATGGCTGTTTACTTACCACATTATGGACAGAACAATGGATTCTGTAGTTTTTCTCAAGGAGCTGCTCCACTGCTGTAGATCTGAAATTAGTTTTAATGATTATTATAAATACAGAATTCTCAAATGCGTTACTATTGACCTTAAACAGCTACTCACTTGAAGGCAGCATTGAGTGTTTTGTTTTTCCGTACAAAGGCTATTCTGACCAAGCCGTCCCACTCCTGAAGAAGATATTGAAAATTGTAAATGCAACACTTCAGTGCACAATAATTAAAACAATGTACCTGAAAGTTCACAGGAGGAGGAGGATTTTTGGGCTCTATCCTGACGACACTTGATTCTACTTTAGGGGGAGGGCGGAAATTATTTTTTCCCACCTGTCAAGAAAGGTTGATGTTTAAACAATTGCATAATAAGTATATTGTAATAAAAGACATGAAACAAACCTTCATGAGATGGTCAACTCGAGCTAGCAGCTGTGTGTTGATGGACAGTCTACAGTAAAGCTTGTCTCCTGGTGGTGCCACTAAACGCATTGCAAACTCTCTTTGAAACATCAACACTGCACATCTGGGGAAGGGTTGATATTTAAAAATGATATTAAAAAAAAGTACTTGAGTGAAGGAAATTAAACATTATTTATTGTAGTTATTACCTAAAGAATGGGCGATGTAACAGAAGTTTGAAGACAAAAGGTGATGAAATCTTCAAGATAAAACAGTTTTACATTACGGTGGAAACATATCCAAAGTTTATAACAGAAGTGTTTACCTGGTACGGTAAATTTGCGACACAGACGTCAAAGAAAGGAAGATCCGTTTTCAAAACATCACCCACTAGAATTTGGAGTTTACTTTGCATTGGACTGGGAATGAAACACAAAGGATTAAATAAAGGGAAATTATCTTAAATAATGACAATTCCAAAAAATAAACCCACGTGCACTGTACTCTCTTCTGAAGTTCAGCCACCAACCTGCCATCCAACTCACAAGCCACAACCTACGAATATTATATACCATAACTGCTTCATACAGACACTTTAGAAAAAAATGTAAAGAACAGAACAAACCTTTTTAGCTTTTTCTAACAGCTTCACTGTCATGTTTCCTGTGCCAGGTCCTACCTCAAGAACTACATCTGTTGGCCTAAGAGCAGCCTAAAACAAAATCAAGTCTTTATTTAAAGGTTATTTTCATTTCAACTACAGTTAATAAACATTAACCATCAAGTGAGTATTTTCATATTTTCATCATAGTTTACCTTGTCTATGATCCCATTCACTACAAGTGGATTCTTCAGGATGTGTTGCCCAACACCAGTGTTAAACATGATTCCTGGACAAACAAGAAAATAAAGAATATTATTGCAAAACTGTTAAATGTGAACTCGGGTTGACAAAAGTAAATTGATGTAAAATTGAATTTGTTTATTTTGTATACATAAGATAAACTTTGTACGTAGATCAATCATAAAATCAATCAGGATCGAAACATTATAATTTAGATAAACTTAATAAAATGACATAAACGGTACAATATGTGATATTTCTACATCAGCAAACATGCAAGTATAATTGTTTAGTTAAATATCCAGTTTATTGAGCAAAAACAGCTATATTAAAATGGCAGTATCAAAAATGGTACATCGTTTTCTTGTGTCAAATCTCAAATTATCATTAAAATGTAAAAGTTATACCGAGTTAAGGATTGATTAGAAATAAAGGATTCGTTCCCTCTTGTTTGTTTACAACTGGAGTCATGCGTTTATGACACTTCTGTTCTAGAGAAATTGAATATTGTTTTAGCGAGCCACATCTGCACAAACATCTTGCACTGCACAATATTCTTTAAATGTCACTTAAAAGCGTTGATCTTGTTTATATTTCCTCTGAACAGCTGACTGTGGGGCTATGCTAATGTTAGCGATAGCATTTATTAAACACGTACCTTGGTTTTTCACTTCTTGATGTTGACGACTTCTTTTTTCTGCTTTAACTTTCGGCATTTTCGTTATTTTCACAACAACTAATAGAAAGAATTAAGAGAAACCCGTTGAATTGTTGACGAGTGTCTGCACACGTGTCTTCCTCGCTGAATGCAAGGGTGCCAGATGCTCAGAGAGAAACAAGCTACAAGGCTACTAAACAAGTGATGATGTGCTTACTTCATACCAAAATAGACGCAAGACTGCAATTCAAACAAAAAATAATACTGTGGACGTGGGGCAAATAAACATTTAATAGAAATAAAATAAAAGGCCACTAACTTTCCAAGCCAGATTTGGCAACAATGTACAACCGGACCTCTAGTCGCCCCCTAGTGGAAAATAGGAGCAAAAACAAAAACGGCTGCGGTAAAAATCAAATTGTGACTCAAGGCCATGCTTTCTAAGATGTTGTGACATTTTATGGTCTGATTTGTTCATAACATTTAGTTTTAGTTTTTGTTGGGACATAGTGTATTATTTATGAGACAAAAAGTTAGTTAAGATAAGATAAACTTTATTGATCTCACAATGGAGAAATGTACATAATAGTTAAGCGCATGTATTATTATGTATTATGTAGCTTAAAAGAAACCCCTATGGATGATTTTCTTCAAAAACAAAGTTTATTTGAATATCACAAATGCATATACCAGTACAAAAACAAATATTATTGCTTAGTCAGAGATGGGAAATTCTTCTAGCGTCATGGCAATGTCACGAAGTTTGGGGTCATCCATCCAGTTAATTTTGCAGGCCAAGAGCAGACCCTGACAGACACACACACACTTACTTATTCATTGACAAACATTATCATAGACTTCAAACGCCTTAACCAAACCAACTGAGTAAACAATGAAGATGTATATTGTTTACTCAGTTTGTGCTGCAAATATCACAATAGCCTTAACAATATCCAAACACAGATATTATTAAACCCAAAACTAGTAATGAAACTAGATAGTATTGATGATTTTTGAATTACAAAAAACAAGACATTTTAGATTTCCTGAAAAATGTTTAGCTAATTTAAAAGTGATATCCCCCTCTACTAACAGCTGTTTTTTTTTGTCAAGGACCACTATTGATTAGATTGATACCAGTAGCCCACCTCCATGGATAATGTTCTGTTCTGCTGGAAGAATAAAGTTTTATTCAAGGACTCCAGACGACACAGGACTTACCCTCAGGACATTCTGAGTCATGACAGCCATCTTCTTGTGTTTCTCCAGGTTTGATTGACCTTTCTCTAACACAGCTTTGTATTTTTCTGAATCAGGATGTTCTCTCTTGGCCTTCAGCTCCTCCATTTCCTTCATTTTCTCATGGGTAAGGCGTTTCAACTCTACACAAAAAGCTCAAATAAATACTTGAGCAATAATGCGCAAACAATGACAATCGCACAGTCTAGTACCCAGTCTCTTTTTTTGTAATTCTGAAATCTCATCTTGAAGTTCCCTTGATTCCTGTATTGTGATAGAAAATTACATACGTAAGTACATGAATAAATACATGAGTACAAACTGGAAGAACAGAAAATAGAGTAGCATACTTGTTGGAGAAGTTTAGTTTGTGAACAAAGGGCCATACAGCGCTCACTAATACCCTGGAGCTCTCTATGACCGAAAATGTAGAAGTATTACAAGTGCATATAGCCCGTTACGCCATACAGAATTTAAGAGTTTCATCATTTGATAGTGAACGTACTTTGCTTCTGCATCATTTTGTGTCAAAATCTTTCCTGCAATAACATTCCACATCTGCATCCTGGATAAAGATATAAAATAGTTATATTGTTAAGTACAGAAATATGGTAACATCACTGGTACTGTACCTGTGCAATACTAATGTACCATTGAAATAATTTGTCTTGGCATTTTCAATCTCGCTCACGAACTCCAGCCTAGAATAATTCACAAAATTATCACAAGGGAAATCATTGACTTTATTTTTGTATCTTAAATACTTACAAATCTCTTTCTGCTTCTGATGAGCTACATGTCTGCTTACAATTTCCTGTTTTTTTGAGTAACAATATAGTTGTGATATAAAAATGCACTTAATTAAGATCAGTCATTTAAGAAATAGCATTTACCTGCTTGGAGGTGCACTTCCATCTCAAAACATTGGTTAAACATCTGTTGCTTGATTCTAGAAATATTAAAAAGAACATACATTTAGTACCCATTCACACTTGTTGGGCTGCTTCACTTTAAGAACCAAATCTGATTCACTTCCGTTTCAAGATGTAAACCGAGATGCTTTACATCCACAATTAAAGCATTGAACCAGAATTGGTCTTGTTGAACCACACCAACAAGCGTGAACATGCCAGCAGATTTACAAAATATGGCTGGAAGGGGATTGGATTAAAAAAAGCTTTTTTGCTTTGACCAATCCTTTTTCCAACCATGCACGGGTTTATTTTGTTATTTTTTTCCTGTGAATATTTTTTTTGTAAATCTTGTGCATGTTTGAAATAAATAAACAAATGAAAACACACATAAGATGATTGGAACAGTGACCTCAGCATGTCTATGGGTGAAGTCTCACTCTGTGCATTTGTGTCGTCAGGAGCAGGCTGCTGTAAGGCCACTGCTTCCAGGGAGTTACTGAGGCCCACCACGTCCTGCTGCTGCTGCTGCTGCATCTGCGGACACAAAAAGACCATATGGACACTGGGAAACTACTGTCACACATGGATATAAATCGTTATGCACCTCTCACATTACTGTCTTAAAATGGTGAAAATAGAGTAGTTAAGTGCAACTTTATCCACATTGTTACGTGGTATAATGTCTTATTGATTTAATCTGTGTTTCCTGATATGTTTCCACAACTTTCGCTAACGTTATTATAGATTCTTGTCTTAATAAAATATCAACTGTGACATCAACGATATCTGCTGGGACTTGGCACACAGCACTGCACAATCCCGGTTACATAGGGACGTCTGGTTTGCAGCTTTTAATGTAATAGTTATTATTAATATATCATCAATGTTTATATGCATCAGTGAGTGAGTGTAAAGTGTGGACGCAGCACCTGTAACACCAATGCAAAAAAAACTTTAAAAAAACTTTAAAAACAAAGATTGAACAAATGCAGTTATTGGAGTTAGCGAACTATATACCAGGATGTAGCTACGTAGTTTTTATAATCGAGGATCGAGGTCTGTGTTTTAAATAAAAACACAGACCGAATTAGTCTCAAAATAACGGGTTAAAGATATACATTATATGTTCGTCACTTACTTTGAAAACAGCTTTATAATGTGAAGTTCTTTATGGGTTATTTACAAACAGCCTGAGCCCGCCAGGAAGTGACGTCAGCTTAGTGTCTCCGTCTGGTGGTCAGATACGGTAATACAACCACCCAGATCAGACAAATACGTCATATAATAACACATTACCCCAAGTTTGCTGAATAAAAACCTAGCTGGTGCGAGACAAACAAGAGGACATAGCAGCATTTATCGGCTTAAATTGTCTTTTTTATTCAAATTAATCACTGTGCTGTATTGTTGTTGTTGCTGTTGTTCTTTCCCCTTTAATTAGCAAAGTACAACTATAGGCCATTATACACTGCCCTAAACTGCTTGCATGTGGTGTTATGTAGCAGCCTGTCCACAAGACCGAGTTGACCTCATGGATCTATTAATATGTCATCAAACAACCAGCCAATAAGATCATTTTGATTTTCTCCATCCACCAGTGAGGGATTGGGGCGTGTTCTTCACCGGTGGGGTAAACGCATGGATGTATTATGGGTAAACGCCTCCGAAGAACTTACATATTTGGCCCAAACTTGAGTTCGTATGGTTGTCCCTGAATTGTTTTCATAAGTTCATTTGGAGAATACACAAATACTACATGCAATGACGAGCAAAAGAGTAAGTGAGTTTAATGGAGTTCTAAAGGGCTGTTTACATACTGTTCATTTATTGTAGGACATCCTGGAGAGACTGAATGCAGGGGAGCTGATAGTTGGTGATGGTGGGATGGTGCTACAGCTGGAGAGACGGGGTTATGTGAAGGCTGGACAATGGACTCCAGAAGCAGCTGTGGAACATCCAGAAGCAGGTTTGGGATAAAAACTGGTTCCCAACCTGGGGTCTGAGACCATTGTCCTGACCTAGAAGTCCCATGTTGTTTGGTTGTTTTATGTGAGGTGACTTCTGGTACAGCATCCAAGACTAATCATCAAACATGTGTTCTTGTCAGTGCGGCAGCTGCACAGAGAGTTCCTCAGGGCTGGGGCTGATGTGCTTCAAACATTTACCTTTTACTGCAGCGAAGACAAACTGGAGCTGAGTGGAAATGTCACCAATGTCACTGTGAGTCGTTTATTATTTATTTAAGCAGTTTTTGTTTTTGATTTTTCACTGTGCTTCAAATACATTTTTGATAATGTGAATACCAATAATGATTATTTCTATGCTGTAATTATAATTATGATAATGATGTTATTATTGTTGTATTTGTTGTGAACAGGGTGCTCAGATAAATGAGGCAGCCTGTGACTTGGCCAGAGCGGTGGCTGATGAGGGCGATGCTCTTGTGGCTGGCTGTGTGTCTCAAGCTCCCTGTTATCTGGAGAATCGCAACGAGGCTGTGGTCAAGTCTCTGTTTAAGAAACAGATGCAAGAATTTCTTAAAAAAGACATTGATTTCTTCATAGCTGAGGTATGAATGCTTACATTTGTCTCATTTTATGTTAGGATAAAATATAAAGCCTTGTACTACAATGTAATAAAACAAAACATATGAATATATGTTTATTTCCCGAGCAGCTGCAGTTGCTGCCGTTGGGAAAATACCCATCTCTTTACGGCTCCTTAGGAGACAAAAAGAAAAGTTTAGCTTTACTGCATATACAGACAAACATTCCTTCTCCAATTAGCAACTAAAACTTGTACAACAGCTGCATATCACAAAAACAATGTTCTACAAAACATAAAAAATATCAAAAACATAAAAAACATAACATTATTATGCCCCTTATTACACTATTATTCCCCGATTACACTATGCATACAATAAACAAATAAAAAAAATACTGCAATACTACAAATACAAATAAAAACGTACCACTATAAAGTTTAAACTCTACAAAGATCAATAGCAAAAAAATGTATACAACTTTAGAAAGGCCCATTATAAAGAATAGGAAAAAGTACAACTTAAAGTACAAATATTTAAAATACTACGAAAAGATACCCACTGTTCCAGCCATTACGTGCTTGTGGTGAGGTGAAATTAATGTCCAATTTTATGAATGAATATTGCGTCACAGTGGGCGTGGCATGGGTGAGTGGTTGTGGATGTGTTATCATGGGTGGTCTCTCCAGTGCAGGTGCGTGAGTGACTGGGTGAGCAGTTTTTGACCGCTTTTATCTGCTCAGTAAGCAAAGTGTTCTTGTTCCTCTTTTTTGTAAATCAATAAAGCGTATAAAATGAAAGGCTCAAGTTTAGCACGTCAATTCTCCCTCCCGGTCACAAATGGTCAGTACACACACACTAAAAGTAATAGCCCCCATGAGACGATAACACAAAAGTTGTATGAAAGCGCTGAAACGAGTTGAAATGTGCCAAAATCTGGCGGAAGACAGGAGACAAAAGATGGAATAAAAACTACAAGAACAAATAGTTATGCTGTCAGTTTGAAAAACTAGGTTTGAGCGACACTGTGGCCCATGGTGTCTTCCTTACTAATATCATTTTATTCAAATCTTTTGCAGTTTTTCCAGTATGCAGAGGAAGCTGCTTGGGCAGTAGAGGTCCTGAAGACCAGTGGTAAAACAGTGGGGGCCACAATGTGCATCTCTCCTCATGGGGACATGGACGGATTACCTCCTGGAGACTGTGCCGTCCGCCTGGTCAAAGCAGGAGCTGATATTGTTGGAGTGAACTGTCACTTGGACCCGACGGCCTGTATCCAAACAGTGAAGCTGATGAGAGAGGGGCTGAACCAGGCAGGGCTCAAAGCCCACCTCATGATCCAGCCTCTGGGGTGTCACACTCCTGAATGTAACAAGGGCGGATATATGGGTCTGCCAGAGTTCCCCTTTGGTAAGTTTTTAGAACAATTCAAACATGAGGGATTTCAAGATCTTTATTAAAAAAGAGGTGGATTAATGCAGGTTTGACTAACCTCAGGGAAGGCCTAAGCGTGACAAGCACAGCCCGCCATTGTTTCGTTCTCAGACAAGGTCTTCCCATACATGTTCAGTAACTTACATGCTACAAAACAGCAAAAGCAACTTATGAGAAAGTGTTTTTGATGCAAAATAATCTTTTATGTTATATATAATAATGTTTTGTTTCAAAAAGTACTCATTCAAAAAACATCAAAATTTACATATTGAAAGTAGAGCCCATGAAAAACTATGGCCAGTATTTATCCATTAGGTGGCGCTATATTTATGCCAATAACAGTAAATCACAGAATAACAGAATTACAATTATAAACACTATAAATGACAATAAACCAAAGTGAACAGATTATAAACTATAGTATACGTTCAATAGAATACTGTTGTGTGTGTTTGTGCAAGCACGTGTGTGCGTTTATGTGTGTGTGTGTTTGTGTGGTTACATCTACAGAGGTTCATTTTGTTTAGTGCAGTGAGCGCTGTGACAATTACCGGACTTTGCCACTGGCTCCTGGTGCAGGCTCAGTGATTGTGTAATGTGTATTAGCAATAGTCCACTTTTCTGTGGCTTTTTTGGGGTGCTTCGGTGGCCTGCTGCCCTGACCCTCCACATGGTCTCTGTCAGCTCTTGAGACACATTTACTGCTCAAACTGCCTCCAAATGAAGCCTTACCCTGGCTATATTCCTCCTGCCTCCATTGCCTCTATTCCCTCTGTCTCTCCTGCACACAGCACACAGCACTTTAGTCTCTTTGACCAAGACATCCACAGAGCCCTGCTGCCACCTACTGGCGCAATAAAACACTGTCTACAGCCAAACTCCAGACTGAGAGAATTGACTGAATTGACTGAATAATGTCAGTCAATGAGTTAAACATGATTATAATATGGCTATAGGCTACTAGGTAAATAACATGTTTTTAATATATCTGTAATTCCATTTATTGTATTCTTGATCGAAATGTTGCCTTCAATAGTAAACTACTACATTGTTCAAGCCCAATGTCTTAAATAACATCAAATGTCCCCTGAAACACTGATTAATTGTATCTTTCTGTCAGCGCTGGAGTGCAGGACGATGACTCGCTGGGACGTGCACAAATACGCCAGAGAGGCATACGAGGCTGGGATCCGATATCTCGGAGGCTGTTGAGGCTTTGAGGCGTATCACATCAGAGCCATATCAGAGGAGCTGCGGACGGAGAGAGGCTTTCTCCCACCTGCATCAGACAAACATGGCCTGTGGGGGGCAGCACTGGACATGCACACCAAACCCTGGGTCAGGGCCAGGTGAGGACTAAGGTTACAGATATATGTTTAAATCAAATATCACATTTAACTCTTTTTCCCAGGGCTCAAAGAGGTTACTGGGAAGGCCTTCTCCCAGCAACTGGGCGTCCCAAATGCCCATCAATGGCCACAGAGATATATGACTGAAAAAATGGGGTTCTTCTACCAACCAAGGCAGTGGTGTTGCAGATCTGTGATTTCACTAATTCATTGTTATGTATTCTCTGTCAAACATAAAACCACTACAACAAGATAATCTCTGATGGGTGTGTAAAGTCTAATGTCAAATGATTTACAGTGTGCTTGAAGGTCAGTAGATAGTGCCTTAACTCAACAGATTAGACAATGCATAACGGAATAGACTTTGAAGCAATTGCTGCCTCACAGCCAATAAACAAACTGGACTGAACTTGTGTGTAAAATGAAGCTTAAAGGAGCAGTTTGTAAAAATCTGGCCAAAAGTGGTACTGCAACCTCTCCCACTCTCCCTCACTCAGGTTGCCAGATATGCAGAATCCGAGCTGAGACCATAACAATAAAAACTGAATAGACAAGAGTTTCGTCAACAAATCTATAACCAACATCGTTTCCAAAAAGGTCCTGATAGAAATCTTTGTTTTAGTCCTTGTTTTTTCATTGATTTGAGAATCAAGTTCAGTGGTCACATGTTACTTTACCAGTGAGATTAGCTCGACACGGTGAGTTCTGGCAACCCGGATTACGGACTTTCTGATTGGTAAAATGATGGAGGGCGGGACATCGAATTGTAAAGAATAACAAGATTTAGGGGCTGTAAAACTAATATTGAAATTTGAATAACTCGGCTGAACTACTGTTATCAGACGTATTCAAAAATAGAATGGTTTAATAATGACTTTTGACATATTAGGGCCGTTTAATTATTACTTGACATGAAAATCTTATAGTGCAAATTCAGAATGAAAGACTAAAGAGACATCATGCTGCCACACTGGACTCCCCCTCTGAACGCATGAGCTTCAGTATTTCAGGATGGTGTTTTTTTCAGTGATGTTATCTAGTGATGGGATGATGATGCCTCAAGGAGGGTATTGACACTTTCTACAAACTGTATTGACACTGTGTTGGTCACTCAATGGTGACTTCTACTGTATGTAAAATCATGACAGGTTAACAATATGCTTTAAACTCAAACCAAATGAGTTGGCATGTAATATATAGAAAAATCTGTCTCGAATAATATTTAGAGTAAATGTTTTAAGTTATGTATGAGATTTTGTGTTCAATCATATGAAATAACGCAAAAAATATTCATTCATTCATTTTTATTGACAAACAATAGTTTTTGAAGAGTCTTTGCTCCAAGGCAATTTCTCCTCTTGGAAATTAGTTCCCCAGCCTTCATTATAAACACGCAAGCGCATTCAAACAACACGGTTTTTGTATCAGTCACGTGATTTTTTATTAAAGCTACATGGACCATCACAGGGTTTCACCAGACTGTAGGTTTCACTCGGCACAGTGCAGACGAACCATCTCTACTGTTAATGTCACCGTACCAACAATCTGACCGAGATTCTCCATATATAGATCCATAAAACTTCCCCGCCATCACATCTTTTTCTTCTTCTATAATGTCCTTGTTTTACAAAATGTTCTTAGACGTTCTCCCTTTCAATTAAAAATAAAACGTTTAAAAAAGAAAAGAAAAGTATGCCTACTGAATATATGTACGTTGAAATTCATTTTGTACCATATTATTATGTGTTCTGAATATTAAGTTTTTGGTAATTGTAGTGGTAAATGTGAGTGGATTAAAGGAGGTTAGCCATATCTATTTTTTTAATTTATAAATAATAAAGGCAGTTTTATTTGCCCTATATGTGTCTCTATCATTTTAGTGAAGTAACGGACTTGTAGATAACATTAGGGATGGGACAAACTCTCAAAAAGACTCCTCCAAAACTATTGTTTGTCAATAAAAATGTATGAATTAATATTTTTTATGGTGTTATTTCATATGATTGAAGACAAAATCCCTGAACATAACTCAAAACATTTACTCTGAATGATATGCGAGACAGGTTTTCTATATTCTACACTGATTTGGTTTGGGTTTACAGCCTGTACGTGTTTCCATCTGTGTTTCCACCCATGGGTTATAAATCTCCAACGCACGGCCTGAGATTTCATTCTCTTGAAAAAGTCCTTTAGATGAAGGACGAAACATCGGGAAAACTTGCCAAGAAGTACAGATGATGGGTGAGAAACCTTCCGTTGCTGTTTCCATCTTATTGTTAACCTGTCATAATGTTACATAAACAGTAGAGGTCACTATTGAGTGACCAACACAGTGTCAATACAGTTTGTAGAAAGTGTCATTCATGGATCTATAGTGTCATCTCAGATGAGAACCTCTCCACCCATCTCAAAGGTTTTGGTCAGATTACATGTTTACTGAGGTCTGCTACATTATTAACCCTCCAGGCGCCACAGTCGACAAAATGGTGCTGTTTCAAATGACCGATTGTGTCAAGCAGGGTGTTAAATGTCCTTCAAACTCCCTGCCACACAAGGATTTGCACTGTTTTATTATTTGCCTGACTCTTGAGTGTGGTACAATGTGAGTTCTGTTTGTGTGTTCATGTCAGTAAAAGAAAATATATATTTAATGATAATCCACGATTGCCACCACTAAATGAAGTCATAATATGCATATTAGATGATAAGATAATATAGACGTTGTCGATCTCACACCAGAGAAATGTACATGTAACATTTGGCATGGATAGAATCACTCAGATTGTGCAAAAGACAGAAGTGTGCAAACAGGTTAAAGGTTAAAAATATAGTCCGTGCACGATATAATTGAGTACAATAAAAAAGTGGCAATAAAAGAAAGAGTGGCAATAGCAGAGCAGGTTTTTTAGTCCTAGTGCATTAGTGATTTAAAGTGACTTATTGTACAGTCTGACAGCGGTGGGGATAAAAGGCCCTGCGGTAGCGCTTCTTCTTGCACTGTGGGTGCCTCAGTCTTCCACTGAAAGAACTGAGTACATAATCATTCCTACATAAACTTTGGGCCATCCTTATATTTTTTCTAATTTACATAAAGCCCTATGTGTTTTCACTTTTAAGTTATTAAGAAATGTCAAAATTGAGCCTCTTCGTGAAAAACCTCTGGCGTTTTAAGGGTTAATCTGAGTTGCAGAATTGCCCAACCTCATCCTGAGCAGTGAACGCCTCATGGTGATTACGACATATTAAAGCTGTAAAGAGCGAGTGGGGTCCATGGGTCCATGGTGGACAGTGACAGTCCACGCGTGTCTGTGCTTACAGTCTAGGGTTTGTCCCATGGATCTATAAGGTTTGTCCTGAAGTCTGCACGGTTTATGCGGCTGTTTGCGTGTGCAGGATATTCACTAACCCTCTGAAGAAAGGAGACATACAGTGAACTGTGTTGGTTTTCTGCGCTGAATTAAAGTGAACAATGCAAAGAAGTAAACGGGTAAGTCTCAGAGACCGCGGTGAGAGGAGATATACTGTAGGCCAATGCCACAATTTTCAACTGGAAAATAACTAGGCTGGATTTGAATAGTGTAAGCTTCAATAACAGTGATAAAACTGACTATCATCATGATGTGCACAATCCGGGTTTGTTTAATTTCCTTTATTGTCATTCTGTTATATGTGCATACAGGACATCCTGGAGAGACTGAATGCAGGGGAGCTGATAGTTGGTGATGGTGGGATGGTGCTACAGCTGGAGAGACGGGGTTATGTGAAGGCTGGACAATGGACTCCAGAAGCAGCTGTGGAACATCCAGAAGCAGGTTTGGGATAAAAACTGGTTCCCAACCTGGGGTCTGAGACCATTGTCCTGACCTAGAAGTCCCATGTTGTTTGGTTGTTTTATGTGAGGTGACTTCTGGTACAGCATCCAAGACTAATCATCAAACATGTGTTCTTGTCAGTGCGGCAGCTGCACAGAGAGTTCCTCAGGGCTGGGGCTGATGTGCTTCAAACATTTACCTTTTACTGCAGCGAAGACAAACTGGAGCTGAGTGGAAATGTCACCAACATCACTGTAAGTGCAAGATTGGAGTTTACATGAATATTTTTCCTTGAAACACAGTTGATTTAAATGTATTTGAAATGTATGTATATGTGAACAGGGTGCTCAGATAAATGAGGCAGCCTGTGACTTGGCCAGAGCGGTGGCTGATGAGGGCGATGCTCTTGTGGCTGGCTGTGTGTCTCAAACTCCCTGTTATCTGGAGAATCGCAGCGAGGCTGTGGTCAAGTCTCTGTTTAAGAAACAGATGCAAGAATTTCTTAAAAAAGATATTGACTTCTTCATAGCTGAGGTATATGTAAAGACACTATTGTTGTATATTTTTTCTATATGGGAATTGATTAGAAAATGTTGCTTATTCACATAACACTCAAATGATCAACCTGATTATTGTTCTTAGGGAAACCGTGGGCTGGTTGTCTGGGGTGTTGCTTTCACAGAAAGGGTAGCTGGGGTTAGTTTAGTCCTCATATTTTTATTGATGACATCATTAGTTCTTCAGATATGCAGAGGAAGCTGCTTGGGCCGTAGAGGTCCTGAAGACCAGTGGTAAAACAGTGGGGGCCACAATGTGCATCTCTCCTCATGGGGACATGGACGGATTACCTCCTGGAGACTGTGCCGTCCGCCTGGTCAAAGCAGGAGCTGATATTGTTGGAGTGAACTGTCACTTGGACCCGACGGCCTGTATCCAAACAGTGAAGCTGATGAGAGAGGGGCTGAACCAGGCAGGGCTCAAAGCCCACCTCATGATCCAGCCTCTGGGGTGTCACACTCCTGAATGTAATCTGACCGGCTACATCAGTTTGCCAGAGTACCCTTTTGGTAAAAAATTACTATAAAGATGTTTATATTTGTCTGACATGTTAAATGTCACTAATGGAATCTGTTGTCAGCGCTGGAGTGCAGGACGCTGACTCGCTGGGACGTGCACAAATACGCCAGAGAGGCATACGAGGCTGGGATCCGTTATATTGGAGGCTGTTGTGGCTTTGAGGCGTATCACATCAGAGCCATATCAGAGGAGCTGCGGACGGAGAGAGGCTTTCTCCCACCTGCATCAGACAAACATGGCCTGTGGGGGGCAGCACTGGACATGCACACCAAACCCTGGGTCAGGGCCAGGTAAGGACAAACAACATAATTCTGCTGTTCTTCAAATATGTTATTCTAAATGATAACAATAACATTGTAAGTTCAACTATATTATCCACAGGGCTTGTAGAGAATATTGGGAACATCTTCTACCTGCGTCTGGGAGACCCAAATGTCCATCCATGGCCAAACCAGCAGACGAATGAAGAAAACAAAGTTAAAGAACAATAGGAGAATTGTAGGAATTCAAAATTCATCGGCATTAATTTTTGCTTTTTTGTAAAATATTTAAAACGTTAACAGTTCTATAAAGTCTTTCATATTAAAGAACTACAATATATATATAATGATACAATGCAGAAGTTACCAATAAAATGCTACATAAGACTGCAGTTGTTCATTATTATCCTAATCCTTATCTGATTGTTGACCAGATTGTTTGAGTCTTGAAAAAAAAGGCATGAATGGCATTTATTTGTGAGTCGCATGTTGAACACAGCAGTGGATTATATGAGCTAATATAACAGTGACAGAGGCCAGATGCGTGCATGTGAAAACCATAGATCCATGGTGAAAACCGGTGATAGAGCCAAACGTTTGAAAGTTAGGTCGGCTACTCCATTGTTGAAATACATACAACATTCTTGTATACAATGTTGTTATATTCAAATGCAGATTGTTACTGCCAATTTTTAAAGACATCGTGTTTAGCTGTATCAAATGCAAACGCATCAACATTTCTAAATTCAGTTTTTTTGGAGGGACTCGTAAACGCATCAGCATCATTTTCAGACCGGGACTCTCGTCTTGTTGCCAGATGATCATCGCAGCTTGTTTTTGTCTATCTACACAAAGTTATGTACCCACTTTTAAGAAGGATTAGGGGAATACATGAGTGCAGTATTGCGAGAGCTTTGAATCGAGCTCCGAGTGAGATCTCGTATTGGACCGAGCTCTAGACTGGGCCACACACCGCTGTTTGGTGTTATTCGCACTGTCGCAAAGAGGAACGTAAACGCTAACTTGAATTATTAAAGCTGGAATGGGATTTGAGAGAGTCTTTACATTTGAGGCTGAGCGAGGTATGTTGTTCCGTGTGTTTAGCATCCGCCAGCACCCTGACATCACTGCTTTCACCGGGTTCCCATCTCAGTCCATTCTCCAAACGCTGTAATGCGACTTGTGTGCTCCGCGCTCTCAGATGGAGTTGTTTTGATGTCGGTTTAGTGCAGAGAGTCAGCAGCAGCTGTTTCCAGAGATGTCATTCACAATGGAGGACAGTCTGGAGTCGGGATGGGTGGCAGTTCGTCCAAATGTGTTTGAAGATAAAGAAATACATAAATTCGCTTTTATTGTGGCCTGGAATGAGGTCGAAGGGAAATTTGCCATTACTTGCCACAACAGGACGGTGCAGAGAAGGAGCTTAATAAAGGACTCAGAATCTCACATCAGGACCAAAGTGGAGAAAGGATGCTCTAAGCTCCCAGCAGTCCTTGTGACGCCGTCTGACAGTGCAGTAGAGGGGGGTGACAGTCCTCTGAGCCTGGACTCAGACAGCCCTGTGCTGGAGCCGCTGGAGGACTGCAGCTGGGCAGGACTCTTCTCCTCCCACGACCTGCGCTCCGTGCACCAGCAGCTGTGCGCCGTCAGCTCGGTCCTGGAGCCCTGCCTCCCGCTGTTCCCCGAGGAGCCTGCGGGACTGTGGAGCCTGATCTTCGGCCCTACACAGCTGTCCCACACGGAGATGGAGGAGCTCTGCCTGAGTCTGCAGCGGTACCTCGGCCATGCTCTGGACACGTGTGGCTGGAAGATTCTGTCGCAGGTGCTGTTCACAGAAAACGATGACACTGATGAGTACTACGAGAGTTTGAGTGAACTCAAACAGTCTGGATATGAAGAGGCGTTACATCGGGCCTCCAAGCAGCTGTCTGAGGTAATAACACTGGTACAAGAGGCGACAATGGCCTGTCATACTGACACAGGTGATGTCTACACTCATGTCTACACAAGCAGACCTTCTCTATTCTATTTAGAAACTCAACCACTTACAAATCCATCCAAAAAGATTTATTGCCACAATGTATACACGTGCAAACTGTTTATGAAATGTGAAACACATAAACTTGCCTTTTTGAGTACAGTACTCCCAGATTTGAACAACACTGATAATAGAACAAACAAAAATCAACCAATTGTAGCAGTTCTATAAAATTGTTATAATAACACAACTGCATGACTTTTAAAATCTCCACATACTAATTTAGCTCAAAGTGAACCAGAGTCCACTTCAATGGACCATATGAAAACAAGCCCTACATGAATAAAGACTCACCCTGAAGACATGTTTACCACAGGGGAGAGTTCCTGTTTGACCCTAACATAGAATTAGATGCCACCCAATCCACAGAGCACCATCATATAAAATCACATTTCATACTATAGTGCATAATAATAAATGTTACTGCTGTGGTGTTTTATGTAGCAGCTGGAGAGGCATGGGTGCGTGGACAGCATGGTGGATCTTCTGCAGTTGTATGATGAGGAGGACCAGGCCTTCTGCCGTTTACTGGAGTCCTCCACTCAGCTCTACCAGTACCTGCTGCAGCCGTTCAGAGACATGAGGGAACTGGCCATGCTGCGCAGACAGCAGATCAAGGTATCTGCTTGTTTCCTAATGTCAATACTTTTCCAATTACAAAAGTGGATTCTTTCCATTATAATTAGTGATCATAAAAAAAAACACTTCTATAAAAAAAAAAATCAAGCAATTTTTTATGGTTGCTGTAGTAAATGAGAACCTTCAATGAAACAACCATGTTTGATTCAGTCAATTAAAGATTGTTTCACCGTTGCACCATAGAACCATAGAAGAGAAGGTGTACAGCCTCCTGTACAGGGATGTTTTACGCATAAGCAGAGGCAGAACATTATATTTCACAACATTGTGGGAAAGTGGAGATTACACAAACATGAAGAATAGAAACTAACAATCTAACTGTCTAAATGTGCATTATGCAGCTTTTTATGTGACAAAAAGCTTTACTTGACTTTATTAGCTTTACTTGACTTACTTACTTGATCAGGGTTGTGTTTAAAGTGCTCCAGGGCCATTGTTTTGTAGGTTTTCTGGTGCCAGCTGAGAAATCCTTACAAGCAATTGATCTTATAATATCCTAGAGATCACTGTGTTATTATTTCCTATTGTCTTTCATTTAGAGCTGTAAAAATAGCTGTGATGTGATTGATGAAGTACTTACTTACACCCACTTGTCAAAAAGTGCCAAAAAACAAATGATTGACCCTGGTTGAAATTCACCTCTTTTTCTCATGGTTGATTTGTGTGTCTTATAGATTTCATTGGGAAATGATTATTTGGGGCCACGGAGAGTTGAAGCTCTAAAGAAGGAGGACCTTGATTGGCAGAAGAAGGCTCAAGAGGCTGTCCTGAACATCCAGAACTTCACTGTAAAATATTTTGAGATCACAGCCAGGGCTCAGAAAGGTACAGTCTGCCTTTAACCTTACCACGATAATGGCTAAAGCTCGAACCTTGCCTTAAACATAAAGAAGACATTCCCACCTCAATAATGTCCCTGATGACGATTAGGCACTTGTCACACAGACATAGCAGGAGATATTGACCGATGTGTATTTGAACTGAGGGCAGAAGTGATTTTGTATTAATGAGTCGAGTGCTTTGACACACATAGGAAAGGACAACCTATTGATCAAACATGCTCTGCCAGTTGATTTAAAGGTACTCTGTGTAATTTATACAGTTGCTCCAAAAGAAAAAAAACAGATTAACCAAAAACAAATGTGACTTTTCAAAGAACATTTACCTGCACCATGTTTTTGAATTGTTTTCACATTATTTATTCCCGTAGGGCAATTTATTCACTGCATTTGACCCATCCTGATGCCACTAAGGCTTACGTCAGGAGCAGTGGTCGCCCGGGTACCCATCTCCAGATGTTGATCCTCGGCTTGGTCAGGACTACCAGAGCTGGAGGATTTAACCTAGTGTGCATAGCCACGTTTCCAGCGCAGGAACTTCGGGGTAATTTTCCAGTGCTAGCCCACTCGGTGCGTGTCTCCACCGCAGGAACTTCCCCCACAGGGCCATTTACAGGAACTTTTACGGGGCCCAACGGAGTCCCTCCTCCATGTACTCCGTTGGGCCCGGTGCTGATTGGCAGAAAGCAGCAAAACAACCAGCATTAGCCCAACAGCATTAGCCCAACAGCATTAGCCCAACAGCATTGACGTAGCAACATTAGCTTAGCAGATACCACTGGAAACAGCAAACAACAGCACGGCATTGATTCAGACAGGCATCGCAGCAAAATTAAAAGATATATTTAGACATATCAGCTTCACCTCGAAGCTCTGAGGATTCATTACACTCCAAAACAAGCCGTGAAAAGTTTTAAAAAACTGAAGCAGGACTGTAAAATGACTCAAAGACAACCGGAGCGGTTACGACCGTAAAATAAACAAATGGGTTTGGTGCATGGATCTATAATAATAACAGGTTTGGTGTAATGAGAGACACGGTGGAGACACGAGAGGACCGAGGGAGAGGAAGGTTCCTGTAAAAGTTCCCCCCCACTCCTTTTACAAGGAACTCCTGCGGTGGAAACGCGGCTCATGCTTTTAGTGGTAGGGGAAACCGGAGAGTTGGGGACCACTGTCAATGAGGCCCATTGTCCGTAGTACCGTAGATTACAATTTTTATATACATTTATCTAAATGCTAGATGGGAGTAAAAACTACACAATGTACCTTTAAATGTTACTCCTCTGCATATCTCAACACCACAGTCTGCAAAACAACTTATCATATAATGCTGTGTGCTTCAAATCTGGCCAATGACATACTTTGTTAACTTTGTTTGTGGCCTGGTGTAATGTTTCAGCATGTCCAATAGGTGTTCTTCTTTTACAAGATAATGACAAGCTTTTTTGTGCAGGTATATATGATCGAATGAAGTTAGACCAGCATAAATTTGGTAAATCCTCCTGGACAGCAGCAGTGGAACGTATGGAGCGACTTCGATATTCCGTTGCTAAAGAAACGCTCCAGCTACAGAGAGCCAAAGAGATTTCATTAGAGCAGAGAAAACATGCACTGAAAGAAGAGGTAGGTTAACAACAGAACACTATTGGCACGTTCACACTTGTTGTTCTGGTTCACTTTAACTGGACCAATTCTTTCTTTGTTGATGTAAAGCCATCCAACAGGTGAGCAAGAGTCCACTGGTCACTTAAAGCGGGAGTAATTCACTTTGAAGCCACAAGATAAAATCAAAACATCTAGTATAGTTTCTATAGCCATCAAAACTGTGGTTCGATCACTAGTTCTCACATGCATGTCTTTTTCTCCTCTGTCACATCTTGAGATCAGTTTATTCAGTGAAAGAAAGAGTGCCAGCCCTCGCTCAGCCAACTAGCTCTCAATAAGTTTAAGATCATGATTTTTGATAAGTTAAAGTCAGCATGTTGTGTGTGCTGTAATGTCTAATTTGTTCACAAACTGTTTCTTAAGTAAGACTTTTTACAACATGTAAAAAGCAAACACTAAGTAAAGTACTCCAGATTTAAGACAATTTGGATCATTTGAAACAGATTTGTGAAGCCTTTTACCCCCAAGTGAACCAGACCAACAAGTGTGAATCAGTGATGTGACTTTTAGATGTGTCTTTTCAGATGCAAAGCCTTTGTAGAGGTGAGGATGCTATGGCCATACTAGACCACATGGAAAGGCAGTATTATGAACTCCAGCTCCAGTTGTATGATATTCAGGCTGAGATCCTGCAGTGTGAAGAGCTGCTCCTCACTGCTCAGCTGGAGAGCATTCGGAGGCAGATGGCAGGTACGTCTGTCGCCATGTGTAAGCCTGCTCCTGTCAAATCTCAAATGTGTATTATGAATATAGAATAATAATGCAATGACATAAAATGTATTTTAGTCCTGTCCAGTCCCTGTGCTCGTTAGAGTCCTAGTGGGTTCATATGGAACTAACATGTGAAAGATGTAGTTTGGTGTGAAGCCACAGATAGCTGCTTCAAAAGAGATTGAGTAAAATAATTATTTATTATTATTTATGGTATGTCAAAAGAAAATGAATTATCATATTCATTATCATCATTTTGTATATACCATTATACTTATATACTTGATTAGAAAACCCATCATTTAGCATCAGTTCTGCTCCATACCAAAGTGATGTGTATTTGAACGTAAACAAAGCCTAAACTCCTGTTCAATAGTAAATCAGAACTGATAGAGATCATGTAATAGATGTCTTCTAACTGACATAAGTTCCCTATTTAGACCTAAACTGTATGTCGCCACTGAGACGAACAACTCAGATTTGCCATACTTTACCTTTAGTATGCAGGCATAAGAATACATATTTGTTCACTTGGTTTAAACCAAAAGGAGCAGTGATTATATCAAGAAAATAAACATATTTATGTTAAATCCAAGATCTTCAAGCGGAAGTAGTCTACTACGACACATTTGAAAGTGCAGATGACATAATAGAGGTTGACCATGCAGAGAAGGAGGGGATGAGAAGACTGCAGGACAATGCTCGGCAGCTGGAGACCAGAAGGGGGCGCATCAGTGCAAAACGCTCCTATCTGAAAAACAAAAGGGTATTCCAGCAAACACAATCTTTGTATTTTTTGTCCTAAAACATGTATGATGAGTAATTTTTGTTTTGCAGGATATCTGTTTGTTAAATCACCAGGAGAAAGAGCAGGGACTTCCTTTTCCTTTAAAGGTAATGTAGACAACTTTTGAAATGTTTTATTAAATAACAGGAATAGTCACTTTTTTGAATGAATTAGATCAAAATGAAAGAAGTGGAAGATGACGAGAAGAGAAACGTCAGAGTAAGTCAGGAAAGACAAAAAACTCTGGACAGATTACGCACTTTTAAACAGGTTTGTAGTGTGAACTCATGTTGTCTTTTGGTTACATCAATGTATTTACCATGTGTCTCCCTGCAGAGGTATCCAGGACAGGTGATCCTGAAGTCTTCCCGGCTGCGCAGCTTTCACAGCAGGAGAAGAGAAAAGTGCCGGGGCAGTAAGGATGAGGTGGAGCCAGTGTATCAGAGCACCAGTGTGCAGACAGAGGCCACACTAACCACTCAGCCACTCTCCTCACTCACCACATGTCTGCCACATGTACCTGCACCCTGTTCTGTGGATTCATCCTGCTCTCCCTGCTCCCTGTCCTCTTTACTCGCATCTCCCATCTCTTCTCCTCCCCCACCACCCCCTCCTCCCCCACCTGCCACAGAAGAGATCACTCCATCGCCTAACCCCGGGCCAGGAGAGAAGACCACTTACAGTGACACCGAAGACTCTTCTCTATCCCCCATTGGCCCATTTGTACCACGGTTCTTTGACAGTAGTCAGTTGGTCAGCGCAAAGAAAAAGCTCAGGAAAACAGAGGTTGAAACACAGACAAGAAGAGGTAATTTCCCTCTGGGATCCATTTTGTTTTCTGAATATAGCATTTAAATACAGATTAATGTTTTGTTGGTTGCACCTCTGCCAACATATACCTTCATTCTAACTGAATTTCTTCTTTTTGCAGTAAGCTCACCAATGGATGAAGTGTTAGCATCTTTAAAAAGAGGAAGCTTTCACCTAAAGAAGGTTGATGAGCGATCTATTCCTGCGCTAAAGTCTGATGATGATGATGCAAACAGCATTTTGGCTCAGATTCGTAAAGGCGTCAAACTGAGGCGTGTCCCACAGAAAGACAGAGTGGTTCAGGGGGAGTTCTCTGCCCCTACAGATCCTCTGACCAAAAGCATCCATGATGCACTGCGGCGCATCAAAGAGGCCTCACCAGAGTCGGACAGTGATGATGAAGGATCAATGGGGCCTGAATGGGAGAACTAGAGATCACAACTCAAGCCACAAATCACATCTACTTTTACTGCACACTGTAGCTGCCAGATAAGCACATGCAGAAGTAAATGGACACAAAATACGCCTTTCTATCACTGTAATACTATTACTAACAACATATGCACCTTTATTTTTAACAAGGTTTAAAATCAACATGAGGATAAACTTTGTGGTAAATAACACCTGATATTTAATGAGAGTAAAATATGCTCCATAACGGTGTTAGGAGTAACATGTTACAAAAGTAAAATCATATGCTAATATACAGCTTATATCTCAGAAGGATCTCATTAAAACAAATTAACTTAATATATTGCTAGTAACAATCTTATTGAACTGAATTCCAGGATTAATGGAATGAACATTTAAAAAAACTGAAACTATGACCACCCACACAGACTATACCCGCAGTGGCCCTTTTCCCACCATATTTCCAACTAATATTATTAAACTTTAATGTCTAAACAACTTTCAACTTGTGTTCTATAAAAGGAAACATTAATGTAATGTTTAATAAATTAAACCTTTTTTTGTCTTTTTCGATTAAAAGTAACAATTTAATTTTTATTTAATATTGTAATACAAATATATTAACTAGTTTTATATATATTTTAGAATAGTATTCCTAACACTGCACTGATCCAGAGGGGTGACTGAATGATCCTGGGCATAGTAATATAGTTGTAGTAATTTGATTTAAACATTTGCCATCAATCACTTGAATTGTATCTTCTGTTGTGTATGTTACAAGCACAAGACTCACATCTGTCTTTTCTGACACGTTAACTTGAAGGCTGTCAGTGAGTAGTGGTCCATAAAGACATTGCAGAGGCTTTAAATCTCATTGAAAGCTGATTAACGCCAATGCCCTTCCCCCTTTTGTCCTCCCGTGGCCTTCAGCTGCCCCGGCTCTCATCCGGCATGTGTGAGGAGAGAATATTTATTGACCCGTCTGTTCAACCGTAGCATATGGCCAAGGCAATGTGAGAAATGGATCGTCACAATTGGTGAAGCATCAGATGCCACATGCAACCACTCTGTATGAAGAGGAAGAGCCAGACACACTGTCAAAGCTCATGTGGAAGACATGTTGGTGATTTCTAGGACCACATTTGCTGATGTGGGCAGATCCACACTGTGGGCAGATCCACGCTGCGGGAGCTTTGAAATGCCAAGTCCGCACTGAGAATCACAGACTCAATCACAGCACAAGTAGAGCTGATTACTGCGTATTCTCAAAGTTTACTTGGAATTATTTAGTCATATTAAATGTATCTTCTAAAAAGGGGCATTCCTCAACTGTACTCATCTAAATGACTTTCCTTTTACATTGGAAGTAAGCATGTGACTTCAGTCAGCTAAGCAGGTCTGTAAAAAATACTTTTCTTAAACAGAGAAATCATTCATATTTGAGGAAGGTGCATGACACTTGGAGCAAAGCCATAACAAATCTATTGCAAAATGTCGCCTGGGTCACCACCCTTGGCTTTATATTTTACACATACTATAAATGGTCACTAACAGGACAGTTGAGGAATGCACCTATAAGCTCCAGTCACTAGATCAAAAAACAATTTTATCAACATGTTTTTAAAAGTGGCATAGACATATGACAGAGCTTTGATACTCAGATGGAATATGAATGTAACAGTCTGTGATAAAGTTGAGGCACCTTTTATGTGTTGTACCACCTCACAAAATGATGAACTCAAAAACAAATGGCATAATTCTGTCAAGGCACCAGGTTTTAGTGGTGTTATATTCATGTACTTCATGTGAGCTTTCCAAAGCCAAACCATACCTCCTAATCCTGCCGTAGAGGAACAGAACCCTTCACTTTCATGCTGTTATGAGTTTCCATTCGGGCATTGGGGTTTCACTTGCACTTTTTTGTGGAGCAAAGAATAAAAAGGAAAAATGACAATACACACTTGACACTTAATTCTGTGGTTTGTATTTGAATATAAAACATAGCATTTCATATATACTGTAGTTCACAGAAGAGCGTACACAGCCCAATTGTAGGCATTGTCTTTGTTCAAGCTCAACAAAGAATTTAGTTTGGCTGAAGCACCAGCGTCACGTCCGTTCAAACCTGCAAACGCACATCTCACCCATCTACAACGTCATAGCCTGAGGTACCTCTTTAAATAGTTCAAAATTACTTTAAATAGTCAAAAATATTGCAGTCTTTTCATACCTCTAAATACAATAATAATAATAATACTTACATTGAATACCATCAGTTACAAAACAGGAGAATGAAAAGCTTATTCACTACTGTACAAAGGCATTCATTAACAAGAGCATTTATAATAGGATATCCCATCTTTGCCATTCGACTGTCAAAGTTTAAAGAATAAATATTTTATAGTGAGATATTTCAATGTCAGTCACTTTTTTATCATCTGAAAACAGACAATGAACTTGTGCCACCCCTACAATTCAATATATGTTATACTATGTCCCATAATATCTCAATTTCATTTTTCAATGGAACATATCCAGTAACCAGTAAAAAAGTAACTTGTAAATAACAATAAGGGGGCATTTAATTAATATTCAAAAAAGAGCGAGTACAAATGTGTACATTGTCACCTTAAAAGTCCAGTGTTTACATTTCAAATATGTAGCGTCACTATTCATTAGTTCTGTCATTACAACATGTAATGCAATTTCCAGTTTTCAGCAATTCATTTACAACATGAATAGAATGTATCAGTCCACTGTATTATAGATATATAGTCAGAGTAAAAAATAAATAATAGTACAATTGTATGCGCGCACGTGTGGATTGTTTGGCCAGTGTGGAGGCAAAGATGACGCTAATAAAGCCCTTCTCTTTCACTTGGACCGCTGGGGCTGCCACACAGGATAGCGGTCAACAGTAGTACACTTTCAGTTGGACGATAGGAAGGGCGAGGGGCCAGATCTGGTCAACTTAAATAATAAATATCTACAACATGAGTTCGCTGAGTAGAATACCTGATAGTGTTAGATAGATATTGTAGGAGAGCTTGTCCGATATTGCTCAGTGCATGGAGAGTGTGTGAGAGTACAGGCCTTGATCTCATCTTGACGGCACAAAACACACGGCCACACTACATTATGTACATACAAGTCCACTTACATGTGCTTACAAGGCACACTTTTAGAATTATGTCAAAAAGGCCTTGTTTTTTCTTTTTTTGCCCATTTTTTAACACACCACACTGAGTTTGGCAGGAAGACAGCTCAGTTGTCTGTGATAGCCGTGGAAGCCGCCTGGATAGTCACATACAGCATGCCACTTTAGTGTGATGTCACCAATGCCTCTATCAAACTTCATTTTAGATGTACATCATATCAAGTACTGTTAAACTCCATTCGCCAGCAGCCATTGTGTCCATCTGACGTCTTCTAATGCTGTCCGGCACTGCACTCTGTAAAGTTAAGTCACTTTGGATTGAAGAATCTGCTTGCAAGATGACAATATCAGGGAGGATTTGGCAGCTTTGGCACAGTCTGTCATGTCTTAACTTCAATTATTCCCATTTTGACTCCGGACAAACTTCTCGATGGGGAAGAATATGTGGTGGGTAAGCTGTGGTGTCTCTCTCCCGGGCAAACAGCAGATGGCACATAGGCACAGTTCTCAAATCAAATGTGAGTAGGAAATTATATGAGCCAACTCAGCCATTCACGTCAAGTATGACATTCAAGATCAATTAAAAAGGATGGGTACCCTAGAGTCGATGAGACGGCAGTAATGAGATGATGTCTAAAGCTACCTGTGTTCATAAAAAAAACAAAGGACTACCCATTTAAATCGCTATATGAACCAGGGCAGTGTAGGTGTTTGGGGTAGTTACCAGGGTTTATGTGTAAATTCTTATGGCTGAATCGTGTTAGGCTGCAGTTTTCTAGCTGGCCTCCTCTATGAGTCGTGCCAGAGTGTCTCTCAGCTCCGTCAGCTCAAAGATCTTCCCATCCAGCAGCTCAAGCAGCGTCCTCAGGCTCTTCCTGAAGTTCTCCTGCTCTTCCTGGTTCTCCTCCAATCGCTGCTCAGCTCCAGCAAGCTGCTCCTCCAGCACTCGACTGCGCAGCTCGGTTTCCTGAGGCACAGAAAGGACTTATTTTCACTTCAACATCCATCAACACCATTAAATTACAGCAGCTGCCAAGTTTTCATTTTTCAATTACTTTTCAGTTCACGCTAATTCTTCAGTTAATTAATCAAAAGATGGTCCCTGAGCTCTAATTTGCAGTTACCCACTGACAGGCACTGATGAAACGATAGGTTGAATCTGTGTTGAATAAATGTTTTATGTGATATGTTTCTGTACTTAGTGAATTAATTGAGTATACATTATATATATTGAACATATGGATTAATTGAATATATATATATCACTATATAATTATTACCAATTTACTCAAGTAAGACAATTGGTTGGATTACTTTTGGATTACTTTGATTAATTACTGTATGTTGAAATAGTGACAATTAGGTTATGAAACAGACTCGAATGCCTCTTTAGATGGGTCAAATTGGTTGTATGTATGTTTTCACCACAAAACACAGAGAAAACTCAACCTCCTTGGCAGATTTTAATGCTGTGTCCAATTTGGTCAAACGTGTGAGATACTTTGGGGAGTAACTAATGGGTTTTTGGCAAAGACTACTTAGTAACTTCATCTACTTACAGTCACTAAGTATTTATAGCTGTTCCTGTAGAGTTACACCCAACACTATTCAGAAGCCTTACATAACCCATTCATTATTTAAAGCATAATTTGCATAATAACGAATCAACTAATTAATGAACTAACTATTGGTGTGAAAATATACCTCAAGTTTCTGAGTGAGGGTGTCTTTCTGCTCCATAAGATCATTCATGTTTTCAAGTTCTTCTTTAAGCTTCTCCATTTCCTGGGGAAATACAAATATTAATGACAAAAATAAACTTGGCATATTTCTGGTGATTTTTCTTATATTTCAATGACGCACTTCCTCTTTGTCCCTTAGTGTGGCCTCTAGTTCTTCAATGGTTTGGTTCAGTTCCATCTTCTGGGATTTGATCACAGGTGTTTGGTTGCTTTGACACTCAAGCTCTGTTACCTATCAGGAAAAGCAACACATTAAACATTAAATTGACTTAATGGAACTTCCAGACCAGGTGGAAGAAGGTCCTAACAAAGCATCATGACCCAAAGTGCAAGATGGGTCCGTCTTAAACTTCATGGTGAAAAGTCTATGGAGTTATCAATCAGTAAAAAGTTCATAACCAGGAAGAACAGTGTCTTAAACAGAGTCAAAGAAAGTCCAAAAGTACATTTTATCTAAAAGCCAATTAGAGATTACACCCTATCATCCAGGTGGACCATACAAACTTAAACAAGGGACGTATCTGTAAATGGGACAGCCATGGTGAATTATTGATGAAAACGCCATAACTGTCGAAACCATGAGAATAAGAATACCATTTAGTTGTATGACCACATTCAGCAGAACACCAGACTAAAAGGGACACAACATGACTAGGTGGAGTGTTTGCAAATAACACCTCTGAACATCTGTGGAATCACTTGCACACAAAAGAAGATGTTTGAGGATATGTAATGTAATGGGTCACACTGCTCAAATGGAGCGACATGATCAGTAAAACAAATGTGAGGTACACTCTTAGAAATAATCGGTAGTAACGCATTGTCACCGGGGAAGTACCCTCAAAGTGGATTCATATTTGTACCGATATATTCTGTACCTTATGAGAACAGATCTGTACCGCTTGGAGCAATAATGGACCTTGAAAGAACGGGACAAAAACTGTTTATTGTCTTTTTTAGGGTGCTGGCCCAGAGACAAACCCATTGCACATTTATGGGAACATATTTGGACTAACATACACAAAATATTGTATGTTATTTTACTATTTTCCCTCTTCAGAATGGTTGTTATTGCTAAAAATATGTTTACTCATAGTTGCAATGGTATTTCGAAATCTCCCCACTGTGGGATGAATAAAGGTTCTCCTATCTTATCTCATTTACATTTTTTTGTACAAAATAAGAATTGTAATTGCCCCATACTCACCCTATAATTGTCTATATAAAAAAACGTGTCTTTGTACCTGTAATTTACAAGTTTAGCACAGACCCTGCAGTGTTCACCTCTCTTGTTATCATCTTCACCAAAAACAGTTTGCTAAAGAGTTACTTGAAAAGGAAGGTACAGCAGTAACTAGTTCTTACTTTTGTAATGAGTTGCTTCCTAAAGTGGTTGACTGTCTCTCACCCGTTTGTGTAGTCTCTCTGCCTCCTCTTGGTAGGCGGCCAGTTGTTGCTTCCACTGCTTGACATTGGCCGTGGATTCAAGTAGTGCGGCGGTGAGCTTAGCGTTGTTTCCTTTTAGTGCCTCCAGCTCAGCCTCCCAGTGTTTTGTCATTGCAGGGCTATGGGACAGAGGACATCTCGTTATTAAGTGTTAGAAATCATTGAGATTAGGCCACAATTTATGCATGGGCGACTTTGGTGGTTGCATGTCTGAGAAATATGGGGCACTGAAGTGAACCCTTTCTCTTCATGCTTTACAACTCAGGCTGCCAACAAATCAGCTTCATGCCATGTTCCGTGCAGCTGAGGCACGTACGAAGGGAGGGGATGTCGCTGAGTATAGGGGACTGGTACTGCGAGATGATCATTGACTTTCACAAGGACCTTCCCATCACCCAGTCATAATAAATAGACAGAAGATTAAAGTGGTCCACACTTACAAATACCTGGGTGTCCCTGAGAGATAAGATTCAGATTTATTTATTTACCATTTGCAGTAAAACCACATTGGAATACATCTGCGTGCGCAACCCAAGTACATAAATAAAACAAGGTTAAAAGTACAGAAATAAAACAAACAAAACAGGAAACAATTGACACTGCGAAATCCATCCATCCATCCATCCATTTTCTACCCTTTAATCCATTTCTGGGTCAGGGGGGTGGCAGTCAGAGATGCCACCCAAGTCTCATAGCATCAGCCCCTCACTGACCCTCTGCAGGTGGTGAGTCCACAGGAGCACGGCTGCTCTCTGAGAGTGAGCATAGCCTTGATCTTTCAGTGGGGGCTTTGGGCAAAGTGGGGTTAAGTGTCTTGCCCAAGGACACAACGACAGCAGTCATCAGTGGGAGTCGGTGGAGAAGGTGTAGAGGTGGGAATTGAACCCACGACCTGAAGGCCAATGCTCTACCAACTGAGCTACTGTCGCCCCAATTGACACCGCGAAATCAATAAACTAAAACAGTTTCAATACAAAGGCAATATCATTTAAAATGCTCTGTTCAAACTGATAACAGCGTGTAGAAAGAAGCTGTTAGCGTACTGATATGTGCTGGATCTCAGCGAACGATGTCTTCTGCCAGAGGGAAGAAGCTGGAACAGGGCTTTTCCAGGGTGGCCAGAAGAGTCATTGATTACTCAAAGAGCTCAGTTTAAAAGTCTATGTTTATAAAGAACTGTGGACCACAAACTGGATGGTCAGCACATTTGAATAAAAAATGTTCAGAGCTGGCTCTTCTTGAGGAAAGCTTTGATCTCTAAAATGCCTTTTGAGTCAAACACCACAAGTGAAGTGATTGGTCCAGACGAGAAGGCTGCAGTGGACACTCACTGCTTCAGTCTGAAGGTCACCACTTCTGTCGGCAGCTGCCCGAGCAGCAGTCTGCCTCAAAAGTTGTAATACGAGATTATAGACTGTCTGTAGCCTAATCTGGACTTGTCACTTGTCACAGATAAAGTGATCTATATTCACTGATGGAGATTTTGAGATGGGCTTCAGACAAAACGCTGTTGTGTATCTGCAATACCTTTGCACATTTTCCTCTTCGCCTTTTGGCATATTATTCTTCATGTTTCTATGTTTATATGAGAAAAATATATAACTTTGAATTATGTGGGGAACTGGCACAATTTCTTTCTTGACGTACATTGAGCAACACCAACAAGAGAAAGGATTCTTATTATGCCATTTCATGATTTTTGAAATGGGATAATAAGTGTATCTTTTGGCCTTGGCTTCCAGAATGATCATATTGCCTTTCGCGCTCACTGCCTCTCTTGAGCTGACTTCAAGTCAAGTGCATTTGGAAAAAAGAAGCCCACTCCCACACACTTTTCAAAGATTCCATGCAGCACAACAAGAAGCTTAGCATAGATTGCTTCTCTCTCAATAACACTATCAAGCAAACAGTATATTACACCCACTCTCCCAGAGATCCATTTCACTCCAGACTCCCACGGAAAGTTCACTCCTTACACAACCGCCGCCCTCTGTTGGTGAGAGCAAGTGTGTGTTCACGTGTGACGCATACGAGGGAGACCACACATCCTACACAGGCACATATATACACATACATCTTCACACAGTTACACACAGAGCAGGCTGGAGCTGCCACTGCGGCTCAGCTCAGCTCTGCTCTGCCACTGATGAAATCCCACGAAGCCCAGAGAGAAGCAGAGAAAAGCAGAGAGAAGCGGTGAAAAGCAGAAAGAAGGAGAGCGAAGCAGATAAGCAGAGAAAAGGAGAGAAAAGCAGAACTATGCAAAGAGAAGCAGAGAGAAGAGAGCAGTAGAGACGGGAAACATGAAGAAAGACACAGACAACTAAAAGCCACGGACACAACAAAAGAAATGAGATTCCACACTCTACATATGCTCTCCTGTTTGAAGCAAGAGCAGCATAAGACCAAGGTAAGTGCTATTACATTCCATAACTATCAGAGCTCTGTGATCTGTAACAGTTGTTTTGTTGTTATGATATTTTCAATTTGGGATTGATTGGGTGTTTATAAGAGAATTTTTACTTTTCTTTTCAATAAAATAGTATACTTTATGATTTGTTTCAACAATGTGTGTTTAATGTTTTAAAATAATTCTGAAACTATTGTTTTTTCTCTCTCAATAAACAGTTGCTACATACATGTTGTGAATATGAATATTTATGTTAAAGAGAAAGTACCATGTCATCATCAGTAATAAATAAATCTTCAAGTGTCCAGTGTCTTTGCTCTTCATATCTTAATAAACATTTGTATAAACATAGCACATTGCTTTTCTTCTTCTGAGGTGAGGTCCTGAACACTGTCTAATACGGTAGGTGTTTGTTCCTTTAAGAAAGTGTAGCCTGCCTGGTTGCCATGGCAGCACAAGAGGAAAGTGTATCTGACGTACCACACTGCTCTCGATCGGCTCATCTACAAACTGTTTCTCAAGACCAAAAACACATTCTCCCCTTTCTCCGCCTACAACACCATTGACAGAAAAGACATCAGTCTTCTGACACAGACCTGTCCGTCCCCTGAACACGCCTACACACTGTTATGAAAGAGTCTGCAGCGCTGCGCTCCTACGCACACCTGCCCACACTGCAGCCCGCTTTATGAATATGTAATCGGCATCAACCATCTCAGCACTTCACTCACAACATTCACCTGTGGACACAAATGAGGCGCTTTCCCTCTCCATCACAAATAATGAACACAAATGCATAAGTAGATAGAGCGGTTTTATTTCATGCTAAAGTCTCACAACATGTCAGATCATTTATAAGATGCACATTTATGACACAGGTTAAGAAAGAATTAGTTTCACAGGTTAATTATGAAACACTAGACAACTTTATGATAGATTATTGCTGCACTGTTCTACATACAGTACATGCAGAAAGCAGGTTTTGCTTGGTTCATCCACACTTCTCTCAAATGGCGAGTCAACCCTATCTCCCACGCATGCAGCATTAATAGACACATCAGCAACAAGCCGCAGCGAGCAGTGGGTGTCCTCTGCACATCGCTCACTCCTCTGTGTACAGACCAGTGGCAGCAGCAACATTTAGACAAGCATCACCAATAAAACCTGCTAAATAAGTAGTATAAGTATATATGCACTCAGACCATCGGCCTCATCCTCACCAGACTTAAGCCAAAGTGATGATGAAGATAGAGCTATTATAATTCCACAAGGTTTTTATGTGTTGATTTCCCTGAGATAATTCAATCGCCAGAGCAGGGTGCAGGGATATTATTGCCATGTTTGACCCCTGTTAAGGTTTGACTTGTGCAGATAGCGCATCTCTCCTCCTGTGTTCCTCTGCCTACTTTGTGACACATACTGTGAGTCACCCACTCCCCAGCTTTACAAAAACATCTTGTACGAAATGCTAGAGACATTTTGTTGAACCTTGCAATGATTTATGGTGATGATCCGTTACATAAATATCTAATGTAAAATGAGCCTATACAATGTACATTTTCCCACATTACTTGTGTTGAGACAATATATATAAACAAATAACAGAAATTAACAACAAATACCATTCAATAATAAAATATTTACCGGTCACAAACATTCAGAGAGAATACTAGGAATGTGCATGCATATTCGTGTTTGCATACTGCACATGCATCAACGAGATCATAGCAGAGAGTAGGAAAGTAAACTTGCATATTTTGTCATATTGATACAAATGGATCTCTTTGAGGATGATGCTCAGCCAGACTGTCAGAGTCAGTGCCTCACAAGGGTCACTCCTTCTACATATTTTCCCTCTTTACACTGGAGCAAACCTTTTACACCCATATTTATGGGTCTGGCTCGACTGCATTGAATTGGTGGCTAAACCAATTTGTTTGTTTGTCATAAGTCTGACACATCTCTATCAGTACGAGTAGACGCGACAGGCCTTAAACTGCCTCCTAGAGAGAAAAGAGATGAGAGAGCAGCCGTGAATAGTGGCACTGTGGCACATTACATTGCCAGGTGAACCTACACAACATCTACAGACAAGGAAAACAGCCAGAGCACTAGTTGTGGATGTGAAGACAATTTTCAAAACAATATAACAAATGAAAGCGTAAAAGCAAATTGTGCATTGGCAGTCATTGGACTAAGGGGGACAGTTGGATGTTACCTGTGAGCAAAAGCCAGAGCGTTCTGCGCCGGCTCCGGGCGACTGTCAGAGTTTGGAGTGGTGTCGCAGATGTCGTCTGTGCCGTTCAAGGCTTCCATTGGAGGAGTCACAGGTGTCAAAGGAGAAGTGAGTTCACCCGCCGGAGACTCCTACACAAACATGAACACAACACACCACTGTAACAACCTATAAACCCAACAGCTTTCTTATTACGATGCAGAAGCCTTAAGCGCCTTTCTATTAAAACAGCACTGTCTCACATTGTTCGCCACACTCATTACATGATCAGTGCAGAGGGGATTGTTATGTTAATATTTCTGAGTAGAAAAACATGCTGACTACATTTTATTGTGATTAAGCAGCTGTTGGTTGTAAGAAACTGGATTGCAGAATGCTTATCTTTATGTCCCATACGAGCACAGTTATAGAAGAGGTAAATTATTTAGTTTTGTCTAAACAAAAAATGAGTCCATTAGGACTTAGGGCTTAGGGATAACACAGAGCACAATGTCTGTACAAAAGGACAGCTCTGATAAGACCAGTAATGTAGCTTTACACGCACATTCACGAGTGCAGTGTCTCCGATGGACTCAGCGTACAGTTCTGGTGGCGCATACTTTGTGAGTTTTTGTCTTTGGCTATTCTTTTAGTATGGGTTGTTTTACAGGAAAAAACAAAATGCAGCAGGTGCCAGCTTAAGGCACAGTGGTTTATTGGAAAGAAAGATGCTCTTGACGACTTAGCCAAGCCTTGAAAAGGAAAAAGCTCTGGCACACTTTACATACATCAGTGTTATTATTTACAGAGGAGCATCGCATCAGCCGTTACTCCTTCAGGCATTTTGAGAAGTCTGTAGATAAACGTGTGGATACAAATACTGGTGTATGCAAACACTTTCCCTTTTTTTTTTTTTATATTAACATTAAAACGTACAAATGCTATGTTTAAGGTGAAATAATGTCAAGTGTTGAACATTGAATGTAATGCATTACTAATACAATGCTAATACCATTAATGTCTTGGAGGAGGTGATCTACTCTCTCCTGCACAGTTTTTACTCCTGTAGTTAAATTTGCCAACCATTTTATAGTAAGTGCAAATTAAATCTATTCTTATGTAATCTAATTATGAATTATTTAATTCATTATTGTTAATTTTTTTTTTTAGCATTTTTAGAATGATTCAAACACCTCACAGAGCACTCCCTGTGTCACCACCTCATGATGTCACACAGTTTTACCTGAGATGGAGACGTCGCCATTTCCATCTTTTCTTGACTCTTCTCTTTTGCAAGTCGTGCTGCTTCTTTGTACTCTGCAAACTTTTCTGCAAACTGGAAACAGAAACAACCACTTTAGGGATATAGCAGAAGAAGAATAATCAATATTTGTAACATTTCAAATGAAATAATATTGGTATAATAATGTGCAGTCCTTGACGTCTTTCTAAACGGTAAAGTGTTAAAGCAGTTATTTTAGTCCTGAGGCGGGATACACTCACTCAGCCCCTCACTGTAATGTGAGATGAAGCTGAGTAAATATAATCTAGAGTCCGTTTGGGTGGGTACTGCCGGTCTCCAGTTCACAGTAAGAACTAACGCAGAACTTGGCTAATGCGGAAATCAAAGAAGGAGCCGTTCTGTCCAGCTGCAATAATTCAATAGTGCTTGACTTTAGCGTAATCTTATATCGTAGCTCTGTAATGCGGCGGATACACTTATACTTCTGCTACATTTTTTAAGGTACATTAGATAAACTCATTGGATATGAAAGTATATTGAGCATTATCCTCACACTGACATTTCGCGACTAGGGTGACTCAAATTCCTGTTGGCCTACATAAGAGTGATAATGTGTGAAGGATAAACAGAAAGATTAAAATGGCATCAAATGTCATTAGACAAGTGCCCTTCATCCCCAATTAAAGCCAAAACTATCCTTTGATATATAGAGTGCAAATGGTTCCAGTTTGACATTGTATTATCAATATAATTATTTTATTTTAATATAAATGCTACATATAACGTTTCTGTTAAGTGTTTCATTGTAGATCATTGAACAAATACAAGATCTGTTGAATTTCACAATCAAAGCACAGCAAGAACACACTAGAGACAAGCAAATGGCCGATCCCCAAATGTTATATAGTTCTTAAAATTACTTGCCGTAATAGAGTCTATGTAATAAGTAAAAAAAATCATTGGAAAATATGTTTTGTCGATAACAAATATCACGTCCCTGTATCCCTATATGAAAATGTATTTTTGTTTTATACGCTATTTTCCCTTGTTCAACAGTGAGGCTTAATCATGCTGCAGAGAAACAGCCTCCCCTGAGCACGCACACAGATCACGTTGCTTCATAAGATGCAGATGAGAACTTGTGTGTGTTGTGTTGGTGGGGCTGGTGGGAGGCAAGAAGTGGGTGGTACCTTGGCTAGATGATGCTCTGTGGAGAATCCCAGGCCATACACAGTGTTGGCACGACTGTCCGCCCACTGGCCAAACTTCTGTGAGGTCTTTGTGAACGTCATGTTGGGGCTGATTGTGCTGTTGATTATTGCCTGGTGGAAGAGACAACGCTTTATTAAGAAGTGTCTTTGTTCTGGGTCTGCACTATACGGGCAAAACATAATAAAATAGAAAGTCTGGGTATACTGCATTTAGACGTATTCCTGTTGGGGATGAGCAGCAGGCCTAGTTATATGTTACATGATAATATGGATTGATGCCATTTGGATTATTGATTTGGCCCAGGTTGTGACACTGTGATCAGGGCTGGACGCAGCAATGAGCTTAATGAGATCCGAGCCTATTTTTTTCTCTTTCACTCATTTTGTTTGTAGATTATTGTAGAAACTGAGTAACATTAACGTCAGAAAAGAAACAGTTAAGATGTTCACCCCTTAAGCTTTTAAGCACGTTGAGTTTTTTTTTATAACATACAGTTGTGAATGCCTTTTGCAGAAGAAAAAAAAAAAAATCTTGTATTTTCTGAGAGATCAGTTCTTGTTATTTACAACGGTAATACCCAATAATACCCAACATTTTCTAATCTATTTTCTTTTTCTATACTTGTCAACATTTTGGTTAAGGTTTGTTTAACTTTTTTTTTCAGGTATAAATAAGGCTTAATCAAATGTTTATAATCATTACATCATAGTCATTTTGACTTGTCAGGTTATCTAAAGAGGCAATCTAATTATTGCATAATTCATCTCGATTTGTTAAATAATGAGGAACAAAGTAAGACAATCAATTATCTGTGTTGTGTAAGGACTGCCACTCTGAAAGCACTCAATAGTTAGTGCTGTGACAGATGTGTGTTTGTAATTCTATTCAGTCCTGTTCTTTAAGTGAGGTGCTTAGTAAGTGGTTTGTGGAAGAGGGTTCTTAAATCAAAATCAATGGGAAATACATAATTTAAGAGTCTCAATGTGCTGTTTGCAGTGGTGCAGTGGTATATACAGAATACAGAATACAGAGTAAAAGAAGTTTACTTTCAGGTTCCATCAGCAGGAGCCATATTAGGGAGTAGCAAGAACCCAACAACCTACTAGTTTGCTGAAGCTGATTTTGGGAACAGAAGGCGCAATAGATCAGTACTTAGCGTTCATATCTGGACTGATGTAAATAAAAAAGCCAGGATCAATGATTAGTGTGACACAAACGGTTCCAGAGGGAAGTTTACTTTGCGATGTAAGTCAATAGGAGCAAGAGTGAGTTGGAGCAAAACTTTGTTCATGAGCACTTCCTTGAAGAGCTTCAATGAGTTGTGGGCTGGCTTTGATCATGATCGTGGCAGTGAAAGTATGGGTGGGTCATGAAGGTGGAAACTGTGGAAGTGACGTTGATATTTATATGTAGGCTACTAAATACTAAATACTAAATAAAATCAGTCTGTATTTTATTTTATTTTTTACATAGTTGTTGTGTTTCAGCAGCTAATGAACTATATGTGACGTGAAGCAGGCTGCTTCAGCCAATCCTTTTTTTGGGTTCTAATACAGTCATACAGTAATATGTTATTCATCAAAGAAATGACCAAAAATAAATAATTCATTCATTGAATACAGAGTAGTTCACAATGAATCCATTCCCTCAATAGTTGATTTCTTATTTTATTTGTTTAAACCTAGTTGTGATCAATCAATGTATTGTTACAACCCCAGAGTGATTACACAAGTACAGTGAAATACACACACATAGATGGATGATAATACACATTATTATATGACTTGGATCGTACGCGCGCTCTGATTACCGGTCTGATATTTTCCCATCTCAGACCGTTACCATGACAATTGGTCCGAACAGCGCGTATCACATTTGATATCTTTCCTCGGACCGTTACCGTGACAATCAGTCCGCAGCGCGTATCACAATTGATTTCTTTCCTGAGTTTCCTCGGTAAAAAAGAAATAATGGGCGACAACTGGGAGCATTCTCCAGTGAATTCTATTATCCGGACGAGTTTGACGAGCTACAGAAAATAAAGAAGAAAAAATAACTAACAGACAAGATGAGATTGACTTCGTTGCAGACCAGAAAGCTAAAAACACAATTAGGAAAACCAAGCCGGAGATCGATATTTGCATAAATTAAAAATAGTCATATAATAAAACATGTATTAACCTCGCTTGCTAATAAACCGTTAGTATAATTAGATTCAAATATAAACTGCAGTAGTAAAATTGGAATACTTAAATCCACCTCAACATCAACTAAGAATCGGGTAAAAGTGGCAGAATATAAAATGTTCTAAAGGGATTTTTAATTTTGATATATAACTATAAACTAAACTATGAAAATGTCAGACATGTTTTTATATCCTATAAAGCAGAATGTCTCATGCTGGCCATACACGAACAGTCTGCCCACATATACTGTAAACAGTGAAATATGAGCCAGGGCTTTTGGCTGTAGCTCTTAGCTCTTCTCAAGTCCGGACCGCACTAACATCATTAACACTGTGCAGCTGATATAGCCATAAAACGAAGAGGTTTCAGTGTGATGAGGTTTTATTACATCTACATGCCCTCACCTTAGTACCGTCCAGGCTGATGATACGATAGACATTTCTGGTGCTGTCGTAGAAGTAGGAGACGGTGACTGCATGTTTGCTTGTGGGCAGCCAGTTCTTCTTAGTGTTTGGGTCGATTTGGAAGACATGCGCCCGTGTGCTGTAGATGGGCTGCTCCCTGAAAGGCACAAAAAAGAAATGGTGAACTTCTTTGTGCCGTAAAACCAGCGTCTCTCCAAATCCGGCCCGGTCAGAACCAGCAGGGTTGGATTTTCCTGGTAACTGTATGACGAATTCCCCTTGCTCCATAGTTGGACCAACAAGTCAGTGGTTCAATAGACCTTCTCTTGTGCCCATATTAAAGAAGATGTTTTGAACTCTTGCATTGCAGTTATAGTTTCTCTGTGCCGTGTCGCAGTCAAAGTCAGTGTCACTTCTGCTCTATGGGAATGTCTGCCGCTCGAATGGAGGGGGTCACACAGGGGTGCACAGGGGAGACAGAAAGGGCTAAAGGCTAATTTTAGACATCAGGCCAACAACCACACACACGACCTGCATGCTCTTGACTTTCATACATCCGTTCATTTGACACACATCCACAATCCAGGTATCAGCAGTTCATGTAGAATATTATGCAGTAAGTGAGTGAGGGTAAGAATTACACAAATCAATATTTGAAACGCATTTGATAAGGCCATAGTCCAGTATAGTTGAACGTTGCATAATAATGTTGCTATGATACCAAAACTTGATTTAGATACTACTGAATGAACTTCATTCTTAATATCACAGTGATCTTTTTCAACTGCTGCAAAAGTATTATTATTATTATTACACAATATTAATAATAATAATTGCACTAATTGTTCTAAGTAATAGTTTTGTATTAACAGTGGCATCTATAGTCTTTATCCTTATTCTAATCATGTAGATCAGAATCTTTCTGAAAGTGCAAAGGGAATGTCACATTTTGTGCAGTTTTTGTTTGATGCTAAAACTGACTGTCGATATTTTTGACATCCCTATGTAGTAATACATGTATACAAGTATATACTACTTTGAGGTAATCATTTTATTGTTATTTAAAATATAGAGTTGCAATATGATTAGATCTTTTTAATAGCTTGAATAAAAATGTTGCTATTAGAAAATTCACAATTTGCCTTCCATTTTGATCTCTGAGCATTTTATCAATTGGGCATATTTACTGAGTAATCTGACTGGAGACTATCCATGAGTTCTGAGTTGTGGCGGGGGCCAGACTCCCAACATATTATTGAGTTTTGGGGTTTATATCTTCAGTCAATACACAGACAGAGTTATAAAGCCGGGTGCACACAGGGAGATATTCTGGGATGGCAGCGCTGGCAGAGCAGGAGATAGAGAAGTGCTTACACTGCACTGAGGGGGTGATGGGGGACATCAAAGGCCGGCTGTATAAATGAATATTAAAATTCAGCAGCACTCCCCTCTTGTGTGTGATAAACTAGGAAAGAAAGAACGAGTGGACAGTGAGGGCAGACAGAATCAAGCCCTGGCCGATGGGAGGAATAACGGGGGATATGTGAGAGTCTGAGATTCTGAGATGTTGTACGAATCAGTGCAGAAAAGATCGAAATCGTGGACAGCAGTGTAAGTGGCAAAGCAGTGAGTCATTTGGAGTCATCCACAGCCTGTCCGATCCGTGCCACAGTTTCTTGGCATGTGGCAAGCTTTTATTACATAATTTGATGGTGCGGTGGCAGGTTTTGTGTGATTTTTTGAATAATTACAAGGGTAGCAAATAGTGTTTTGCTGCTACGCTTTCATTTCAACATGTCAGGTCCAAAATGCCGCCCACTGATATAGAAAATAACACATTTCCTCCTACCAATGAACTTTGAGAGGGCAACGCAGGGGCACTGAATCACTACAAGAGGAGGGAGGTCACATTAGAAGGAGGGGGTTGTTTTGGAATAAATGTATTATTTTGATGTGAATAATTCAATTCAATTCAATTCAACTTTATTCCGGACTCATAGTCCAATAAAATAAAATAAAAATAAAGGACAAGACAAACAATTAAAATGGCATTTAAAAAAGACAATCATGCCAATGTCTCCACAAGTCAGATTGATACCGTGTCGCACTCCATTTTATATTTGTGAGGGACACTATTATTTCATTTTCAGACGTGTTCAATCGACACATAAAGCTGTACATCAAAGTTCGTAGCACGGCCTGTAAAGTGTTCACTCTGGCATTGACAAACATTTCTGTGGCACTTGACCATCTCGGCTTTTTCAACAGCACACGCAAAGCATCATTATAGGCCACCTGGAGCTTACGCATGCTGGCTTTCTTATAATAATATAGATATATATATAATATAGAATAATAAATGTAAATGTTTATTTTTGTAATCTATGGTTTATCACTAGAACCTGGAGCCATGAGGAAATGTTTTATCATGGCTGATGTTATGATATATTTTTCACAACACTAGTCTGGAGTGAAAGTAATGATTTTTGCTTTAGAGGATAAGAAAATAATAACAATGAGATTGGAGGGGAAACCAGCAGCTTTTAAAGGGTCAAATATCATTATTATTTTCTACAATAAAATCAATATTTGTAATGTATTATTACCGGCATCAAAAAAACCTAGAGAAGCGATCTCCCCAAGAGGCAGTTTCATTCAGATAATAATTCAGACCAGTTTCACAATTTAAGAGCTTGTTCCTCGTTCATTTTTGAACAATGAATTATAACCAACAGACAGACAACTCCTGCTGAAACCTTCTTGGTAGAGTAGATAAAAAGTGCCTAAATAAAACAAGAATAGAAGGTTCTGAGATACTTGTTGTTATTGCTATGTTAGTAGTTTAACGACCTATATTTTTTTATTTTTTTCATTCTTCTTCTAATATATGTGAAGAATTATAGTTTTATATGGTTAACAACTACAGATTCAAAATATCCTCGTATTCTTTATCAACCTTTCAAGCTGGATCAAGAGTAGAAGACAATCAATATGGAGTCTGCAAAGAGACAAGGCCAAGTTAACATTAATTGTATTTGCCCCAGGAACTGTGTTATGTGATAGGCATCTCCAGATCTCTGCCATATCCATTAGAGTCCAGTGGTGTAATATGACCAAATCAACATAACTTCTAAACGTTCCTATGCTACATTCACAATACATCCTTGTAATATGGAACAATTCATTCTATTGTGCATAAAGAGTTTCAGTAAGTTATGTAATGAGAGTTTGGTCAGCAGTGAAGAGCTGAGTGGGAGTGTAGTGGTGAATGATGCCTTATTGTAGGAGGGCAGAGTAGGCGCCTCCGGTTGATGTCCACTGTGGCATATGAATCGTTACAACATACAAGTTTAGGCGTGTACCATGTTCTTAGCCCCCGCTTTGAAGTTATTCACAGTGACCTGGAGAATACATAAGGTTTTGGATGGACAGAGCTGCTGATTGGTGGAGAACCACACCACCAAAGTTCCTCAGATGATAACTGTCTTTGGTGAAGCTTAAGCTGACTGTGTCAAAACCTGCCTGTATCTATACAGCAGCATTATTCCATCGTGCAGACCTAGGACAGCATGTACATTGCTGCAGACCTACATTAAACTGTAGAAAGGCTGCTCTTGAGCACATGCCATCATTCAGAATTACATAACTGTCTATATGTGTATAGGTGGGAGTAAACACAGGGACTGGGACCCAGCAAAAACAGGGTCAATTCTCTTTAAGAGAAATTGGGAAGCTTACGTTATTCTAGGCATTCATACAGCTTAAGAGCATATTTTCTCTTTTTGTTGCTGGATTAATAATGATGATTAAAGTTTCATCAAGAAACTTAATATGCTACATGAATAGCCTCAAATGCTTACCAAAGAAAATTCCTGCAAGACTGCTTTACATTTAAATGGCCTTTTTGACATCACATTGGCTTTATTAGTCATTTTTGTCGCATAGGGGAGTCGTTTTTGCTCGGATACGCTTGATGTGGTTTTCATGACAGGGAAGTTGATCTTGGTGAGGCGGCCGCAGCTGATGTGAATACAGAGAGGAAACGAGAAGGCTAATAATGACACTTACCCCATCGTTGTGGTTGAAATGGAAGGTGACACCTGACCACAGATATTCTTCGTCGATATTATAAACCACTCAATTGGATCGTCCGCTGATGGTTCTTCAAATGACAGGATCTCCGCTGCCGCCGTCAGTGCGTCTGCAGGAATTTAATGACAACTGCTCCATTCCCTCTGCTGTCACCGCATGAATTCACACATCCGTGTAGCTCCGCACATGGCACAGACAGCAGCAGCTCTGTCTCCGAGCGCGTAGGCTGATGGAATCACTGGGGGCGCACAGTCCAGGGGCCGCGGGCAGCTTGTTAATCACAGAACCACGGATGGACGAGACGCGACTGGATTTGAGCTGCAAAAGACAGTCTTCGTTTTACCAGTAGCTCAGCATTACATCCTATCTCTCGCTCTCTCTCTCTCTCTCTTTCTCTCTCTCTCTCTCTTTCTCTGTCATTACCATAGGCTCGAAGGCTACACCCCCACTCTTCTCTCCTCCAGACTGTATGGACAAAAGATCTGACTAATCTTCAAATTTCAGTGATTTTTCAAATAGCCAACAATAAATCTTCACGAAAATGTCTCCAGTGTCTGCGGTGGTTGCGCATTGATCAACCCATCCACAAACCCCACAGCACCCCGCCCCCCAGTCCACCCCACATCTGGCTCTTGCACCACCCCCCACCCCTCACTTCGATGTCGGTATTGAACCGGCGACGTCACAGCACCATCCTCCGCAGTGACGTCATCCCGCACTCTGGAGAGGCACGTTTGATGTTTGCGCTTCTGCCACCATCAGTCTATGCCATCAACCAACAACTACTATGGCATTAATAAACTTAAATCAGCTTTGGTTAGAAACAACTGTATGCAGTGTCAAGATCGTCTGCGTAATGGTTTGACTCAAGATCATGGCTCTATTGCGTTGGAGCTGTGCTGTAATCAACTGTTTTGTACCCGACAATGACAAATTTCTAATCTGTTCTCTACATTAATTTGTTATGTTTAGCCTTTTTAGCCTGATAAAAAGTTTATGTTTCTCCCTCGTTGATATGAAAATCATGGCTTATGTGTCTTTTGATGTATTTATTTATAGACTCTGACTTTGGATCATCATGTGGCCTGCTGATTTGGCCAAAACTCATCAATAGTAGCTCTGTCCAGGTCACTGAATTTCATGCATTGACATGTTATTGTAATGTATATCCCTCCAAATGGGTGCACAAAATAGGTCACTGTCGGTCAATAAATTCATGGATTGTTTGAATTCACATCCCAAAATCAATCAAAATTGTGATAGATATAATACAATAATTTCCACGTTCAATTTAAGATAAAATGTCAATTTAATTGCTTTAAAAAGAAATGAGAACCAATAACAACATACGTAAGCACGTCAATGCGGAAGCACTGACTACCGGAAGTAAAACTTTTGTTTACAAGTGATCGGAAGCCGTTGGTAGCATGGATCTATAGTTGATAGTCGGTTAGAGAGGAACGCGCTGCTTTAGCCACCATTCGAGGCAATAGATTATCTTTTTGTGACCATTTTGTTGAATAAATACTGATAGTTTGCCCATCGTGAATTTATTGGTTGGAGCTGCCAATAGCCGTGCTTTTGGAGGTGGTGGTCAATCCCATGTGAAAAACATGTTTCCTCGTAAACGGGGACCGAGAGACCACCAGGTCTATTATAATGGAGTACCTCCAGTATCGTCACGGTCAGATTTCCACAAACAAACACAACATACCAACGTGAACACGTGAGTCAACTGTTTCAAGTGCATTGAACTAATGCGAAGCCTTTATTCAATGTAATGTAACGTGTCCATGTGTTTTCAAAGCTATAATGGGCCAGGTATTCTACCAGTGTATCAATGGAACCCGAAACCAATCCCCATTTACCCAGCAAGTCCTCAAGTCACCAACAGTCGAAAGTAAGTGTCTCCGGGGACATGTAGTGAGTTAGGCTTATATACAGTCTATGGTTAGGCTACATGGTTATTAGGAATGCGTATTACTTTTACTGCATGTTAGAGTGGATAATTCATTTTACTTTAATTTCACTTTGCTTAAAACTTCTTGACATGGCTGAAATACTTCTGTTTAAAGTATTGCGTCAAGTTAAGTACTTTGTCTGACTTGAATAGATCTTTCATTTACCTGCTCATTACTTACAGTAGTTCAATTTAGCATTTCCAACATTGAGGCAGATTGGCCTGTGTTATATTGAAATGCTGCACAATTCTCATGATTACCTTATCCTAAGCACACTTTACTTGAAAGGATGGATGCTATTTGTTTTTCCTTACAGCCCTGTGCTAGATATTTGAAGTTATATGTAATCTATTAACAATTGTCCCTGTGATTTTTATTTAGGAGACAATACAGCCATGGCAGTCCAGCAGTCCACCATGTGAAACGGCAGCGTGTTGAATCCTTTCATACAGATGATTTTAATCCTTCGTTTGAGTCTCCCCCACTTCCTCAAACACACTTGCCTGTAATCGCTAAGGTCTCTCATGATACTACTTCAAATAAACCCAGGATACCATCTCATCGGCTTCTTGCTGAGTCTCCTGAAACCCCCATTTCTCTGCGGGTCGATGCAAATGACAAGGTAAACACATTTCCAATAACATAAAAGCTTTACTGACTTTTTCTTTCTTTTATGAAATAATGTGACATCATATTTTCACACATTCAGGGTAATATTTGTAATATTTGATGTATTTGGTGTGTTGTGGTTTCAGATGAGCGCTCAGATGGTTGAGCTTTTTGAGGCCTGTCAACAACAAACGTCTGATTTGTTGAAAAAAGAGGGGTATAGAGCACGACTACAGAAAGATATACAAAGGTTGTACCCAGGTGAGATTTTCTTTTGAATATCTATGTAGTGTGTGAGAGAGAATGTTGCTTGTTACAGTTGCTGAAATGTTTGTCAAACAACTGTTACAGACGGAAGGCTCTACTTGACTGGCTCCACCATGAGTGGTTTGGGTTGTCGTAGCAGTGATGCAGATCTCTGTTTGGTCATTAAGTTGAAGGTGAGAATTCACAATTTTTTTCAAACTAATTAAATGTGCAACAACAATATACAGGCTGTAACGTTTTCTTTATAACCTTTATAGCAAACCAACGTGAAAGTCATTGATGTGCTCTTTGCAGTTTTGAGGTTACTTAGAAATCTTGGTGAGTAGCAACAAAAATGAGCAAGTTATACTGTATTAAGAACAAAAGGCTTATATACGTTTAAGCTAGTTAACTGTAACTACCCAGTTCCCCACTAAAGGGTGCTGTTTTCCAACATGTTGACAAGTCTGACCTTGTTCAAATGCAGTATTCTTAATTATAGACTATGTGGACAGAGTACTGCTAATCCGAGCAAAAGTGCCTATTCTTCGGTTCAAAGAGCGAGGCAGGTAGGACATGGTGATTTACCCAAGTTTTGTTTTACATCAAACCCACTGTAATTCTATGTTGTTCACATCTTACTTAAAGCAACCTTGAGTTTGATCTTAATGTCAACAACACTGTGGGAATCAGGAACACATTCCTTCTGAGGAGTTACACCAATGGTCAGTTTTGTATTTTTGTGGGATGAATCTTTCTTTGTTAGACTGTAGAAACATTTCATTCAGTGCTTGGTTTTAATTATTATTGATGATCATATTAATTTGATTCATTTTAGCTGACATCAGGATTCGACCGTTTATGCTTGTTGTCAAGAAATGGGCCCGACATTATGAAATCAACGATGCCAGCAAAGGGACGTTGAGCAGCTACGCTCTCGCTCTTATGGCTTTGAACTACCTTCAACGTGAGTTGGAATCTTTGTTTTTTTCTTACTGGTCACTTTCTTTTTAGGTGAATGTTGAACATTATCCCAGTTAATCTAAATATAGAAATAGATAACAACTCATGTGTAAGTGTAATGCTCTGTTTATTACAGTTGTGAAACCTCCGGTTCTTCCATCACTGCAAAAGGATCATCCAGTAAGTGTCTTCAGATTTATTGGGAGACGTGTTCTATTGTTTCCTGATTATGGCTGTAGCTTGACTGCTTCCGTTTTATTTTTAGACATATTTTGATTCTTGCCTTGACCTTGACATGGTCCCTGACGGCTCCCAACGTGTCCCATGCTACAGATCCAAAAACAAATCTTCTTTAGGAGAGCTCTTCCTGGGATTTCTTGAGTACTATGCCTTGACATTCAGGTAGTTTCCAAGATGAGTTGCAGTTTTCAAACTTCTTTGTTTTGATTCATGTTTTTCAGTATCAGGTTTCTTTGTAAAACTGTATTGTTTTTTTTAAATCAAAGTTTAAACAACCTTTTGTTATATTTCTGTTCACAAAAAATGTTTTTTGTAGATGGGACAGCCAGATCATCTCAGTGCGAGAGGGTAGAACTTTACCAAAAACATCAGGTTGGATGGGAAAATTCATAAATGTTGAAGGTAAATATTTGTATATTTTAAAGAAGGAATGAAATTAAGGCAGATAACATGATTAGTGATATATTTTCTGTTCAGAACCCTTTGAAGGGCATAATGTTGCTCGAGCTGTTTATGAGGCATCCAAGTTTGAAATCATCAAAAAAAAGATTGTTGAGGTATACTATATGCTGTCTTTTTATTTATAAAACGTGTTTGAATGGACTTTATGGCTTAGATTTAGAAATCTATTGATTGATAGTTTTTGTTACTATATATATTTGCAGTCGTACCACATTCTAAAAGGGAAGAAAGACCTCACCTCACTGCTTCCACTCCGAGCCATTATTAACAGAGAGCAGATTGGAAGACGATGAGGCCAAACATCTGTGATCAGCCTCTACCTCAGACCCGTTTGACCCAGTTCTCACACAAACAATTTTACACACGTTCAGTTCATTTGTTGGAGACTTTGCTGAGGCCACTGTTACTCCGGTGTGGACATGGATCATCATCAGGAATGTAAAAATTACTTTAACTTGGATAACATGTTTATTCTGGACTTAACCTCCAATTACATTTAGCAACTCTGTATTCACTTTCTTTTATTCACTCTTTTTTTTTTTTACAATAATCATAGTGTTTATACAGTATATGCAGAAAAGTATTGTCTTGAAATGGTAATACAAAAAAAAGTCTATGGTTTTTTAAAGAATTGTTAATTTAAGAAATAAAAATAAAAGTTCAAAAGATTGTTACAATACTGCTTGCTTTTACTTTTTCTTTTGTTTATGACTCCCAAGGGTCTTCATTAGTGCTTAGCAAAAGGCTCACACTGATGTGAAATAATCATAATAGATCCATGGAAAGAATAATAATTTTCAGCAGTTTGTAGCATTGTACCGTGTGACCACACAGTTATGTTTAAGAAATGTGTTCTATTCCCATATATATCTTTAGTTACATCCATAGTCTGCTATGTACATATAGATCCTTTCGTTAATTATTGTTTTTGTTTTATTACTTGGCAGACTGCATTAGTCAATGACGGGGTGCAGATGCCACAAAATCTGGCCCAACCATGAGCTAGGTAGGTAGGGTCTGGATACTATTTCAGCCTCAACCTATATTTAACTCTGCAATGGGGGTTTACGTCTTAAAAAGGCCTGCCTGCACATGTGTTTTGATTTGCAACACTATGATAACTTGAACAATATATAATGTATATGTAAAAGTTTTGAATAATTCATCTCACCATGTAACTAAAAACATGTCGTTACTAAGACGATCCGAGGTACTGTTTTGAGAGCCTCTGCTCCACACCCCCCATCATTCCCCTCTCTCTATTCTTGTCCCGCTGAGTCAGATGGACAGCTCCCAACTTAGATGTACCACTCTGAGCAGAACTCCTATGTTCAAAGTGGTGGAAAACAAAAGGCCTCTTAACATTTGGGCAACAACCACAGAAACTGGACCAAAGTCACGATGGATGAACCAGAGAGTTTGGACTCGGATATGCCTGAGCTACAGGAATGTTCTTATGACGCACTGGAAGCTCTCAGCCAAGACGATGAAGAAGAGGTGGAAGAACTTGAAAACAGGTCTCATTCCATTTGTGTGCTCTTTATGCTGTCTAATGTAACTGACTGTTCCGGTTTGGGTCTTGATCTGTCACACCTAACCTGACTTAAACCAACTGATTTATCAACTGGCTCCATATAGTGCTGCTGTGTTATAAATAGCAAAAGACACTGATATGTTGGATGCATCTTCAGACTTTATCTAATAGTACACCAGTGACGCTCGGAGCTGTCACTTAGTAGCAATAAGTTTAGAGTAAAGCTGTACTTGTAGCTGATATGTGAACTGCTTTGCTGTACATTTCTGTTGTAATTTGTAGTTAAGTTTTTCTACCTTTCTTAGCTATGCTACAAGAAGGTAATTAGCTTTCCCTATGCTGTTCCAAAAGCAGAATTGAGGAATGTCCTTCATTCTGTGAGCAGCTCTGCTAACCGAGCCCTCTCTTGTGCAGTTTGCGAGAAGTTATCCAGGACCATTCAGTGAAGCCCAAACTGCAGTGCCTCATGGTGGATCCATCGTTCTCAATGGTGACCGTGCAGAGTGAAGACAGTGGCATCGTGTGGGAGACAGCCTCCAGCCGCTGCTCCACGCCCTGGGCATCTGAGACCAGCTCTGTGTCAGAGGGGGGCAGCATGGAAGCCTCTGGAGCAGCAGGCAACATCACCATTATATTTGATGAGGATAAAGTTGTGCGCCGGAGGACCAGGTCTGGGAGGAGCAGCAGGCTCAGTGACCGCTTCAGCAGGCCGGGCAGTTCTCGATCTGCTTCGGCCCTCGGGGTGGAGAGATTGGAGATGATGGAGGTTTCTCAGCCCAATGTTAAACAGGATAAAACTGAAAATGAACCAGACCTAGAGGAGATAAAGAACAAAGACCAGGAGCTTTTCAATTTGATTGCTGAAGGTTATGAGATTCTCAACATTAGAGTACCATTCAAACTACCCACTGTCGATGAGGAGAGTACAGAGCTGCAGGACAACCTGTCCTATCTGGATCAGACCCCAAAGATCAAATCCAGAAACCACCACCACCAACAGTTGACTCGTGCGGAGGAAGGAGACCTGCAGGATGTGGAGCCGCTAAACAAGGTAGGACTCTGTTTTTGCACAATATTCATTATGAAGCCCACTGTGGCAGCAGAGGAGCAGTGTTGACTCTACAGACTGCATTCCTATCTTGTATTATTCAATATTAAGAATCCTTCCAAATATGTTTTCTCACTTTCTACAAAGTCTATTATTGGACCGTGGGAAGTTGTATTTGCACACAAGCACGCACACCTTTTTATGGAATAGACAAATCAGTGTTTATTTATTTACCTATTGTGAATTTTTCATCTTAGGAATCAAAAGAAGCTGTACCAAATCTTCCATCAACCCCAGACTTCAAACCTGCTCCGACAGAGGGCCCTGGTGACATCGACTACTTTGAGAAATTTACCTTGTTGGATGTTGTGGCTCCAGGTGAAGAAGCATCAGGAGAAGTGGACGAATGTGTAACACCTGTCCCGACTCCAGAACCAGAGACCAAAGACCCGGTCAAAAACCGCAGCCCCTCTGTCTCTGAAGAATCATTTGTCTTTGTGTCGAATGAGGACATTGTCGGAGAGCATCTAGATGAAGTGTTTTATGGAGAGAGCCCACCTGCGGATGCGGTGCACAAACAGGACGCGGAGGATAAAGGTGGAAGGATGCGGCGTCAAAGCTCTGTCAAAGAAAGTGGCTCTGTGTTATTTGAAAGTGAAGAGACTGTTCTGACTCCCATCTACATCTCATCTGGTCCTCCAAAAATCATCGACCAAATACTACTGGACGAACCCACTGCCATGTCATTTATGTACACAGACCTTTACGAAGATGCTATGGGCGAGAAGCGGAGGAGCGATGAGGAATGCTCTGAGGCAGAAAGCGTCACATCTGAAAAATCTTACAAAAGGTGTTTGATGGATGATTATGAGGAAGCAGACGGCGGCTACCTGGAGAAGTTTACCTTGAAAGATGAGACGGCTTATGTGGAGGTTTCATCTGAAGTTGTGGAAGAGCGTAAAGGGGGACGGATGATGTGGTTGCAAAACGAGTTTGAGATGAGTGGGTGCTTGACACGAGTAGCTAAGGAGGAAGATGGTGAGGAGACAAAGAACGCAGTTGAGGCAAAAGCGATTACTCCTTGTGAATCAGAATCCACGTCAGAATCTGCATCAGCACAGGTCGAGCATGAAAAGACAGGACTTGATGAAAGAGAAAAAAGTGCACAGAAGTCTGGAGTAATTAAAGAAAAAGACAATGATATTCAAAAACCTCAAACAGAATTCCCGTTAGGCATACTTGGATCCGAGCCATCAGTAATTCCAGAGAACAGTTCTGTTATTGAAGAAAACAGTTCTGAAAAGGACATTACAGACAAAGTCCTTGCCAAAGTCGCTGCCATAGATACACCTGCTCCAGCTCTGGATATTTCTCAGACAGTCATTCGAGGAGAAGAAACCCAAGAGTTTGAGTCCGTTACAGATGCTGTAATTGTAGACACAGAGCTGGAGATCCCCAATGAGGCCCCCCACCAAGATACATGCTTGGAGGTGAATGCTGAGTGTGAGCCCCCTGTACAGGCAATTGTGGAGGTTATTGAAAACAGCAAAACTGATTGTCCAACTCATGTACGCATTGATCTCCAAGAAGTAAAATTGCCTTCTACAGCAGTAGAATCATCAGCTGCAGTTATGGGTCAAGAGGACACTATGATAAAAGACAATGCTGAACTAGAACAAGTTGAGGAGAAAACGGAACTTGTCAAAGAACAAGAAGTTCCGAGCGCAGCATTGGTCGAAGCAGAGATTCCACCTGGTCCGGTTAAGGAGATGGTGGATGTTGGTGATGAACTCTTACTGTTTATTCCCAAAGGACACGCTGTTGAAATGGACATACAAGTCAGCCCACAGCCAGATACAATTCCAGCCGTTCAAGACACAGAACAGACTGATGATACGCCTTTAGGAGAATCTGTGATGCAACCAGAGATAGCAATGGTTTCTACATTTGAAGAAAGTGAAGCAAAAGAAAGTGTAGATTTGTTTGAGGTGAGGAAGAAAGAGGCAGACCTAAAAAGTGACGTTGAAAAACAAGAAATTGTATGCAGTATTTTTGAAACAGATGTGCCTGTTGAAGTCCAAGAGCCAACAATAGAAATGCTCAAACCTGAGGTAGAAGAAACTGCAAAGGGAGATGTGGAATTTACTGTAGATGATACACCTTTAGTAGAATCTGTGATGCAGCCAGAGATAGAAATGGTGTCTACATTTGAAGAAAGTGAAGTAAAAGTAGATGTCGATTTGCCTGAGGTGAGGTGCAAAGAGGCAGGGCCAAAAAGTGACGTCGAACCTGAGGTAGAAGAAACTGCAAAAGGAGATGCGGAATCTACTGTAGATAATTTGTCTGAGATTTCCATATCTAAACAAGAGAGACATTTGGAGGAGATTGGTCGTCTACCTCCTGAGGAAATCCCATTAACAGACGCCACAGACAGGCAGCATGCCACACAGCTGCAAGATGAAGACATTGAAAGTATAATAACAAATTTAAAAGATGAAGATGGCAGACCAACCGTTATTGAGCAATGCCACAATGCTGAGACTGAGGTTCATGAGGCTGTGTCAATAATGGACACAGTACCTACAAATGAAGCTGAAATAGAGAGTGTTTCGGCTGAAGTCGGTTTGCTCCCTGTCCCAGTGGAGGAAGGAAAAAGTGTAGCTTTGGAACAACCTGTGGCAACTTCAATAAATGAAATTGAAAAGGTTGTGTCTATTTCACCCATTGTGGCTGAGACAGAGGAATTTGACTTTGAGATTGTAAATGATGTCAAAGAACCACACGCGGTAGATTTAGAGGCACAAAGGGAAGTTATAAGCACGGAGCTAGAGGAGGAATTTATTGAATATAATGTTGCTGCTGATGAGGAGCAGACTTCAGAATGCAATATAGAGGAGGTCGCAGGTTTACGCTCAACACTGAAAAGATTTACTCCACTGCAAGATTTATCTGGATTAGATTCAGGAGATATGAGCCAAGAAATTGAAGTTTTAGAGGAAAATACATTGAACCGAGAGCTTCAAATGAATCTAAGTGTGGATGTAGAAGATGTCAGCATGCAAGAAGACAGTGAAAAACAGGCCCCTTCTGATGTCACCATGGAGTACGAAATCATAACTGAACAAGACGTCACAGAGATTGAGCAAATGCACGAGGAAAAAGCTCCGTTGGTGACGGATGAACTCTTGGAGGATGTGATGGAGGAGCCTGCAGGATCTGAGGAGGTGGCAGAGGTGGACTATGACACCATTGATGCGGAGGAGGAGCAGCAGGCCCGGATGGCGGCGGAGCTGGAGGGATTGGACTGGTTCTGTCTCAGCTGTGAGTGTCTGTTGTCGGAAGAGGAGAGCAGCTCTGAGCCGCATCAGGACCACAAGGTCATCGCAGTGGACAGAGCCTACGGGGAGATCATGGTAATTAACTGACCATACACCTCTACACACCGATACACACAAACATGATAACATGATTACATATACTCTCACCAAAGGTGGAAAATATTTTCTTTCTGAAAAGGTTGATCTTGGGGTGTGAAGCCAAAAATACACCCATGTGAAAACTATTGATAGAACCAAACTATATTGCCATGAACTAAGATGGATTGATGGCTGGTTGGGTTGGGGTAGCTTGGTACCTTTCTGGTATTACTTTTAAACCCAAATATATGTACTTTCTATGCCTTACATTTTAAAGTAGCAATATGTAATATTTTCATGTCAAGTCATCATTAAATGGACCTAATATGTCAAAGGTCATCAATAAACCATGCTCTTTTTGAATACTTCTTTAACTGATAACAGTTTTTCAGCAGAGATATACAGTATTACAAATCAAGACCCCCGTCGAGCTAATCTCTTGGTAAAGTAAAATGTGGCCGAAGAACTAAAACAGGTCTCGTTATGATTCTCTAATCATTAATGATAAAATAAGGAATAAAACCAGGATTTCTATCGGGGGGCTTTGTGAAATAGTTTTTGGTTATAGATTTGTTGTTGACAAAACTCTTGTCTGTTCAGTTATTATGGCCCCAGCTGGATTCCTCTGCATATCTGGCAACCTGAGTCAGGGAGAGTTTGGGAGAGGTTGCAGTACCACTTTTGGCCAGATTTTACCATACTGCTCCTTTAAATGAATTGTTACTTAACTTAAGCAAAAAGGGAGGCTCTTGCCACCTCTGATGTTGTTAGAATATATTTTAAGATTTTATTTTATAAATAAAAACATTTTTTTATTCATTTTTAGATAAGGGCTAAGGGTCAAAATAAGCTTGACACAGATTCCTGGCCAGAGCAGCATGAAAAGTATGTTTAAACTTGACACATTTTATTTGTAGAATGTATTGAATAAATTCAAAATATAATTTTTGCATTAAAAAAAAGAAAAATGCTTAAACATCATGTGGTTATAGAAACGCTGGAAACCAGTTTCCAGCGTTTTTTTTTTATCCTTCCCTATAAAAAATATAATCAAAATGTGTATTTTCTGCCCACCTTTTTGTTAGTGATGTCAAGCCAACCTGATTATTTTTTCTTTCTGTATAAGTACAATTAATCCATGGCCATCATCTTATTAAGGCACTGTGTTATGTTAATTCAACAAGGTGTCTTAAGTTTTATGACTAATACGTTCTGATGTCACATGTGGTCGACGCTCATGATGTGATGAATGTGCAGCACTTCACTGTGACGTGAAAGTTGTGTTCAAGCTGTGGCGGATTGTGCGTCCATAAAGATGACACGTTACTCACTTCCACTGTTTCAGTGCATTCTACAGTATGTCAATGTAGATATAGCCTGACTGAGACAAAAATCCTATTTCTCTGCCACAAGATGCATCTGTTTTAGAGATTGGGGGTACTCCGCTCTTCCTCTAACAGCATGAGGCTGTGACCCACTGAAATGTGAGCTGTTTACTGGAGGGGCCACGGGATCCTATTGCACTGCCTCTCCTTCTCGTCATCATCTGTGTCAACATGGGACAAATCTTGTTTTAATGTTGAATTAGTTACAATTATTTTAAGTAGTTTTGTGTTAAACAAAAATATTTGTTGTTCTCAGGACAAGTTGAGTGATTGGATTTCAGAGCTGCAGGGGCGATCTGAGAACATTGAGGACCTGGTGTCTGAGCTAGAGTTGGCCTACAACTCAGTCGAGGTATGTTGCACAGACATCAATACACATTTTAATGTTATCATTATTATTATCATTATTATCAGGACCAATTCCATGAGAATGAGGTGGACATGCAGGCTCAGAAGGAGGAGATGATGACCCTGGTGATGGAGCAGTACAACAGCATGTCTGTGAGTATGGAGGAGGAGAAGAAGGCCAAGCTGGAGCAGCTCTACGATCAAATAGTATCGCTTCAGGAGAGCATTGAAACTGCCAAGGGCACCTTGGAAACCACGGCCAGAGAGGCTGAGACAGATGCACGGGTATGTAAAGTATCCTTTTGTCAATCTTTTGTATTCAAGATGGTTAGCTAATGAAAACTCATTACATTTTATACAGTCACCTGAAGACATTCATGGAAGGTATGTGATTACTGTAATTTTACTTGACTGGTGTGGTTGATGTGGCTTGGTGCATTTGCCTTGGTGCAGTAAACTGGTTAGATTACAAGACTTGGTTTTACACATATTTTTTCACTGATTATACAGTAAATAGGTTTGTTTGATTGTGGTACAAAATATATTGTTGTATTGTTACTGCTGTGTAGGCTGACAGCAGCTCTGGACTCCACCATGTCTCTTGAGCTTGGGCCCAAGGGACTGCTTGTTTTTGAAGACTATGCAAAGGGAAACCCTTCTAGCTCCCAGTTAGCTCAGCGTAAGGGAATAGCAGGTAAATATTATTTTGTAACTGATTCTAATGAATAAATTCAATGCAGATATATTATTCACGATGCATTTTTCATTATTGTTCCCAGTGCCTCAGAGGCCGACTCTTCAGGCCCAGGAACCAGGTTCAGCCACAAGCTCCAGTGTCACTGTTTACTGGAAGGTCAACGCTGACGATATCATCGACTGCTTTCAGGTGTACTGTATGGAAGACCCTCTGGGAGGTAGAAGTTGTAATTATTCAATACCTCCTACCCAATCTATACTACAGTATTATTACTCCTGCTCTCATCAGCTGTCTCAGAAGAATACAGAGTGACCGTTAAGGAAAGTTACTGTGTCTTGGAGGAACTGGAGCCTGATAAGACGTACAAGGTGTGGGTGATGGCTGTTAACTACACAGGCTGCTCTCTGCCCAGTGTGCGGCTTGTCTTTAAAACAGGTCAGCAATCATGAAGAGAATTATGAATATTCATGTCATTATTTATTAATTCACTGAGATGTCTGTGTTCAGCTCCATCAGTGCCTGTGATAGACATTGAGAGGTGTACGGTCATGTGGAACACAGCTGTTCTGAGGTGGAGCTCACTGGGAGAGACTGGACTGTCCTACACACTGGAGCACTGTCGCCAGTATGAACTGGAGGGAGAAGGCCTTAGGTGGGAAAACTGAAATATGAGATGTTTAGGCTCTTTAAAGGGTCCTGTCACACATTTACTTTTTGTTTGTTTTTAGAACCATCGCTGGTATCAAAAACCTTGAATATAAAGTCCTTCTTCAACCAAACGAAAATTATCTCTTCTACATAAAAGCTGTGAATGAGGCAGGTTCCAGTGAGCAGAGTGAAGCTGCGCTCATTTCTACTAAAGGTAAAACTTATTTCTTTTTACTCTTTATTTTTTTCAATAACATTATAAATATACATTTTTGGCTTGTGCTATTATTACTCAATATGAAGGAATGAAGTTTCACCTGCTAAAAGAAACAGCTCATCCTGCTCTGGAGCTGTCTGTGGATGAGACCACCCTGCATTACTCTCAGGAAACATACGATAACATGCCTGATAAGACGTATGTTATAATTATTATTACTAAACCACATGACCGAGTTAATAAAGCAGAGCTGTGTATTGCAGCTGTCCCTTCATCCTGGGCGAGCTGCTGCCAATGAGAGGAAACTTTTACTGGGAGTATGATGTTTCAAGATGCACGGACTACAGACTGGGTGTGGCTTACAGCTCTGCCGCTAGTGACAGTGTTCTAGGGGAGGGCCAGGGGTCCTGGTGCTTACAGTGCACTCCCACACTCTCTGGGTATGTACAACATTACTCTAACATTTCTCTAACATTACTCTAACATTACTGTGCGCTCCTTCATGATGCATATGTCATATGTTTTGCTTCACAGTTGCAGTTATCGCTTGCTGCACAATGATGTCCACTCCAGTCTGTTTGTGATCGACTCGCCTGAACGTGTGGGTGTATTCTTGGACCACCAGTTTGGCCGCTTGTCTTTCTACAACGCTCAGAGCGGTCAGCTGTTGGGGTCCTTCAGCGAGCGCTTGACCCAGCCCTGTCACCCTGCGCTGGGCATGGACTCTCCAGGCAGTGTGGAGGTGTGCATGGTGACGGAGGTGCCAGACTTCACTAAGGACAGTTAGCTTTGTCTAACCGAGCCATGCAGACTAATCAACTAGATTAGATCAACATTTTATATGCACATAATTTCTGCCTAAATGTATTTATTTTGCATCGCAATTTTATGAAATACATAGAGCTCAATAAATAAGACAATGCCATAAAGTTGTATAATTTATATTTCAATTAATTGTAAATGTTACAGGCAATTTGATTTTGGCCATACCCGCATGTGAAAGCCAGATCCTGTCAGACCTCTGAAGCTAAGCAGGGCAGGGCCTGGTTAGTATTGTGATGGAAGACCTTTTTGAATACCAGGTTCCACAGTGGGGCAGCTGCGGCTGTAAAGGGCCAAATAATTGTTGTGACTTCACCCACATTGCCTAGAATGAGTCTGTTGTGTGCCTGAATGGTTGGTGGTGGTCGGGGGGCCGATGGCAAATACTGGTTGCCTCGCTTCTGTCAGTGTGCCCCAGGGCAGCTGTGGCTACAGTAGTAGTTTATCACCACCGTGTATAGAGTGAAAGAATATTGACATGTGAAGCGTCCTTGAATGTCAAAAAAAAAAAAAAGATGCAATATTATTTTATCTTTTTAAACTGTACATGTAAATAGATTCAGATATGTATATATTGTATAAAAACATGTGGTCTAAATGTTCTCATTCAATAAACACTTTCAGTATTTGTTTTGTTTGCATTAATCAGTTTATAATTTCAAAAACAGACAAGACTTTTTTTTTATTCATTTATTGAAATTATATATGAAGTGGAAAGTGGCAATGACAAATGTGACAACAAAAATTAAATCAAGGAAATATCAGTCATGGCATAAAACAATGTGGAAAACACTTAGGCACGTACAAAAAAAAGGCAGATTTTCAGTGGACCCTCCATAATGAAACTTTGTTACATGAATATAGATATACATCTATTCTAAACTCTTAGTGCTTATTGTATAAACTAAATATTTTACAGTCATATACATGCACATACATATATTCTGTACACAAAGTAAAATGTGCTCATGTAATAAATAAATTATGTACAGAACCTTAAATCTATGACAGCTAAAGATTTCAATTGAAAGTAAAAATGTTCCCAGATGGATCTACCAGTCCCAGCAACTTTCTCTCAAACTTTCTTTGCTTTTCTGTTTAGCGCCTCACAAATATTTCATTCTACATCTTAGTTTAAAAACCTCACATGCATTTGTTCCTTATCAACATATCAAAAAAAAAAAACTATTATTATTTCTGTTTCCTGTCTACAATTATAAATGTCTATCCCTTTTTCCATAAGGCTGTTGATTATGCCGGAGTGGAGTTTTCATTTGCCAAACTGGGCTTGGGATCTAGGCGATGTTGTTTGTGCTGAGGACTGCTGCTGCGAAGGTTATCGTCCATCTGAAAGAAAAAACTTTTTTTTTTGCCTGCATAAAACAGCATTCTTTATACATTAGCTTTAAAAGATCAGTATGAAACAGAATGAACATACCAAATTAATTAAGATCGAGTTACTGTTTTAATGTGGTGGAAGTTAATATAAAATAGTTACATGCCATTTGACATTGAGAAGCACAATAAAAAGACAAATACCTTTTCAATGAGGTTGGATTCTTTGTTTACGAGCTGGGTCAGTTTCTGCAGATTGGCATCTTTTGTTTCTTGAACTGAAGGAGAAGCTGAAGAAGATGTCATCATTTCTCATTAATCAATTATCTTTGAAAGTGACAAATGCACTTATATTACCTGGTTGATCAGAGCTGAAATAGAGAGCAAGAATGTTCTCACAAAACTGAGTGAGGTTTTCCAGCTGACTGAGGTGAGTCTGCAGCGGACTGCTCGGGAGACTGGCTTTGCACAACGGGGCCAAGAAGCCAAACACAAACGCGTCTAGACTGGTCGGCCTATGCAGATTTGGAAAAAAATATCATAAACACCAGGTGAACTTCCTACGCCATTCCTCTGTTGTGTGAAACCATAAATGCAAATACGTACGAGCTGCCAAAGAAGTAGACTCCTGTTCCCAGTCTGTATGAGAGCAGATTAAGGCACTCTTTAGCATCAGTGTAGAGCTGAGACAAACGACATGAATACATGGTCATTCACATTAAAAGGACGTTTTATTGGAGCCAATGATTTACCTTGGCCTCGATTTCATTGATTCTGTTCAGCGGAGACTCTCCTTTCGTCAGTAGGATCCTGGAGATGGCCAGGTTGGCATGGCGACAAGGGACCACAAAGTTCAGTGGAAATGGAGAATGTGAAGCAAACCAGGGCCTTGTCACATTTGCATAGTTTTCTGCATCCACCCAGAACGTATGCAACTGGGAGGCAAAAACAAATGTATAGATGAAAATGTAATGCCAACGGTTTTATTTTTAAACACAGTTGGGGAATTATTATTTGTTTACCAAAGCTGGCCGGAGTTTCTCCTCCAATAAGGCTATGTAAGCCAGAGTATCTGCACCCTGACGTGCCGTTAACTCATAGTCTGCATTGAATCGCTGCGAGTAAAAAAATAATAAATAAATAAATCAAATATGCAACCTTGAATTATAGGTTTCATAAACTATTGTAGATTGGAAGTTCATAAGCACACCTGCTTTCTGAGGAAGTTGAGAATCTGTGTGGGATCTGTGACCGTTGACTCTCCACACGCCAACTCCGGAACTGTTGCTGCAAATGTAAATGTAATATAGTATGTGACAATGACTACTTAAATAAGCAACTATTCATGTATCAATGAGTACATCATATAATAGTACAGCATATGGTAGTCTGATTCAAGTTTTAAGTAGTCCAGAAGAACAAGGACAAACCTGTGAGTGTTTTCCATGTCCAGTCGATGGGAGAAGTCACGACTTCAGCTCCAGAGAACTTGGCATAAGCCTACAAGAAAGACACAATGCAAGTAAAATAAATGTATACCATGTTTTAATTAGCTTTATTTGAAATGTCAATTCAATCTAGTATCAACTAAAGCGCCACCATGCGGTAGGTCTCGGTACTACCGCTACAGACATCTCCACATGTCAAATCTAAAACTAAACGCTCTTCTATGCAGAACACACCTATATTCCAGTCAGGAGGAGCTCTGGGCTACAACAACACACGGAGGGGAAGGCGGGATGCAGACTACATTCAAAGCACCTGACCTTGAAGGACGAATAAATCATGGTAGAATCGAAACATGCCGCTGTTTGGCAAAGTAAGTAAGTTCATAGGAAAACAGAATACAGACAGATTATGTGAGTGTTGTTCTGTGCATTGACGCGCAAAACAAAGCACTGGGAATTAGCAAGAGTTAAATAAAACAGAAGGTGCAGAACGAGATGATAAAATGATAAACGTGCACGACATGTTCTGCTGCGTTTAGGGGAATGCGTTACCAGCACGATGAGGGACTCCGTGTGGACAGACGGAAGACCCCAGCCGCCTCCCCAACAGCGCAGCTCCATGGACAGCGCCATGTTGGCTCATAGGGGCTGGTGGATGATGACGTCATCACGCTTCCAAAGCTCTGGTCTGCGAACATATTCATAATATTTGGCAAACACCACATACATAGAAGCAAATACAACAAAACCAAACCATCCTTACAAGCAGTCAACTCCGAAATCAACAACTATATTCATTCTATAACCCTCATAAACAGCAAAAATAAAAACTCCACAGTCAAATAATTCAAAACCTTAATACATCAACTGTAAAAACTCATGTCTCCCTTTAACGCCCCCCTTAATTCTAATTTTCAATATTTAATAACAGTCAATAAAGTCATATATTTCTGTATATAATCGTCATTGTATGTTTCGTTGTATATGTGCATTTATCCTTTTTATATATATAACACACATGCCTGTTCAGATGCAGTTAAGACAGTAACTCTCAAATCATAATGACCCCTAGACACGTCACAACCCATATCAGATTTCACAAGTTTTAAAATAATAAACTCAGTCAAATCAAATTGGGCAAGCTTAGACACAACCAGAACAACATAACATCCGTCATGTGACTCAGAGAAATCAGAATATCCCTGGTTTGAGGAGCCAATTCCCGATGTGGACATTCAAGGAACCGTATCAGAAGGCGAGCGGGTTAGCGAGCATAAACTTCACCCACGAGCACTTCCCCATATCCCCATTACATCAGCTTGATTTCACACATAAAGCTGACAAACTCAATTGTCGACTTTTATGATCCCCATTTTACTTTCTCATTTGCTTACTTGAATAATTCATTTACAAAAACATATATGCGCCATTAGAACAAATATCTAAAAGCCTTAAAATTTGCCCTTTCCCAATTCTTGTTTTTTATATTTATTTTTAAGCCAAATCTTTGTTAGTGCCATACACGTAAAGTCTCACCCTTCTAGAGCAAATTCTTTTAGATTTACTGCGAATAACAAAACTTGTTGAAGATCGTAGCCAGAGGAATAGAACCTTTTGACACATTATCGAAATCTGTTTTCGCAAATGAACTCTTCAAATACTAAAATAAACAAATAAATATGGCTATAGTGTACGTTGTAGTGTACCTTACTTTACCTGGACCTCTCATAGTGCAGGTTTAAAGTAATCTAGTGGTTAGCTCTAAAATATCAAATGAATAGGCTTGTATTCTAAGACTTATAGTATCTTTCTGCACTGGCTATAAAATCTTGAATACATTAAGTTGTTTCTTGTACTTTTCACAGAATTTATCTCCACGGCACTTCAACTGCCACCACACTGGACAACAGAAGACCCTCCCATTTTCTTTAAAAGCTGAGACCACTTGGTAATCGCATTTCTTGTGTGTTTCTGGTGTAGCTTGAGTCTGTCCTGCTGTGGAACTTGTTGCAGTGGAAACTTGGTCCTGACTCTGGAGGCGTGAGGATGTCTGCCTGGACCAGAGCGGCTGCCCTTTGTCTGGGGCTTCTCCAGCTGCTGCTCCATGTCACCGCTCAAGGCATCGGTGAGTCCTGCACTATAGTTTACTTTATTAATGTTTTTAACTGGTTAAAATGTTGAACACTCAATTCTTCCTCATTTAAATAATCATCAACTTTTTTTTTTTCCAGTTTATTCTGTGTAAAGAATTGTTGTTGTTTTTTCTAAAGCTGTGATCCTACATTCAGTATATTCCTACAATAAAAAAAATCTGGAATACCGAACAGCAAAATTCTGTTTTCATCTTATAAGTAAACATTGCATCTTTACATACTGCGAGCTGATTGGCTGAGTGAAAAAGCTGATCTAAAGATGTGACATAGGCCAAATATACGTGCACGTGAAAACTAGTGACATAACCAAACTGATTGGAGAATGAGGAACTAGTTACATGGATTTTATTACATAGACCTAGTGAATTATTTGTGGTTTCAAAGTTACTCCAGCTATTATTTTGGTACAAACAACACTCCTTCAAACGCACTTAAAGACTGTTATGTAATACAGTTAAGCAAAGTTATAAATCAGCAGTAGCTTTTTGTAATTGGCTTTAACTGTCATGCCAATATTCGTAAAAAGAAAATAAAAAGTTTCCAACGACTCTAATAGTGCTATGGCTGTATGTTCTGTTTACATGTGGTTGTAGTCTACGACCTGCTGGTGTCTCCGGACTGCCTGCCTGACCTGCTCCAGGGAAGCTTAAAGAACAAGGGGCGGGACGAGGCGTTCCTCCTGTCCTCTTTCAGGCTGCACAACAAAGCTCCCACTTCTGTCTTCAGTGTCATCAACCCACGGGACAACTCCAAATACATCGAGCTGAGTGTGCAGGCCAAGCTGAGCAAATGTAAATCCTAAATCTCTGCCATAATTGAGTTATGCATAAATAATAAGTCATCTTTTCTTCATTTGTCACAGTAATTCTACGATACCAGAGAACAGATGGCAGATTTTCCACCACCAGTTTAACTCACCCGTCCCTCGCTGATGGAAGAGAGCACCACGTGATGCTACATGCCTCTGGTCTTCAGCAGGGACCCCCTCGCCTCAACATCTATGTGGACTGTAGACTAGTGCACACCGTGGATGATCTCCCAGCTGCCTTTGGTTCTTTACAGGCAGGCCCCAACAGGGTGGCTTTAAGAACCTTGCAGTCAAATGGACAGGTAACAAGATGATATTTATGTTTAAGTATAATTATGTATGTTAAAGTGGGTCCTGAACATGACTTTACTCTACGCAGGATGTGCTGACAGACCTGAAGCTGGTGATAGAGGACACTGTGGAGAATGTGGCCACTTTACAAAACTGCCATATGAGTCCCAGTGAATCTCTGCAGCTGCTGAGTGAGTTCAACTTATTGTTCTTCTCAATAAATAATAAATAATTGTAAAAAAAAAAATGACAGGTTTTCAGGAAACAAGGTCAACACAAGATCAAACCTCAATGTTGATGATAACAAGAATGCTCTCTGAGATGAAGGAGCTTCTTAATCAGCAGGTAAACATAACCCTGAGTTCCATCTTCTAGCTGTGATATGTAACTATAACTGTTTTTCTGATGCATGAAACAAAACATGTCATTTTACCAACCCATTAATGACATGAAAACTTTTGTTAAAACCTTGACCACAGCTCATAGGCACCGTTCTGAGGACATTCTTAGCACATTTCTCATGTATAACACACATAATACGTAAGTGGACGTTTTTCATTTTTCTGATAGACCCCAGGCCCAGAGGTAAACATTTGGCACAGTAAAGATAATGAGTGTGAAAAGTTGCTGACTTAAGAAATATAAAATCATTTACAAGCATCTGGCCTATTACTTTTTGAGTGATTTGATTGAAAACACAGTTCTGGGATCATAAGTAATATCACTTTTTCATAACTTTTTGACCTGTTGCATCGGTCAGCTGAGGTTGAGTAAGTAGAATAATCATCATCTAAATTTGAGGCTTAGAAAAACCACAACATATGAAAATTAAATTATAGCTTTCACTTTTTTCCATTTTGATTTATTTTGATGAGTAAAAATCCCGCTCAGTTTAATTTTTGACGATGGCCCGTTTAAAGTGATTACCAAACCAAAGTGTTCAACCATTCTTCTTCCTCTTTGTGGTTTAGATCAAGGAGACCACATTTTTGAGGAACACTATTACAGAATGCCTTGCTTGTGGTAAATTCTATTCAATCTTAAATGTTTTTCCTGTTTGTATACTGCCTTTTACCCGTTTGTCTTGTAAAGGTTTTGAGGGAAATCCCACCAAACCCAAACCAAATCAACCTCCTGGGAATTTTGTCATGACGCCAGACCCGCAGAACCTGGTCCAGTGCCCGGCAGGGACCTGCTTCAGACAGAACATGTGCATCCCAAATGAGTCTGGGGGCTGGAGGTGTGCGCCCTGCCCAGATGGATTCACGGGGGATGGTGTGCGCTGCGATGATGTGGATGAGGTTTTATTACTATCATTATTATTTCCATTTTTAAAAGACATTAAGAGGCACAAAATCTAATAATGTTTAATACAGTTCTGGCCAAGTAACCACAACAACCCGACCCATAAACAAGACATTTTTTACTAAACTGACACATGACACAATATCACATTTAGGGACACCCTCGAAAACAAGGTGGCACATCTCAAGGGATCAATCATGAGCACTGCTGGGCTTTTTCCTAATGAATTAGGGGTAGAATGCACTTCATGCACTATCATAGGATTATATTCACATATCATTTACCTAAAAATGCCAAGATCATTTAGTGCGGTAAACCACAAATATCTAAGCCTAAAATTAAAGCAAAACAGAATTTTTTGGAAAGAACCGCCCCCCTTCAGAGGGAAAGCTTCTGAAACATGTGTGAGAGACGTGCATGAACCCAGTTCTCGTGCACGCCCTGTTTACAAGTCACTGTGGCGTCGCTCACGCACTGCAGTGCAGCGTCAAACTAGCAGGTTAGCAGTCCTTCTACATTCTAAGGGCTCATTAGAAATGTTGCACAATGCACCTTTTGATGTTATATTTTATGCCATCAAAAATGTCTCCATCAAATCATATGTAAAATAAATGTGCACCAACAAGGAAAAAGTACATGTTTTTTTATGATTCTGGTGTATTCTTATGTTTAGTGCCAGTTTAATCCATGCTTCGATGGTGTGTCATGTGTGAACACGGCCCCTGGGTTTCGCTGTGACAAATGTCCTCGAGGGTACACTGGGCCTGAGCTCACTGGAGTTGGGGTTTCCTACGCACAAACTCACAAACAGGTAACTATTACTAAAGTAATGAGAATATATTTTGGACCCTTGAAAATCCTTATCAATGTTTTTTTGTTTCTTATTTCTAATATATTGTTTTCAGCTATTTTCAGAGAATCATTATTTTTATATGAAACAGAGAAAAGGTGGAATTTAATATCAGTAATAAAAACTAACCAATAACAGAAATAAATATAAGAATGAATATTGAGGTCATGTAGCAACCAGGCACTTTGGCCAACCAGGCCTAAAAGGTTAACAACTGAGGGCCATGATAATTACATGATTACATGATCATTTATCAATCTTCTTTACATTCCTGTAATAAAATACATACTATATACAGTATATATTAAAAACTCAGTCTCATATTAGCACATCAAGCCAATTGTAAAAGTTATAGTATGGCTTAACTCTTAACCTTTTTTTTACAGATGTGTGACGATATTGATGAGTGTCTGGGACCTCCTGATAATGGGGGCTGCACTCCTAACTCACAATGCCACAACACTGAGGTGATGCCTCTTTTTGTTCTCACACCTGTGGAGTACATGGTCTATGAAAAGTCATCATTGTCTCACACAGGGTTCTTTCTACTGTGGAGAGTGTAAAACTGGGTTCATTGGAGACCAGACCAAGGGCTGTCAGGGCACCAGACTCTGCCCCAATGGTTTACCTAATCCCTGTCATGCCAAAGCAGACTGCGTGCTGGCCAGAGATGGCAGTATCCGCTGTGTGGTACGAGACAAAGTAATTTATAACCAAAGATTGACTTCTACAAAAACCACGATACATTTGTCTAGTGTGGCGTTGGATGGGCTGGCAACGGTTATGTGTGTGGAAAAGACACTGATATTGATGGTTACCCAGACGATAAGCTGCCGTGCCGCGAGGAAAAGTGTAAAAAGGTATCCCAGCCACGTTCCTATTCTTTTAACTTATTTATGCAGTACATATGTTAAAAGTGTGATTACAACCCTCAGGACAATTGTGTATTTGTGCCCAATTCGGGTCAAGAAGACGTGAACTGGGACGGTACGGGAGACGCTTGTGATGACGACGCTGACAGAGATGGCATTGTGAACTTAGAAGTACGTTTTCATTATAAAGGTTTTTATAAATTGACTAGTGATATGACTGTATTGTGAGAAGGTAAAACATATACATCAAAGCTAACTCTAACCCAGAATGTTAGAAGCAACCATCTTATCAAGCTCTTATCTCAATTCAATTCTCTGGGAAATCAGCCATTTAAAGCCAAGACATATATTAGATTCACTTTCTTATGTCTGAAAGTCCTTTCTACAAGCCATCATCATGCATTATGGTTTTTTGTATTGTCACCTCTGATTCGAAAATAAGTAAACCACAATTGAGAACTTTGTGACAGTTTAATGTGGATTAGCCCAGGAATTACAGACAAATAAACGTAACGTAAACGTAACTATAAATATGAGTTTTGAGAGTTACCATAGTTACCAGCATAGATTTATTTATGCTGATCCCCTCAAAAATTTTAAACTTTAGTATCTCTCTTTGAAATCTTGTAAAATGCTCACATCCTCAACCTGTTGTGGAAGTCAGCGCTCTTCCTCTCACAATAATTGCAGCACTTTAACAGCTCTAATATAGTGTGATATCTTAGGATAACTGCTGGCTCGTACCAAATGTGGATCAAAAAAACAGCGACAAAGACCTTTACGGTGATGCGTGCGACAACTGTGTAACCGTGGACAACCCGATGCAGAAGGACACGGATCAGGACGGTGTGGGGGACGAGTGCGACAACGACATCGATGGAGACGGTGACTATAACTCTGTATTTTATTAGTTTCACACAAGTCACTCCATGAGGAGTGCCATAATGCTTCGCTCTGTGGGCGGTAGCAAGTTGTGAGGATTGTGAGTAAAGCTACTGACAAAGAATGGAAAGAACTACTTTGGCTGTGCTCTTAATTGCTCCAACAAAAGAACACACCCAAAATTAACAATATACCAAAAGGTCTACAACAGACGTAGTCGTAGTATCGTCTGTAGTATAGGATTGCACTCAAGGGTTGCATCTTGGGTTAGTAACTTTCATGAAGTTAATGCCACATCTTGTTCAAAATTATTAAACATTATTAGTATTTATTTATTTATCTCTCTTATGTACAAAAGACCAAAAACCATAAAGAGGATACATATAAATTAAACCACATTACAGAGTTCGAAAAGAGGTTGAATGTATCGGACGTTTGACCCGTCTCACTTGTTCACTTTTTATCATTAGGAAAACATTAAGATTAAGAGATCTATTATTAGTCCCTCAGTGGGAAATTTCAGTGTTGCATCACAACAAGTAGGAAGGAGGGGCACACAACACAAAATAAGTGAATATTAAGTACAACATAAAATTCTCTAATAAAGAATGAGAATATAAAATACTGTATAATGTAGTGCAAGAATTATATTCTTGTATGTAAACATCTGTAAATTTATTTCATCAAAAGATGAAGATTTTATTCAATTCATACTTTCCTCAAACATTTGCATAAACAATCATTTTACCAAGAAATCTCCCCCTTATTTTTATCTTTGATGCCAATTAGCTTTGGCTTTGTGAATACATTTTATATCATAATCATTTCTTATATCATAGGTATTTTTAAATTATATTATACTGGTTTATGTTGCATTACATCATGGGAAGGTGTAAAACCTTTTAGTAACACATTGTAAAAGGAAATTGGCAAAAAAATAACCATAACTTGTTTGCACTTCTGCCAAGTACGTCACACAAAGTCTTTATTTGAGTTGTGTTAACAAAGTTTAAAGTATCCATTAGTTTACTTTTCAAGAAGTTGTGTTTTTTTGTGGAGAAGTTAAATGTTGTGGGAGACTGGCTACACTTTCCACATCACATGGAATTAGCTGTTCTCACATTTGTAAATGCCAGGTTGCTCTTAGTGGTTCCACCAAACTCCTTATTATTGTTTATTCGTTCTTTTATTGCACTTGCTAAATGAGCCCAGATTACGGTGCATTGTGCTGCTGACCTCTCAGTCGTGTGCTTTGGTCTAAGACCAGGAGCTGGATGTCTTACTCCTTGGTCATGTCTGTCTCGTGTCTAAAGGACATTTTTTCCAATGGTTTTTTTCTGCCTGGGCTTAACTGCTTCTGGAAACTATTTCACACACATTTCACAAACACTGCCGTCTGGTGATGCATTTGACAGACTTTGATTGAGCGCTGTGATTTCCTCCAGACTTTCTTCAGTTTCAGCCTCACATACTGTAGATGTTTACTCTCAGGTCTGACGAACAATGCTGATAACTGCCCCCAAGTCGCCAATCCGGACCAGAGGGACTCAGACCGAGACAGAGTGGGGGACGCCTGTGACAGCTGCCCAAAAATGTTCAACCCAAACCAGGTCACTGCAACACACTATTATGCAATATTGTTTTTAGCTCCATTCCAGCTAATATGAGGGGCTTCACTGGCACCACGCCCCCTTCCCCTTGTTTCTGTTATCAAACACCGTAAGCAATGGAGAATCCTCAGACTACGGAAGGAAACTAAAGTATTGCCTTCAAATCTGTAACCTTTTAACTGTGTGCCTTTTGTGTCATGTGTCGATTGTGTCATGTGTCGATTGTGTCATGTGTCGATTGTGTCATGTGTCGATTGTGTCATGTGTCGATTGTGTCATGTGCAGTGTCACACTTATACCACTAGTTTTGCCCATTCTGTCCATCGTTTTACATCCATAATTTTTGTGTTTGAAGAAATTGTTTGTGACTTTGTTATGGTGAATTATTGCAGGGCAAGATTCCATAGAAATTAAACTGTAAATCAATGTAATACCTTATAGAATAATCATCATATTTTTTGGCTATAATGTTAAGGAAGCTGTTCTGACAGGATCAGGTTTGCATGTGAGGTCCTTCAAACTGCTGTCGTGACTGTGGGCTTTACAAAAAAAATATTATAAACTAATTGCAGTAAATAAGTGTGAAATCCTGTTTACATTTGGCTGGCTACAAATGGTGATAAAAAGGTGTTTTTAACAAGCAAAAATGTTATACAGGCAGTTATTACAATTAACAGTTTTATATTAAATTAAAGTCCCTGTGTTCCGCAGTCGGATTCAGACGGTGACCTCATCGGAGATAGCTGCGACGACAACATAGACAGGTACTTCTTACATTGTGTACTTTGGACTTTGTAGATACACAAGCATAGATATGAAGACTTTCTAAAGACTACTATTGTCTATCTCTAAAGCATGCGTACATAATATACAAATGTGACTTCCCACGTTCAGTTCATAATGTATATAATGAACGATAGCAAGCTTTTGGAGATGATGAAGAATGTTTGCGGAAGTTTGTAAGTGCACATAGGAAGTTATTAGTGAGGCATGGTTAAGCTGTATTAATAATTAAAATAACTAAACATTCAATAATAATAAATACATTAGCATAATATGTCTTTGTCAGTTTCTTTAATATGTATTTGTCATAGCGATGGCGATGGGCATCAGGACTCGAAGGACAACTGTCCCGATCTCATAAACTCATCCCAACTCGACACTGACAAAGATGGAGTGGTTTGAATCTGTTTTTACATCATGATAATCATTACTATTGTCTTGTTGACTCCCCTTACACATTAAAGAGGTTTCCTTTGTTTAACAGGGCGACGAATGTGACGACGATGATGACAATGATGGGATTGTGGACGCTGATGATAACTGTAGACTTGTGCCCAACACCGATCAGAGGGACATAGACAGTACTGACCCGCCTTTGACTCGCAATGTCGGCTCCAGGACTTACGCATTTTACATCTAATCTCTGCCTTTTAGATGATGGAGTGGGAGACGCATGTCAAGGAGATTTTGACAAAGATAATGTTATTGACACGATTGACCACTGCCCTGAGAACGCAGAGGTGACCCTAACAGACTTCAGGGCCTACCAGACCGTGGTGCTGGATCCGGAAGGTGACTCCCAGATTGATCCAAACTGGGTTGTCCTTAATCAGGTGAGTGCCAAGAGTTTAGTTTTCACATTTTGCAATCGCACAAAAGACATTTCGAGGAGAATCCATCAAAAAATATTACACTCCTTCACTTCTATATTCATCATTTTAATTACTGTAATACTCTATGTGGGGTTTGTCTCTGGCCGCCGACCTGGGACCCCTTATTTACCCTTATCATCTATTTCTACATTAACCCTTTAGGTGCCAAATGCTGCCAAATTCAGCTCCTGAAAAAAAACATTTCCCTACATGTCTCTTGTCTTTCATCTCCATCTCTTTCAGGGCTCCACCTTTGGTCTTTCAAACAGATAAAGGTTAATATAGATGTCTTGGGGGGGGGGGGGGGGGGGGGGTGTCATAATTAAAAAGGCAGGGAACCACTGCTCTTTATGCTTGTTTCCATGGAGATCTAGTATAATTTACATTAAGGTTCCACAATATGGCATTGCAAATATTCAAGGATGTTTCCGTAGCTCGAAAATACCTTGAAATACAAACACTACTTCTTAATGCTTGCCTTTTTAGGTCCTGTGATGGCACAGGGCCTTTCTTAGTGGAGTTTGCATATTCTCCCTGTGTCTGCATAGGACACTATACCGATAAAAACATTTGCAATGGGACTACGAATGAAAACTAACCTTGAGCTAATTCTTGTGTATTTAAAGCAGTAGCTGTTGATTGATATACACTGTCCCAATCAAAAAAGTAGATGAAATATAAGATTCATTATTTATTCATTAACCCTTTAATTTTCACTCCTTGAAGAAAGCAATGTCATTTTTTCTTCTAATAACACAAATAATCCCTAGTTTTAGGCCTTTACCAAATGATTAGGGAAACCATTAAAGGTTCAATGTATCAGTTTTGATGTAAAATCCATAACGCACAACCTGTTGCATTAAATCCCATACAAATCCATATTGTAGGCAAAGCACTAACCTGTCCACTAAATTGACTCAAGTAGGCAAAGCTGCCTTACACAAACATTACATTTCTGTTTTTATAATTATAAAGAACATAATGAATTCACCTCCACTGTCATTCATTTAACAGAATAGAATTGTTTGTGTGTCTTCAAAGGGAATGGAGATTGTTCAAACCATGAACTCGGACCCTGGCCTGGCTGTAGGTGAGTACTGACCTTTAACTAAATCTCTACATAAACGTCACCACTCTGAACTTTACTTTCCAGGATACACGGCTTTCAGTGGAGTCGACTTCGAGGGAACATTCCACGTGAACACGGTGACAGATGATGACTACGCTGGCTTCATCTTTGGGTACCAGGACTCCTCCTCCTTCTACGTGGTGATGTGGAAACAGACTGAGCAGACCTACTGGCAGGCCTCACCATTCAGGGCTGTGGCCGAACCAGGCATCCAGCTCAAGGTGCGTTAGACGTGTGTTTGCTTTGAACAAAAGAGAACAAATCCAGACTGATCTACTCTTTTAACTCCTCTGTGTTGTGTGGTGAAGTGATGGAGGACCCAAAAAGTGGGAATGCAAAAAAAAGGATTTAGTGAACACAATAAAATAAAAGTCCCAGGGTAAAAACAAATCAAAAATCCAAACAAAACTCAGGAACATAGACAGAGAAAGACAAGCGAAGACAATGGACCAGCAACAGGGTAGAGGAGCACAGTAAAAAATAACACAAAATCCACAAAATGACATTCAGATAACAGTCAAGGTGGGAGATAGATGTAGTGTATAGTTGTGCTTACTTGATTCGATTGTTTTGGCCATATTTTGGAGATTATGAATGATAACACAAAACCTTTCTTTTTGTGCTGTGTGAAGCCAGATATTGTCAACAAAAAAAAACCGTGTTGGCTATTTTTTAATTATAACATTGGAGCTATGGAGATCTCAAATGTGCAGGTCATGCAAGGTGGCCCAGAAATTTACAGGAGGCTTTTTGACAAGAAGAATGTGCAGCTTTACCGTCAGAGAGGATAGAGAACCTCATCCATAACTGCCACTAAAGATTCCAAGCAGTCAACTTTTAAACAAGTTTTTACTGTGTATTGATACATATTGCACTAGTTGTTTTGAGGCTGTGCAAAGTTTTTTTGTCCAGAGGTTTTTTTCTTTGTTTATAAAAGTAGACTGATGATTAATGACAAAAATGTATAGTTTACTGTAAGTATACTCTTTCACCCCAGTGGTTATAGTAATACAATATTTTCTAATTTTGTGCATTCTGTGGAAGTCCAACCTCTCTGCTCAAACTTTTGCCCCCACAAACCGGCAGCAGAAAAGGCGGAAGAAAATGAATGGATCGTTAGGTGCAATACTTTTATCTCAACCATGACATTTTACAGGCAGGTATTACCACAAGTTAATGTTGGAATACTGTTGACTGGACGACAAAATTTGGTCAATTTTGGCCACAACTCGTCACCAGTAGTTAGAGTGATCACATAAATGAAATGGACAAAACTGGCCCTTTGCTTTGTTTTTCATACATTTTGTGGCGTGGATATAACCTTTTTCCATCATCAGAAAAAAATCCTGAATTTGCAGCTGTCAATTATTTTACTTAATCACTGTTTTTGTGTGATGAACAGACTAAACATTTCAAACACAGGTGGTGAAGTCCAAGACGGGTCCTGGTGAGTATCTGAGGAACTCGCTGTGGCACACGGGTGACACCCCGGACCAGGTGCGACTGCTGTGGAAAGACCCTCGGAACGTGGGCTGGAAGGACAAGGTCTCCTATCGCTGGTTCCTGCAGCACAGGCCACAAGTCGGATACATCAGGTACTTTAACTTTTATTTAAACAAGTATAGATGAGAAGAAAACATGCTCTCAGGTAAAATGACTTGCCAGTGATGCTGAAATAAGTAATGAAAAGATGGGAAAAATTGTAAATTGTGCATGCACTGCTAACACACAGAATATACAAGCGTGCATCATGTCATCTCTAACAGACCGTAGGCCGTATATCAGGACCTGGTTTTGTGTTTTTAGGGCACGATTCTTCGAGGGCTCAGATTTGGTTGCGGACACAGGACTCCTCATCGACACGAGCATGAGAGGAGGGCGGCTCGGGGTCTTCTGTTTCTCACAGGAAAACATCATCTGGTCAGACCTCAAGTATCGGTGCAATGGTGAGTGTCTGATTCCACCTTATGTTAAGACTCAAGTCTGAACTCTTTTAACCATTTCAACAGACACAATTCCAGTGGATTACCAGGATCTCAATGCTCAGGGGACAGAGTGATGTCATCTTTCATCAAAGTGAACTGTATTGACATGTCATGTATTACTTTATTCATGAAATTTGTTTGATGTATGCAAAATATAAAATACTTTTTATTCAATAAAAGCTATTCAACTAAATACCCTCTGTGTCTACGTGCTGTATTATTATTAATCATGAAGAAAAGAAGAAAATAGAAGATTGATGATCCTTTTTTTATTTCTCATAAGAAGAGGGGAACAGATACATTATTTGGTAAACACTTTGACCTCTTGAATGGCTGTATTATGTATAGCACCACATTCTACATTCATAGAATTCAACTATTGGTTACATGAATGTAAATTCTGTTACAAATGTAACAAATGAGTGACTGAAATCTACAAATAACTTAATAAAGTCTATTAGCGAGGGTAAGTCAGTCAGATGAGAAGCTTGCACAATATATACACAGTACAATAAAATGTGGATATATGTCTAATTTCAATTTGGCAGTAAAAATCAACAGCCAGTGTTGAATAATTTATGATACAAAAACTCTGCTACATGATCACTACCTTTAAAAGCCACATGTAACAGTAAAGGCAAAAGCAGTCGACAGCATGAAAAAGCATGGTCTTACATGTCTAAAACACATCACATGACAGGGGTTTTTCCAACACAAAAGATAATTTTAACCTGCACTTTGGTCAAGAATAGTACTTCCACGTGAGTGCAGTGTTTATCTAGCACTGTCAAACAGAGCTGACAACGTGACCAGGGCGTGAAGATGGTCCTTCAAAACACTTGGGCTCAAAAAGAGCACAGGAAAATTCAAAAACATATTCACAACACAGGTTTTGAAATATAAAAGCTTTGCATAGAAAACATCTACAAAAGGACAAATATCAAAACATAAAACAAAGATGGGGTTAAATTTAACCTGAGCTTAAACAACTTCAACAACATCCGATTATTGGATGCGTCTCCTTCACATAGTGGTTCGTTAAGACACTCAAATGCATGAGGCCTTTTGTACATGTTGATGAAGTTAAAGTTTAAGAAATAACAGGCCATTTACAGCAAATAAAACACATGATGAGAACAATGAAAGGTACAAAAAACACATTGTAAAGAGCTACAGTCCTCAAAACGTAACAAAATCCATATGAAGTTAGTGGTAGTAAAATTGACTGAAATTACCATCAAGGTATTAGCTTAAGGTAGCAAATTCTTGAGTAAGAAACAAAAGGCAATCGTCCACTTGCAACACTGAGGGTAGTGTCGGGTCGTGTTTTAAGGTAGGTCAAAGTTTGAGCTGCAGTGGAACCCCTCCAGTGGTCCCAGAGCGAGGGTGGGCTCCTAGGCTTCGAAGCGTTTTGGGCAGATCATGGGGGCAATGAGGGTCCCCATGTAAAGGAGCAGGCAGACCCAGCTGGAGGCCATCTTTATCCAGAACACAGACACGCTGCCGTCCAGCAGCTTCTCCACATTGTGGCCATCGAAGCTATAAACGAATGAAGACTGTGTCAAATACAAAACTATACAATCATGGACAACTGATTGCCCAAGACATCGACAAAAAAACTTGAGCAGAATAGTTTTGTTAGCTCTTAGTTGTGAAACTCAACTAAATATTGGAAGCAAGGTGCATTCCTCAACTGTCCTGGTCTGTGGTACGATACCTACTTCTTATGATAGATGTTTTATTGCCTTGTTTGAAATGTCTGAGTAATGCACATGTTTTTAACCAAGTATGGGTGATTTGAGTGAAGTTTCATGACAAACTGTATAAATATTCAGGAAAAACAACTTCAGACTTTTAATAGATAAGGAGAAGAATGTAAAAAAGGTCCTATTATACATTTATCCCTCTTTTAATTTCTGTGTGAAGATATTTAACTCTGATAAATGTGCATTTGCAGAAACAAGAGCAACCTTGACAGAACATCGATAGACACTACAAAACATTTTTTTAACAGATTTTTTCACTACCACGTCCCTTTGCCAATTCTTGTTTTAAGACAGCCAAGAACTTTAGAAACAATTGTATATTAAAGAAGTTTTTAATATTCCTGGATATTTTAATGAAGATAAATAAATAGATAAACACTTACTGAAACCAGTTGGTGGCTGTCATCATAACGTACAGAGAGCCGAGGAAGAAGACAAAGTGGAAGTAGGAGTAGCTGTAGATGGTGCCCTCACGCTCGTCATACATCACGTTCTGGCCTGTGCCGTTTTTCTCCTCATCAAACTCATCTGCGAGAACGACATTAAAGAAAAGCCCAGACATATATAAACATTTTTCACTCAGTAACAAATAATTGATACTTTCTGACATAGTTCCATTAATTTCCAACAGGGGGCAGTGTGGGCCTGTTCTAAACTGTACAATAAACCTCTGGCTTCACTGTCACAATATTCTCCTAGTAACAGTGACATCATGTGTGTTTTCTGACCAATACTTCCCCACTGTCCTCCATCAGGCTGAGGAATAGCAATGAGCACAGTCTGCGTGCCAACATGACAGCTTCAAGTCAGAGACAAGATAAAATGTGCACAAGGTTGAATGTTGCTCACCAGAGTCATCTCCCAGACAGAAGCAGCAACGAGCTCTCTGCAATCACATAAAAACACAGCATTACTCACAGAAAAACACATACTGCTTTTTATGAGTATTAGATTAGTTTACCTCATTCTCTGGTTCACTGTTCCTGTAAACTCTCAGCGCAGCAGAGGTTCTCTTTGTGGTGGAAGTTAAACTAGAGGGAATGAGAGGAAAATAAAATACACTGCAAAAGATATCGTCTTGGTTCTTTTCAAGACTTTGAAAAGCGTTTAGTTTGCCCCAGAATCCGAGCCTGTTTTTTAGTTTATTATTATTTCTTCAGTCCTTTGTCAACAACCATGCAAAAGGCAAGAATAATCATTATACGTTTGTGAGACAAAGAAAATGGAAACGTACGTAAATAAAAGGAGGGGGGTTCTCAAACAGTTTAAATAACAGCATTTTACCTAATTTCCCTTGAATCATTGTGTGAAATAATTGACAAAATATACTCAAAGTCCTGCCTCAGCTTATTGTCCTGCCCATAGACTGAATATTAGGATAGGACTGACTGAGTGTTGACAACACCCACGCCTCCGTTTTTGTTGAAACAGAGGCAGACAAGTTGCTATGATGGTTGCTAAGGCAAGCTGGAGTTTCCCCGTCAATGTAGTTATTTTAATGTTCAAGCCTTGTGTAGTTCATATCCGGATTTACAAAGACATAATCAAAATAAAATACCAAGAACATTTAGCAAGCTAAACCACAGATTTCTTAAGCCCAAAATGGTGAGTGTGACAAACAGTTACTGAGATTGAGGAGTTTAGCTACATTGAGTGAAATCTAAGTCAATAGGACCCAGAGCTGGAGCAAAACTCCCCCATGAGCACTTCCCTATTGGACTTTATTGAGCTAGAGGGTTAGCATTTTCCGTCTATACAGGCTATGGTCCCGCCCCACACTTTGAGAATCACTGGTGTTGATGAATACTAAAAACCCATTATATTCAATCGATGCCAATAGTGATGAGTGAAGATTCCTTTTTAAAAAGAGGGTGTGATCGTTATCAATGAAATGTGCAATGCTCTTACCAAGAGTAGAGGACACAGGCAAACAGAATAACGGTTCCAATTCCAGTGACGATCTTCCTGTCACCCTCGGAGCTAGAGAATCCAAATACACAAACGGTTTGGTTTTTCCCATCAATCTCCAGGACTGCAGACAACACAATGAGGAAGTGGATTTGGTAAGAAGTAAGACATTGCGAAACAGTAGACTTTGTACTGTGTGAACTACACTGAGAACAGAACATTTTAAAGTATATATATATAAGTGAACAATGCTCTTACTGTCTTTTGGTTTACTGGAGAAGGCTGAAAAAGTGAGGTACATCACATAGACACTGATGACTCCAGGCTGCAGCAGGCCGGATGTGGGTTGCACTGCAAAAACACAGAAACAATTAGGCGAAAGATCTCTACAACTCTCGACAATTATTGTTTACCGTACATTTCTGTATGCAAGGGGAGATGGCCACCAAGGAGATAATGAGGCAAAGACTTCCATTTATGCCTAGAAAGATTTTGTTGAGGAAACAGGCCTCAGGATGAGTGTAGAAGAGCCACAGGAAGACCACAGCTCCAACAGCAGCAGTGAACAGCATCAGCGTCACAAAGGCCAAGGCGGCATACCACAGGCGATTGTACTTCACCCCTGAACTCCTGCAGACGGCACAAAAGAAACATTCAGAGCCAATCTGGCACAAGTCAAAGAAGTAGAGAAAGAACAAAAAAAAATGAAACAGATATGATGAAGATTACGGTTTGACTTATGAACTGAAAAAACTGTCCTGGTAACAATGGGAAGTGTTTCCAATCCACATTCAGCAACAACTGCAACAAAGTTCCACATCTTCTTTGTCAGTACATATCAATTATGGTCCAATTATTTTCTCCCAAAAAAAAAAAAAAAAAAAGTGTCAATATTCATAAAACATATGCATGATATTGGCCAGAAAAGGACTTTCAGAAATAAAAATATTATAATACAGATATGTGAAGAATCTCTAATCCATCCATCCATCCATTTTCTTCCCCTTAATCCATTTCTGGGTCGGGGGGGTGGCAGTCAGAGCTGCAACCAGTACACATAGCACCAGCCCCTCACTGATCCTCCTGCAGGTGGTGAGTCCACAGGAGCTGAGATCTTTCAGTGGGGGCTTCGGGCAAAGCGGGGTCAAGTGTCTTCCCCAAGGACACAACGACAGCAGTCATCAGTGGGAGTCGTGAAGTAGGTCTTTTGGTGGGCTCGAACCTACAACCTTCAGGCTCAAAGGCCAATGCTCTACCAAATGAGCCACTGTCGCCCCCACTCTCTAATCACTATCAAAAAAATATTTTACACAAAAAAGTCAGCTTTTGTCCATGTTTATCTATTCGATAAATCTTAGTCTTAGTCTAATAACTATCCATTTTATGGGGTGTTTCTTCTTTCTGCCTACACATGCAGAAAAAGGGAAAATCTGTATTAAACAGAATCGGTGCATTGCCAAGATTCCTCTTTCCATGAGAAAACACATGACTAACTCCCTCCTGTCTGCTGGAAATGCAAAGTCTGAGTACATCCTGATCACAGTAGCAGACAAATACCAAGTAAATACACACACCCGTTTTTGAGTTAAAATGAAAGACAAAAGAATAATAGAATTGTGCTCACCAGTTTGTGTTCCACCTGTGTGCAAACTCAACCAACAGCATGAGCTGAATCAGGAGGAATAAAAAACCTCCACTAGCTCCCACATAACGCCACACTGAACAAAGACACAATATCAGAAATAAGTTTGTACCAGTGCCATTCCATTAGAAAATACTCTTGTCATTTTAAATGAAATCATAAATAATAGAGCTTCGTTTACCTTCAAGAAACTTTTCCTGTTCAGGAATGAAGAAGGCTCCAGCACAACACAGCACCAGCACAATGAACTTTATCAGCCAAAACCTGAGGTCATAACAAGAACAATTAAACTCACTGCAAATATTTAAGTTCACACGAAAAAAATGGAGAGTAAACAGTGAGGATTTACCCATTATGTATAGCTGCCCTGCAGCCAGTGCTGTCGTTTACACGTAGGGTGAAAAAGGTGAAAAATAGGAAGAAGCAGGCCATCCCAAAGCACATCTTGTAAACCGCAGAATAACCAACTAGGGTCTGGCAGTTCTTACCCGCGTTCAGCTTTTCACAGAGTTCACTGTAAAAGGGAATCTGGAACAGAGATGTCACACGACAAAAGTGAGTATTAAACTGATATCAGACAGTGGTTTCTCTTAAGAAGTGAAAAGAGACGCAATAGGCCATTTCTCACAAATGTCCGGGCCTCACAACACTCAGTGTATAGACACAAAGCACAAATGAATAAATTAACTGCCTTTTAGGAAAGAGTCCAATTTGAGTAAGAGAGAAGAGCAAAGAGAAGTCCAAACACAATATCAGCGACACAGGACACCAAGACTTAGTGGATCAATGCCAGTGACAAACATCCATAACTATAATGATGGATGGGATTGGGAACTCTGACATCGCCGGATATTTATGCATCGATTCATGAACTGCCACCTTACAGAAAATATCATTCATAATGATCAACATGAAAGGGAGCTTTAACCTTATGTTATATTTATCATGGGGGAAAAAATGGGTGAAAAAGGTGACACAATTAGTTCTGTGCACTACAATTCACAAATCATTGAGGCGATGAAGATTTAATCTTTTTCACAATTGGTAGATTTCTATTAACTGCATTAATCGTTTGAGCCCTAGTTGTCACCGTACAATGGAAAGGCTAATACAGAGCAATACATGAAGTAAAAAGCCTGTTTTGGAGTCTTGTCTCACGTCGAGGCCATATTAGCATAAATGTCCATGTCCATTGTCCAAAGGTTGTGATTGAGAAGGAAAGGGGCCAGCTGCTGTAAATCTTTCTAGAAAAGACCAACGCTCTCAGATGCACAATGACTGCTCTTTTAACTGGGGGTTTGTGTCTGTGGAAAACTCTGTGTGTGTCTGGGCATGCAGAACTTTACCTTACATCATTCAACTGTGAAAAGTGACCTGGGAGTTTGCTTAAAATGTGTAACAATCTAAGAATTTTATTTAAAGATATATATAATATGTATTTTTCTGATTCGTGATCAATCCTTAAAGTAAACTATAAAACCATAAAACAATGACAGTGATGTAATCCATAAATCTAGTTTGTGGCTCTTAAACTCACACTTCTACAGACGCTTTTTATTGTAAATCATATTTTTTCTATTGCATAAAAGAGACTATCTTCCACATTTCCTGTCTTTGGCCCAACCTGAGTGATACTATTTATACCAAATGCTGAATGTCAATTTCTCCAAAAGTTTGGTTTCATATGTTTCTTTGGCCTCTGTCATCTTTAGACCAGCTTTTTCAGACTGAAAAGTTAAAAAGACTCTTGGCCCAAAGTGTTAGAGAGTCACAACGCTCTTTCCTACAATTATGCAAAAGATAAAAATGTTTATAATTAGATAAAGAAAGCAGTTTGTGGCAGGATTTGTTCACAACATGTTTTTGCAATAATCTTCCAGTTGGGACGAACAAAATGTACTAATTATAAAGCTTTAAATGCAACATCATCCACAAACAGATTCATTTACTTGTATTGTTTTCTATGAAGTTGGTGCGTGTTCCCAGTTATCGTTATAATCATAGCATCATAGTTTAGTGGACATTTCTCTGACTTACGTCTTTCAGGGCTTCCTCCACGGTGGGTGACATCATGACCACACAGGTGACGGTGACCAACAGGAAGAAGAGCGCGTACATGAAGCGTGTTCCAGTCGACTGTTTGATGTTGGGGCAACATTTACAGCAGCAGGAGCAGGCTGCGGAGCCACAGCAGCAGGCCAGCTACAAACAGAGAGGAGAACATGTACTCAGAAAAGTCTTTGATCTGATATTTGGAGTCCGCTCTATGCTCTGATGAACCTCAACTGTCATATTGGGGGAATGATTACTGCTTGGGTCAATCTTAATGTTCTTTATCCTGGATATCTTTTACAGTTTGTCATGAACTTTCCTTTTACATTTTTAAACAAGCATGTGACTTCTCTTAGCTAAGTTAAAATAAGTTATATTGATAGAGAGGCGAGTCTTCTCACTGTTGGAATCCAGTTAAAGCAGATCTAAAATCATCCATATTTGAGGAATGTAAATGGTAAACAATAACATCTATAATATAAGAAGCCGGTATTGGCCCACTTCACTAAAGCAGTTGAGAAATATACCTTTAAGTTCTATGAGACACTTGAAATGACCACAGTAATGGTATGTCCAACTTGTTCCATTATGTTCATTATGCGAAATAGACTACAGAGGGAAGAATTACGTTTCTTTAGCACATGCTTCATGAAAACAGTTCCTGGTGGAGAAAACTACTTGGTTGTGTTTGCAAAGTCCCAAAATATAGGTCTTGACTGCTATTTACAGAACAAAGGAAAATTATACGGTTTTAACTTTTCCAGGGATATCTGCCCACTTACCGAGCCCCACCTCTGTGGTGGGAGGTGAGCACTGGAGGTCCTGACCACTGCATTAAGCCTGACACACATTTAGACTGGAATCGGCCAATATTTGGGTTGTTGTTTTATTGAATTAGACAAACTTAAGTTTGTATCTAAATCTGACTTAGATAAAGCTGAAGAGCAGATGATTCAGGACATCCCATTAGATTGCATTTCCAGACAAACTGTTCCGCACAATGACACATTGACATTTCTTATGTTGTTACATTTTAATTTAAAAGTATTGTTTTCCCTTTGTAGACTGTTTTAGTGACTTGTGCGTGTGATGCAGATCAGAAGTAAACTGGAGTGAAAGGTGGAGTGGTGTTCTAAATGACATGAATGTGTGGCATGTTACAGCTTCATGGAACAACATATTCATTGTCACATCGTATTCAAAAACTATTAAGTGGCTCCATGAGATCCCATGCTTTCTGCATTTTGGGTGAGAAACTATTTGCCTTTTATCAGAGATAATGCAGAAACAGGTCAAGGCCACTGTGGGCGAGGACACCCAGCCGAAGGAAAAAATACGTTGGTTAATACAAAGAAAGCTTTGATGCCGTCGGCAGCAACACACTGGGATCAAACACATAAAAAGGCTTTGATTCTTCAAAACAGTTACAAATTAAAATGAATATCATATAAAGTGGGAATGGTTGATGCTAATGATGAATGTGAATACATTTGAGCAGTTGTAAGAAATTCATGACAGAAAACACTGACAATTTGAACTCTGAGCAAACGCAGATTAACAGGATAATCCATTTGCTTTGTCTCAGCAGCGCCCACATGTTTCGTTCAATGGACATTTAATTAACCGCATCACACTGCAAGTACGCAAGAAAAAACAGGGCATTTAGGACGAGAGGGTGTTTAGATTTCATTAGTTCGGGGGTGTTTCACTGGAGGACAGCACACAGCGTGGGGCCCAAGTGCAAACTACGTAGAACGGATGGGAGGGAGGGGAGACAGGGGCCAATGGGGCGTCCAAAAGAATTCCACCACACATGGATACAAAAAGAGTATCCATGGTAATCCAGTGACCCTATACCACTCAAGGGCCACACATGCACTCCTCTGCAGCACGCACCAACGAGGCAACAGGTGGTCATCGTGTCCGCTTTGTAGCAGGCTCCCCTTTCAGCGACACACGGTCCACCATGAACAAAATGTGCCCAGTTCAACCCACCAACTGGTCTACTTTAGACGTTTCAAGATCTCTGACTACGTTTGTTTATCTGTGCTTGATTTTATTTCTGCTAAATATCAGATTTTTTTCATTATGATCAAAAGTTCTTTCTGTAATTCAACTTAAAATGTGAAACCATTATATATAGGGACTCATTACAAAGTGACATATTCTTTCGTTCTTCAAGCCTTGAATTATAGTTTACAGTCCTTTTTCAAAATATATTATTACAGGTTTTTTTTTTACATTTTAATTATGTAGCGCCTTTCTAGGCACTCAAGGTCGTCTTACAGAGAGTAATTATGGAATCGAACCCAGAACCTTTTTGCTATCAAGAAATAAAAAAAAAACTATAAATAACTAAATCATTTATTTCACAATGTTATTTTTGTAAAGCTTATTGGAAAATAGTGATTAAGCTTTAATCAAGTCAAAGCAGACTTGAATTATTATGTCTTGATAGTGTGTGGTTGTGTTACAATATTAAAAAAGGCAGGTCAGCCAAAAAACAAAAACAAAAAAAACACATAAGAAAGGGCATGCTCCTGGGGAACAAAGCCTTAAACTACATACACCATGATCCTTTGAGCCAGGACCGACAATGGACTCTGTGCTGCCACTCTACAGTGCGATACAAAACAGGAAACAAGGGTCATCTGACGACACATCACCCTGAGTTTACAGATTCACTCATAAAAAAAGTCCTGTTACTTATAATCACGATAAAAGCAAATCTGATTGTGCCAACCTCAGAAAGGACATTTCTAACATCTGTGCCACATTAAAGGGCAGGAACATCATCAGGCACATCGCTTAGAAGCTTTTCAAGTCGCTTCTAAACTTGGACAAATTAAAGAAGAACATTTTATCATGTTCCTGCCTGAAGTGATCACAGCAGTCACGATTCATAAATGTCCTAGTGTCAGCAGACAGTATATTGAATGTATTTCATTTTTTGTATCATCGTCATAAACATAATATTATGAGCCAGTCTGTTTTCTTCCTTTTCATCCATTGCCATGTCGCAGGGGCAGTAGTCTAAGCAGAGGCACCCAGACCAAATACTGTGCCGCGATCAGTCCTGACTTTGTTTTGTACCGATTTTAATATTGTTACAACCCTAAGATTCACACAAAAGAGTAGAGCACATTGTTGTCTGTTGCAGCATTGAGGCCATGAAGATAAACACTCTTCTCAACTCCCTTCACACACAAATATGCACCCCTATAAAAACTTCAAAACGCACAAACCGCTTCTGCCTGTGAGACTCAATGAAAACCTTTTTGCTCTGCATTTTAAATGTTTGTCCACTTTACAAAACAAAACCATATGAAATATCTCCATGTCAACAATTAATTCCTCAATAAGATTCTCATGAGGTGTAATGTTGCAGCCCAAATATCATGATCCTGAAGTTGGATCTCAGCACTGGGTGGGTACCACACTAACCACAGAGAAGCCCGACCCAGACTTCTACATCAAGACCAGTCTATTGCTTTCTTTTCTTCAGAAATATAAACTAATAATAATAATAATGAATAGAAACTGAGTTCTGCTTTCTGACTACGAGGAATCTCAAAAGAGGGGAAAGAGGAAATGAAGCAGTCTATGGAGTGTACATCTTGGCTCTTTTCACATGTTGAAACAGCTGATAATAATCCACAAGCACAGATTACATACAATGAACTCATCTTTGTCTCTTTAGGGGAAAGTTAAATAAGCACAGGAAGCAGCGGTTAGCCGTAACCCTAATCGAGCATGTGGTGGTGAACGTTGAACTACAGCTACATCTGCTTATGCAACACCAACAGCGTGGTGACACAAATGTGGGTCACTTGTGCCACAACGTGCACATCTCCGAGCTCCTCACACCAGCACCTCCTCCGCCTCCTCTTTCAGCTCCCTGACCACTGACCTCCACGGCACATTTCAAACTGAACACATCTGTTCAAACTGGCCTTTTCACTTTCACCATGCAGATAATTTTAGCACTACCGTCGCAAAAGTGTCAGCAGTTAGCATGGACGGATGGGTGGATGGATGTTGTTGCTGTATTTCAGTTATAGTCACTTGTTTTTTGCACTAAAAGTGAGTAAAGGTAAAAAGCTTGAAAATTAACTCACTTTGTTGGGGCATTTCTCAGATTTCTAAATAAATAAATAATAATATGTCACATCATTAACTGCATCATTTCTAATAAATTCAAATGATACGAATGAATTAGTGATCCAACAGAAGTCTCTAATATGGGGCACTTGAAATAATGGGAATTTCATTAATTTAATCCACACAGAAGACATGACTGAACAATCAATGTATTGCAAGCACTGACAATTGCGGTTTCAAATGCAGAGTGCTCAAGGATAAATATTTAACACTGTTTCATGAAGACAACTTTGATACTTGTCCATTTGTGAGAGCCTAATCAAGACTTTCTGTGCTTTGGCATGAAATGAAACAATCATATTTGCCAATCACTATCATATACATAGTGAACAACGTATATTATATTACAGATCAAAAGTCAAAACAACTTTATTTCTATAAACCAGAAAAATTTTTTCTATACACATTATGTTATATGAAAATTTCATCCACACTGTATTAGATGTAGGATCAACCTAATCTGTAATAATCAGTCTCTAATCTCCAGTCAATAGAAATATGTGGGGCTTCCTATTGAAGCTTTCAGATTCAGATTCAGATTCATTTATTTGCCATTTGCAGTAAAACCACATTGGAAAACTGTGCAAGACTACCCCGGTGTGCGCCAGACAGAGAAGACGACACACACCAGAGCTCTTGCCACGGCGCCATCTTTACGGCGCCATGCGAAGCTTTGCCGTTTTGAGAAACATTTCTTATAGTGTAGCATGAACAGGACATATTGAAACTATAGCGAACTCCTAATAATACTGGTTGTTTACCTCAATGACTCATTGTGGAGAAAAGGCTCAGACACACCCTTACATATCAGATTACAACACGATTTGAATGAAGAGAAACTCAGTGATGAAAAACCAGACTGGGCTAAAAAAGAAAAAGCCCTCGAAGCTTAAATATCTCACGAAACCATTTTGATGTGCACCTGCATTTGGCTTTGTGCTGTGATTGGCAGTTCCACTACTGTTTATATAGACAGTAGAAATGTATCCCTGCTCTGTTTTCTATACACAAAAGAAAGTCTTCCCTTCTGGCAAATAAAGCCCCTAGCAACAATCAACAAAGCCCAAGTCCAAGCTGGAACAGCGGAAAACGAATACAAGAACTTCACTGTAGCAGAGCCATGAGATGAAGCGCACATTTGCAATTGAAATGAATCATTGAATCATTCCAATAGAATCCAATATAATTTATTTACATCTGCACGAACACATACTTCCTTATTATAGATATCCCAGGTATTCAAATCTGGTTCCAGGGATGTTTACCAAAAGACTTTCATCTGCTAACTGAGAACAATGGCAGCTGAGTTGGCATTTCAGGCGGTTACGTCATCTGCAATCTGAGGTCTTGTATAGAGTCCAGACATTTTTTATATATTTAAATAAATGTACCCATCTTTCACAGCATAACGTATAATAATGTTTAGCTCTTCGATAGGACATCCTTGGCTACAGACCTATGGATCCTGAGGAGATGCTGAAAATAGCAGCAGTGACCTAGTTTGTTTGTGTGAAATTAAGAGTCAAATGTACACATAAAAGGATCATTTCAATTCATTATTCAACCTTAGCATTTAGCTGTACAGATATTCCACCACTGGACGCCACATCTTGTCCTTAATATTGAGCTGTGAGAGTTATGTCTTTAGATTATAATTGTGATGGGCAAGAGCTTGAAGAAGTCATTCTAAAAAAAAGCATTTTACACTTCTCACTATTAGTCAGGTGTAGATGAATTATGTCTGCTTTTGGGATGACCTGAGGAGCACCATCCTGCCCTAAGCCCTTGTTTCCTGCCAAAAATCCTTGTACAAGCGCCCCCCCCCCCCATCCAGACGTGGACATGGTCTCAGCCAAATGCTCACAGTGCTTGGAAAAAAGTTCAATAAAGAGTTACAGCAAAACCTCGGCTCACAACATGGCATCCATCACTGATCCTACTGTGAAATTACACAGTCCTCAAGACACACAAGCCAAATCCCATCTACCAATCTGCCTCCAGCCATGCCCATTACCCACCATCCAACTAAATCATATGGAGCAGATACATGTATGTGAAGCTCTCATAGAATGGTTCTAAAAGCGTGGATGACATTAATAATTCAGAGTGAAGGCAGCCTTGTTTCAGTCAAGTTAAATAATGAATAGTTTTTATACAGATAAATGCAGAAAGAAACACTATAGACATATTCAGAATGTCCAACTGTGTGTAGTTTTTGTAGTATATGTCCACCAAGTTAAATTACAGGCTTCCTTTAATTACTGGTTTACACTGTGGGTCAAAAACTAGTCTCTTGTCTGCTTTTTCCGTTATCCTGTTGGAACATGTGTGGATTATTTATTTTTGTAATAAATGCAGGATTAGATTTTTCTGAGTTTGGATAAAGCAACAAAGAAAAATCCGTTACAGAGAGGTCCATAAGTCACATGGACGGAAAGCCCTGTACTACTGAGATCGTTACCGTATGATTCAGGTGATTTTTTGTCAACAACGCGACATGGATGAGTGATAAAAATAGATTGACAGCATAACAGCTATAAGATCGTCTGATGGCACGGACAAAAAGTAAACATTGATCCGTGGAAAGAGTCGTGGCTTGACCTAGCAGCCGCTCACTCCATCGTGGTCCAAATTGTCGAGGGGAAAAATAAATAAACATAAAATAAAAGTCCACGCCACGCTTACCTGCGAGAAACAACACGGCGTGCACATGATGCTTCGAGATCAATACGTGAATTCCGCTTCAGAAAAAGGATCTTTTGTTTGTGCCCGAGTCTATGAACACCCGGACGCGCTCGGAGCTCTGCGTTCGTCAGCTCTCCTCCTCCTCCTCCTCCTCCTCCCGCCCGTGTCTCCTCCCACCGCGCATCGGCAACAACAGAAGCCAGAAACCCTCTGCTACAAGGACTGTACATCTAATATTTACAGTATTTAAAAAATAAAAATAAATAAAAAACGCGCTCTAAACGTGGGGAAATTGGAAATTATAACGTGTTGTGTTGTTTTTACTGCGTTGACATTATTCTGCCCGATTTTTTATTTTTTATTATTATTTTTAACGTCTTCAATCTTGTGGTACTATTAACAATAGTGGACAAACGCAAGACAAAATATTCAAGGGATCCGGCCTTGTGTAGGTCACAGGACTCCAGTCGTTGTTTAGACTAACTAACACCTGGGTTTGGTTCTTCAGGATGACGCAAATTGCAGTATACAAATTTTTCTCTATTGTCATTCTGTCTGAAATAACTGTCAAGCTGAGAATAAAATGTCCAGGTTAATCCAGTGCATGAAGGTGCTTTTTTTTTTCATTCAACAATACCAATTAAACAAAACTGCCGTATAATAGGGTCAAAAAGCAAACAGGGGCATGGCGAGGTACTAACATTGGCCATTTTGCGCCAAATTGTAGAGGTAAAAGCATAAAATAGGACGATAAACATGCTGCTTTGAGAACAATATGTTATTCATAAAACTATCTTTTGTTTTCTGCCCGAGTTTAAGTGAAAAACACAGATTATCAGTCAAGCTATATATGGAGACACATTGCTGGGTGAAGTATGGAAGCTTGGGCACTATCCTCTCCTCTTCCTTCTTTATTTGTTATTTCAGCTGTGGTCTGTTCATTGCTATTGATCCACTGTCCCATTGTCCATTTCATGGAATGATGATGGGACCTATCCTAGATTATCTAGTAGGCGTAAATAATCTATTTATTAATTTTGGGGGAAAAGAAAGAGAAATTACTACTAGAAACAAACCAACACAAAAGTATCCAAGGCATTTATTGGCCATTCTTACAAAAATGCATTTATTTAGTGCTTGTTATTTCATCACTTCAATAGAAGTATTTAGAAGACCTCCAAGAGCAGGGCCCTTGATGAAATGACCACAGTCATGTGACACATCACGCACTGGACAGCAGCAGCAGGAGCAGCAGCAGAAGCAGCAGTGGGTGTTCACATACATCAGGGAGTGGTGGTTAACTGACCATGCTTATTGTAAGAGCGCAGTCGTATTCATTCTGCTGAAAAAATCAGCTTCTTCTTCATTGCAGCTGTGGAAGACATAACATTAGTGACCCGGTGTTTAAATACAATTATAATGTACTGAACCTCCCGTCACACTGGGGTCCTGGTTCAGCACGACACAGCTCACCACTAAAGAGTATGCATGCGCCCTCTAACTTCACAATATTTAAGTACTGCAGCCAACACCCTCTCAATTACAAGCTTCCCACAAGTAGTGATGTGGATTTATAGACTGGCCATGGGAGCAGTCCTTGAGCAGACAGGCAAGCCCAAGTTTACAACATGCTAAACATTAGTTAGGTCAATGTGGGAAATCCTAAAATTTCCAGCTTCTTTTCATTCAGACTTAAACATTTGTTGCTGGTACACACGTTAGCCACTGAAACAAATCCAAACATCTAGACATAAAACTACTGTGTTTTGAGATTTATTAATCCTTGTCACATTCAATTCATTTCTATGAGAAAGAAATTAAAGTTAAATATATCTTATAGGAGCCAAACGATAATATTTGAGAAGTTAAATAAAGTTTGTATAATTTATAGAGAGTGTGCAATAAATATTTAAGCATAATTAATGTGTATACATTTTGTCACTCATTAAAAGTGTATTGATTCATTTCAACACCTTTGGCACGAATCATTGGAACTCAGTGACCCTTGACCTCCATACATGGGTGAATCCGATCATGAGAAAGGATAATAAATTGGCCAATTCCATGTGTTTCCCCTCTTTGCATCTTCTCTGAAGAGACAAAAGAACTCAAAAACAAAGATTGTTCAACATCATAGTTTAGGGGAAGGATACAAAATCCACTATTTTTATTCTTTTTGTCTGTGTCTGTGTGTGTGTGTGTCTGTGTGTGTGGTGTTGGTGTCCCCCCGGTGTCTGCCAGTTTGTATTCCAATGTAGTTTTTTCTGCAAATGGCAATAAATGGATTCTGATTCTGAAAAGCTATCAGATTAAAGCTTTCAGTTTCAACTCCAAGGAACCTTGTGAGGACACAGCACATTTGCACAAGCCAGGTTTATTTTGGAATAAGGTGCTGTGGACGGATTAAACTAAAATTGAGTTATTTGGGCAAAACAAGGGAGAAGGAACACAGAATTCCAAAAGAAACACTTGCTACCTACAGATAAACCTGGTGGTGGTTCCATCATGATGGGGCTGTGTCCAGTGCAGACCATGGATCTATAATAACTGGAAAGGGTATAACTAGCTTATAGCTGTCCCACCCACTCAGATCTCAATGTAAACTAAAACAACTCGACCTCAGCTGACAGAGAACCTACAGCTTTCAGAAATATCGGATTTTGTGGGGATTTTAGTGTCCCTTGTCATCCTGAACTTTTTTCCTTTTTAAAACCTTCGGTTTTCTTTAAATCCACACTTTACTGCCACAAACTCTGCTCCTTTCCTTCCCGCTCTGACTCCGCTCTGCTGCTGCTCTGATGAGCAGCGCTGATTGGTGAAAGCGCAGCCGAGCCCCTCTGTGCGCGTGGATGAGAGCCACACACACGCGTATTTGGCGCAATGCATCATGGGAGCTCGTCCACTTCGCAGAACCGGGAGGACCAGAGGAGGCCCAACTACAGGCGACTTCTGCTAATCTCCCGGTCTCCGTGAAGTCCCATGCACTACTGAGCACAAGCCATTCATTTGAATAGGGCGCTATCTTGTATCCCCGGGGCTTGGGGCAGACACTGGGAATCTTGTTAAAGTTGGATTCTACTCAATATCAGCATATTCTGGAGAACAATGTACAGGAATCAGTGACAAATTTGAAATTGTGCCAGAGTCTTTCAACAAGACAACGATCCTAAAATCTACTGAGGCATTCAGAGGAACAAGTACAACGTTCTGGAATGACCATCTCAGACCCCAGACCTGAATATTAGTGAAAATGTGTGTGATTTAAAAAGGGCTGCTCATGCTCAGAACCAATCAAACCTGACTGAACTACAGATGATCTTCAAAGAAGAATGGTCCAAAATTCTTCCAATTGGAAGTTATAGGAAGCGTTTAGAGCAGTGTCTCAAACGCAGCCGTGGGCAGCAAGGTATGTGGCCCCCTGGTGGACATCAACATTTAATGTCTGTGCGGCCCCCACTGAGTCAGTGCTAATATGGCACGTCATAAATCATTTTAAAGTAATTTTTTTATCAAGAATAACACCAGCATTTATTTAGCCATAAACATAATTAAATCCAGTCTACAATACAATACAAACCCTCATTGCTTTTTGTTCAGTTTTATTTCAATCCAAGCTGGACTCGTATTTAATAAAAGTAATTATTTAAAAAAAAAAATACTTTTATGATTATAAAATGTCAGATAGAATCCCTGCATGTGCCCGAATCTGTTTACTTTGATGTTCACATGTTATGCACAAGCACAAACAGTTTGAGACCCCTGGTTTCGAGGCTGTTGTTTTTGAAAAAAATATGTACAAAATAGAGATAGTTTGTGGTGCCTAAATTTGGTTTAAATAATTCTTGCACACTCTCTGTGACACTTCTAAAATATAACTGTTTGTTTCTTATATGATATATTTAATTGACATTTCTTATCCAAAACAACCAATGGATTATAAAGGAAAATCATGAAAAACTTGCAAAATTTGGTCTAGATCTACACTCTACATGGACAATGATGATGCACTGTCCAAAACTGCACGATATAGGAAAAATACAACCAGAAAACAAACCGCTTCTAAACACAATTAAAATCTGAAAGAAAATTTACTTGTCTCGAGACCAACTATTTTCCTCTTGAGTCCAACAGTTTCCTTTTCTCTCAGAGCTTCTGCTGAGCAATTAGGTCTTGGGAGTTGAGGTCCAGGAGTAGGTCCAGGCCGATTACTGAAGTATTGCATCTGCAAAGCCTATGGCAGAGCAGAAAACAGCGGAAAGCGAACAAGAATTACAAAAAGTTACATTCAACAAGAGAAAAGTGATTGTCATGTAAATGCAATTTCTGAACCAAAAACTACTGTAGTTGGCTACCAGATTTGTAGATTATTATCACTGCAGTTTTGAAGACACTAAAAACAATCTTTTGATCGATCGATAGATTGGGTAACAATGTGTGTTATTGCTGTCATTAGAGACTTCATGTTTTAGAGTTGTGTTTTGAGTGTTTAGAGTCTAAAGTAATTCAGCTACTGAAGTATCACGTGTCATCTATTATATGGCGGCACGGTGGCTGAGTGGATAGCACTCTCGCCTCTCAGCAAGAAGGTCCTGGGTTCGAATCCCGGTCGGACCAGGGCCTTTCTGAGTGGAGTTTGCATGTTCTCCCCGTGTCTGCGTAGGTTTCCTCCGGGTACTCCGGTTTCCCCTACCACTAAAAATATGTCCAATATTTCTGGCATGTGCCTCCTGTACTGGCGACCCCGCTCCCATCTCTGTGTGGAGTGAGAGACAAATGCCCATAACTAACAATTGTAAACCGCTTTGAGACTCAGATCTGCAGTGAAAAGGCGGTATATAAATAAAGATTACATTACATTACATTACATATGTTCTCTGGCCTTGCACTTCAGCTTCCCTCTTACAGAAATTGTATCTAAGCTTTATTCATTCAAGAGATAATTTACTGAAACAATTTCATTTATAAAGAAGTTAATTCAGCAGCAAGACTGAAGTAACCGACCAGTAACATGTCATGAATATCTATGTGAATCAGTGGAGTTTTCCAATGAGGCTCTGATGTGATGAGTGAGTCAATAAAACAAACTATCATTGTACCAGCCCTTGAAATGCAGGCGTTCTTTGACAAACACTGGGAGAGTCTATGGGTTTACCTGAGAGGCTGTTGTTCTTGTAGATGGATTAAAAGTAAACAGTCCCAGTAACAGTTCGAGAAGATCATCTCCAGCAGCACTGAAAATGTGTTCGAGAGGTGTACCAGGAAATATCTTAAAAGATACATAATCTGGTAGACAAGTCATTCCCTGCAGAAGGATACAGAAAGGTATTTGCACAAGAATTTAAAAAAATTAGAAAACGTTTTTAAATGACGTATACTGACAGGCCATGTCTCTTCTGTGGGAGTGCCGAGAGCCTCAAAGATTTTTGTCAACTGGTCGAGATCAGAGTCTCCAGCGAGAAAGGGTATCTATAATCACAAAAATAAAGTCAGATCCGTAAAAGTATAGCAAGACTAATGTGCATTTAATTAGGTTACTTATTTACCCTAAGTAATAACTCTGCCAATATACACCCCACTGCCCACATGTCAACACCCACACTGTACATTCTTGCCCCAAACAGGAGCTCCGGAGATCGATACCACCTGTTGAGGAGATTTTAGATCATCTTTTAATGAATACAAATATTAACACAGCATTTCCAATATGAGGACTTTCACCAGTTCCAAACATATTAATGAGTTTACCTGGTAACAACTTGATGTGTGTAGATTCTGTTTGGACTTCCAAATGATTTGGCTAAACCAAAATCAGCCAACTTCAACACTCCATTTCCATCTAACAACAAATTGTTGGGTTTCAAATCCTACACAGATAAAAGAAAATGTGCATTATGTGACATATGTAACATTCAAAATGTTTGTAGAATTTAAAAGCCTTACTCTGTGAAGGACCCAGTGATGATGCATGTACTCCAATCCCTGAAGTGTCATTAGGATATAGGCTTTAATGTTGGCTGGAGTGAGGACCAAGCTGGTGTCTTTTATAATAACCTAACAACAAAAAATCTATTCCATAAATTCGATATAGTTTTTATTGACACAAAGCTTACAATTTCTAAAGGGTGTTGTATATTATACACACCAATGACATTTTCACATTTAACAGGCAGATAAGAACACAGTCTTACCTCTAGATCTGTCTCCATGAAATCAAACACCAGACTAATGTTTGATTTGTGACCAAATGCATCTAACAACTGAAAGACAAACATATCAGGTTTTTTATTTATCTATTTTTAAAAATTGTATTTCAATGTATTTTTTTATCCATATATCTTTATGTATGATGGCCCATAGTATGTATGATTATATGCATGCATGTGTGCCTCTATGCACTATGTATGTATTCGTGAAGCTGATTAATTTACCCCAATTATATTTTGATGGTGCAACTCTTGTAGTAGTTTAATCTCTCGTAGAGCAGTTCTGTTGATGCCTGCAGACGTTACATTAATAAACTGAATGTTGCCTCCATCTTGTCGAGGCAAATGCAGGCACTGTGATACTTACCATCTTTAGCCTCAGTCCTATGCCCAACTTTTATCTGTAGAAACCATGTAGAAAAAATTATATACAACCCTATTTCCTTGAACTTGTTTTTTTTTCGTTTACCTTTTTTATAGCAACAATTGTGTCTGTAACTTTGTCTCTAGCTTTGTAGACTGTGGCAAACTGAAAGAGTAAGAGAGAAGCAAGATTATGGCATGGGCAACGCTTTGTTGACACTGACAACCAGCTAGCACTTAGCATTAGCATCATGGCATGCTCTTTAGCCTACTGACACATAGTGGAATCTTGATATCTTAGATGTGTTTGCAGACATTAGTGTCCTTTCACCTGCCCCTCTCCGAGAAAGTCCAGCTTCTCGTATCGCTTAGTTCTTGACTTCACATCCATGATAACAGCCTGTATCGGAGTCGTTTATCTGGTTTTGTTGTTAAAGTCCTCTGACTATTTCCGGGGTATTGTTTCTCATATTAACCAACACTGCCACCTGCTGGTTACTTGGCACAATAATATAGAATGGCTTTTGGATTAAACCCCTTTTCAAACTGTGTAGAATTGTTTATTTTGCATCCAATTAATTTAGCTGTTTTTTGTGAAATGTGTGTACATAGGTTTGAAATTAATAAGTAATAATTCTTGCATTCAAATAAAAACCGTAAACATCGTATTCATAAATCATTATATAGCTTAATTATATTTATTGCTTTTTGTTTTACAATACTTCAGGTTTTTTTAACGTTGTGTTCATTGAATACAACATTTTGACAGATTCTCACTGCCAGTGAAAACTTTTCTTTTCTTTAGTCATTTATGTTTTTAGAGTGAGTTTGACACTATTGGGACTCCCTGCTGTCAGTTCTGGAAGTTTTGTGATCCATGCACAGTAGAGCACATCTTTACATCACATCTCCATACAGGCCATACCCCACATCCCAGAGGATTAGGCACGGCTCTTCTCTTCTGACCCACTGCGCCCCCACCTCTCTCACACACAGACTACACTAGTGCCACTTTTAGCTTGACAAGAGGACTGTGAAGGATCAGCAGGCCTAATGCACCCCTCTTATTCTCCTCAGAAGCATGCAGCCCCTGACAGCTCACAGATTGACAGGGCCGTATGTGTGCAAGGAACCATGAAGACAAGAAAAAATACTGTCTTTTCATGTCAGAGATTGGAGTCATCACACCCACCTACAATAAAATCATAGAAAATACATGTATTTGAGAGTTCATGTGGCTGTGTCGCGTTAACAGATGGCAATGCTGTCAACCAAGTGTGTGCTTTCTGGAGTGAAACCACAATGCTGTTTATCAAAATTATAGGAAGTGGGCGTTTTGTGCAAGGACGGTTCGCTCGACCACATCCCGCCACAGGGAAGAACTTCAAATAGGAGACTTTTCACATGGTCTACTGTAAACAAGTGCACACCAGGTGGTTTTCTGATACACTACTTCATCAGACGATAATCTTTATGTAAGATTAAGACACTGCCAATCAATAGTAATAACTTATCTTATATTGAAACATGCAATATTTTGACATATTTTGCTCTGGCAGAAGATATCGCTCTCTGAGATGCAGGACATCTCTTTACGCTAACAGTTTTTATCCACAAGCTGTTATCAGTGTGAACAGAGCACTTTAATGATTTGCACTTGTTTTGAACTGTTTTAGTCGATCGATTTCACAGTGACATTTGTTTACTGTTTTATTTGTTTTATTTTTGTCTTTTAAGGTTGTTTATGTCTGTATTTGTCTGTGCACACTGGAGACTTTTGCTAATGTATTCCAATGTGGTTTTTTTACTGCAAATGGCAAAATAAACTGAATCTGAATCAAATATATGTTACATGGCATTGAACTACCCCCCCCCCCCTCTTTGCTTTATTATATCTTTTGTTAGTGGGTCTAAACACAATGTACAGCAAGGATAGTTGAAGGATATATTTATTTGTCTGTCATACAGTGAATCAGACATAGTATTGGAGGAAACAACTCTAGTTATAAGCGCTGGTGAAATAGGCCTGTAGTTCTATGGTTTGACTGGTTCAAACTACTTTACAGCCACACTGTGACATCCAGTGTTCCCAGAGGTCCCCCATCACAGTGCTAACCAGAACTTACCCTGCTTAGCATCTGTGATCTGTCAGGATCAGGCTTTCACATGTAGGTGTGACCAAAGCGCAGATACATGTTGTGTTTGGAAAATGGCACTGACTATATAAAACATCTTACCATTTCTCTCACTGTTAATAAATAGAAAAAGAACAACTCAAGACACAATAATAACACTTTTGTTGAGCTGAAAAGGGAAACGTTAAGTTTGACAAAAAGCATCTATAATTTACAAAGATAAACCTTTATGAAAACTGATGTTACATGTTATGAACAAACTTGATAACTTGATCAAATGAGTCGGCATAAACATGTTACTGTGTCATGCACCTGCTTCGATTGTGGATGGGGTTTTGGTGTTTCGTCTGTGCACATCTGACCACATGCACAGTAATAACACAACAGGATGCTGTTGGGTGGAAATCTGAGGTGTGAAGAATTATACAATACCACCACAAATTAACATTGTGTTTCTGAGAGATTCATGTGCTTCAGATGTCTGTGTTTGCTAAAAAACTGGAAAACATGTGAACAGTAAATGTAAAATGTGTGAATTTCTCTGGTTGAGGTGGGATTGCATTCACATTAACACATTTCTCTTGTGCTGACAAAAAAACGATCCGACATTAATTTTGAAAAATATTACTGTTTATCAGTGTTTAACTTAAGAGCCTCAAGTAATTAGTAATCAAACAAGGCTGTTTATGCACATTACAAAGCCAGACTTTACCTGTTGCATTTTTACAACACAATCATATGACCAGAGACACTGATGAAAGCAAATTTGTCAATGAGGTACAAAATTCTTGATTAATAGATAATGCAATTTGTTCATCACAAAAGGAGACTTGTAAAAATGTCATTTCTAAACAAAACAAGTCACATGGTGCGTCGTCTTTTTAAAAAATCACTTTGTTAGAAAGAGCCCGAACCCTTTGGGCTGAGATTTAATTGGCAGAGAATCTTCTCTTATTCCCTTTACTGTATGAAAAGTGTTAAAGAGGCCAAAAAAGACCATGCATAGAAAATAAGTGATAGAACCAAACTGAGATGGAGTTTTGTGATTAGGTACCATTTCAAAGTAAAGCAACAATGAAGAAGACAGAATAAAAAATAAAAAAAACTCACTTTTTCTGGTATACATTATTTGTTATTTATACTTTTATGAACAATGTGTGTGTACTGTATGAACTATTGTATGACTCTGTAGGCTTACTGTGTGTGTGTTCTTTCATGAGTTGGTTCACAGGCCAGCTCATCATGGTTAACGAGAATGTAACAATAACTATCATACAGTAGCAAAGGAAGGTTTCTCACCCCTCATCTGTACTTCTTAGCCTGCTTTGACTAATCCCTGTACGACTGAGAGCTTACACAAACTAATAACTATCATACATAATCTTTGCATATATAGTTCAACACAGACCAGAATGAAAATAAAACAGATCTTGTTTTCCTTCATAAAACTTCATTCTTTCAGTCACAAGAGCCAAGTGCCTAAGCCATACCACTTGTGAACGATAAATGTGGGAAGAGCCGTCGATTTATAGTTTATCTGGAGTGTGTGAGGAGCTGAAGATCACCTCTGTGCAGTGTTATCCAAGAAGTCATTTACTTCATTAACCGGAGCAGATCACCACAGCCCCAGTAATCAACCTTGTCGCACGTCCCATTAACTCCCCCCTCCATCAGCATGGGCCCACTCTCCTCCTGCATCATGTGTAAGCAGCTGCCATCAAACACTCAGTAACCTACACTTAGAGCATGTTCGCTGTCTTGTGTTGCAGGGGCACACCAATCTAAGTGTGTCTCCCCTACTGTGTGTGCTCATCCCATTAGCCCGCACAGTCCCAGGGGTATCTCAGCTCTGATGAACCATCCCCTGCCCTCTGAGATTAGTGGACTCCCAGAGAAAAGCCCTTCATTGATTAAACATGTTTCTCCTCTCGCCACAATGTCAGCTCAAGGTTACTGTGCATCTAAAGTGCTCATGCAAAAGAGGAGTGCGAGTAGCCTTACATCTATATGAATATTATATGGCTTTGAACTCCCTCCAGCATTAATGTGTCATGTTGTCAATAGTCTAAACACAGTGTACGTAAACGACATTTAGATAAAGGCTCTTCTGTCATATAGTGAATCTTGTCAAAAAATGATTGGAGGAAACAACTTATAACTATTAGTGCTGGTGTAATAGTCCTATGGCTTTTACTGAGTCTAACTGTTGATAGATTTGTTTACTCACATTCCCCAAAGTGTGCAACTGTGTTTTCATACCAAAAGCCTTGATGTAAAGAAGGAGTTCAAAGTAACATCTGTATTAATCCTATAGAACTGCAATTGAAAGTATTGGATGTTGTGAACAAAGGAAGTAACATTGATACAAGTGTTTGTACTATGAGCAAGCATTTATTGGCAGGTTAAGAAACCAGGGCAAACCTCTTTGTAAATGCCACAATTGATTTTTTTTATGTAGCAACTTGATGAACATGAATGATGCGGTGGATTTCTTGCAGCGGTGACTAGAGATGAGAGGATTATGGAGATATTTAGATCTGTCTCCCGTTCCTCTCCATCATAATTCAATATTTACAGTTTAAGCTGGAAAACTGCTCCCTCCTGGCTGCCGGTATCTTGTATCCATGGCAACAGAAGAGGAGAGAGTGAGTGTGTATATGTACGCAAGTGTGTGTGTGTATGTGTATGTGTGTTTGTGTGCACGAGTATGTGTGTGTGTGTTTGTGTGCACGTGTGTAAGTGTGTGTGTGTTTGTGTGCATGTGTGTGTATTGTTTACAGATAGACTGAGATTGATTGGTGGTAGGGGAGCAGCTGTTGAAACCTCACCCTCAGGGGTCTTTCTGTATTCTTGCACACATCCCAAATCAATAAACTTGCACACATGACACAGGATTATTATTCAGTGTTTGAAATTGTCTGCTGCTTTTTCTTTGTAATTGTATAACATTGTTTTTTATCCATTTAGTCCCCAGAGAAAAGTCAATGCCTATATATTTTTTGATTATCAAAGACACTTGTCAATTGTTTCCTGTGTTATATTGATATCTATCCATACTTAACATAATGATTATTCTAATACTTAGCTGAAACTAATTACAAAATTGTCCATCCGGCTGCCTACTGTTATTAAATGTGCTCTGACCCTGAGCTCATTCAGGAGTAAACTAAATCTCACATGTTTAGATTTTCTTATCCATAGGCAGTGCTGTTATCTCATTTGTGATTTGATTACATTGTATTTGAAATGCACATCAAGTTACAATCCAGTATGAAATGTGCTATATAAATTACATATCATCATCCACAAGTGTTCAAATCCGGTCTAAACTTCTGAAAAATCTCCACAGAAACCAGCTTGTCCAAAACTCAAATAATCCCCAAAATCCCCACTATTCACCACATCACTCCGGTCATCACACATCACACATCAACCAACACACACAATAAAAAAAGTTGTTCTCTCTTTCAAAACCCAGAGCCCAACTTGGCACCTCTTATCTCTCTGACCTCCTCTTGTTCACTTCTCCTCCTCTGCCTGGTCACCATGGGAGACGGAGGTTCACCAGCGATCAGCCTTAAAACTCGGGAACTCTCTCCCTCCTGACCTCCAACAAATCACCTCTCTGACCCTTTTCAAGTCTCACGTCTAAACCCACATGTTTAGAAGGCTTCCTTTGCTTAATTCAGTATTGTCATTTGTAATTGTTGTCATTTTTATTGAATTGTTTTTTGTTTTTTTCTATTGTTGTGACTATGTTGCATAGTGACCTTGGGTGTTTAGAAAGGCACTTATAAATAGAATGCATTCTTATTATCACTTTTATTATTATTATTATTATAGTAGTAGTAGTAGTAGTAGTAGTAGTATGAGTAGTAGTAATAGTCGTAGTAGTAGTAGCAGTAGTAAGTAGTAAAGTATTAGAAGAAGTAGTAGTACACATTTTCTTCTGCTTTATCCATTGCCGTTTCTGTGCACACTTGCCCCTTCTGGACGAATCCGACGCTTTGAGAGGTCTCTCCAGATTCCATTTCTTCCCATTCATATTTTGCATTTTTTCAGTCCCAAAGGAAAGCATTAGAGTACGTTTTGCACAAGTTATTCACAACATTCACTTCAATCAAGATAAAAAAAAAAACAATAATCTTTTAAAAACACAGATATGAGTGGTTTATTGCAGGGCATAGGATAGCTCTTGAGGAGTAAATGATAGCACAAGAAAAAAACAGATTTGGTGTGGCAGTAACAACATTGCAGATCAAATTGACTCGCAGCCCAGCTTGAGCAAACACACACTGTTGATTTCTGAGACTAGACAGTGCGCCACAGCGGGGGGAGCGAAAACAAAAAAAACACAGCATTTAAAAAAAAAAAGTACTGGTAACATGTGAGAGAGCAAATCTCCCAGCGAGTGCCTACAGTTTAGACACAGGGAAGCAGTGGGCGCCCTGGGACAGCACCACAGAAAGGTCACTCTGATATCATTTGCATCGCTTGTAATGTTAAATTAGGTTTGAGATACAAGCAAGGTCACATAATGCATTCAAATATAAAGCAGAGATAGCCTGTGGTACGGTTCTTTTGTGTAGTTTTTCATCTATGACCAGAGGGAAAGCACTGGGTCACTGCTACGCTTAACCTGCACTTTCCCAAGTCCCACTCATAAAGAGTCCAGCATGGTTTCCCCTATAGCAAATTACCATAAACATCCATGCACTTTTTCATCCCGTGTGAAGAATTCATACAATATTAATTTGCTCAACGTGATTAGCATATGAAGGAGAAATGTAGATCCATGGTTTAATGTGATCTAAGCTTCTTTCTCCATCTACACAGGGTCAGATGTCCTATAATGCTCAACATATGGATTTGGAGAATCGATCGAATGATCAGGGTTGCAACTAGTCTTGATACAAACATTTACACTGATTTTAGATGCTAATGAAAAGACTCAGCAGTCGATACTTAAAATAAAACATAATAATGATATATGGCTCTCTTTAGACACACTGCCATTTTTCACACAAATAATACTTATATGGTACCAAAAAGTTTTATACAATAGATATATATCCAATCCACTGTATTTACATAGCATTCCATATATTATAAAGCAAGTTTCCAAAGTGCTGCATATAGACAAAAGTAACATACAGGTCTGACTACCTTATACAACCATATATCATGATTATTATTCAAATATGAAATAAAGGCATGTATCCAGCAAAAAGGAAGTAAATATAATATCAAATAGTCGTAATTGTTTTTTGTTATATAAATATGTGAGGAAATTAGTAGACCCGGTTTGACACATGATTTAGTGCAGCCATTCCCAAACTCAGTAACACCGAGGCCCCCTTAAAAATCTGACGGGTCTGCGTGGCCCCCCAAAATAATAACCAAGAAGACAACATTAAGAATAGGCTCTTCTGGTTATTTTATTTTGGGGAAATAGCCTCTGATACAAACATTGTAATACAAAAATGATTACAGTGGATTATTCAAGTCAAATAATGAACACAAATATTTTAATATTACAAACAAAACATTATAAATTTAACATTAAATAATTATATTATTTTTTTTATATTTTTTTTTGACCTCCCGCGGCCCCCCTGCAGTACCCTCGCGGCCCACCAGGGGGCCGCGGACCCCACTTTGGGAGACACTGATTTAGTGAAACTATCTATTATAATGAAACTGAAATAGATCTTTCATAATTACTGTAGTGAGCTCCCTGATGGCTGCCAGTTGGAGGCGGTGTCGCTCCTCCTCTCCAGCGCTCCGCGGGTCGGCCACAAGCGCTCAGTCTGTTGGGTGAGATCATTACCAGACATCAGGCTCTGACCAGGGACCTGACATTCACCGCGCTGAAGTGGAGAGGACCGGGCGCAGAGACGCACACGCACAGACAGGGGATCCTCCACCTTTGGACCTACACCCGGCGCGCTCCTGCCACATCTCCCCACTGGATCTTGTCTCGTAGTCGGATGTGTGCTTGTTTTGACTGCAGTAATAGCCCCACTCCTCCTCCTCCTTTCACCACCGTGTAGCGGATTTGCCCGGGATCTGCGCAGTTTGCAGAGTGTCCAGTTGTATAGTAGTTGGCGGCATCAGTCAATACGCACAGCTTTGAAAACGTACCACGCCATCGGACAGAAGGACTAAGTTTTCCAAGTGGATTGTTTCCGTCCCTTGCGTGTTTCTACATTGTTTTTTAACATCACGTTGCCTGCGAGATCCAGTTTTGCCTCCTTTTTCTTTTTCCAAATAAACCGCTGACGCCATTTTCCACATAATTTCAATCTCCATATATCCTGGCACTCTTTGACAGCTCCCCGGGAGAGTGTCATCTCATCTGTCGCTGGTGTAAAATGTAGCTAAATGGATTGTAAATGATCTCGATAAAATATTTACACGTACGAGCCGAGTGTGTGACAACATTAAACATGGGTAAGTAGCTCCGCTCCACTGGCTACATTCCTCACATGAATAATTTCACTCTGTCTATGTGTTTTGGCCATATTGTGATCTGTTGAGAGAGCTCTCCTTTTTACGCACGCCACCAGCTTTACTGCTACGCACGTTTCATTTTATAAGCTCCAGTGATTGTTTCATGACCACGTTTGTAGACTATGATAATGATATGAACCAGACACATGTATGACTCTTTTCTGTTGTTAGTGCCATAAAACCGCTAATGAGGTCAATCACATGCCCAAGTAATAACTGTGCCTGCCCCTGCGCTGCTTCTGCTCTTGCACCAAGCTCTTGCATACTTCCCCATGGATCCCTTCCATCAATTGAGCCAGTGATAAATACCAGTGTTGATGCAGTAGTTATTTGCCATGCGTTTTGTCATTACTTTGCCATAAGTTTGATTTGCAGGTGCGGATGTCTAAAGCTGTCTAAATTGAAATTTTCTCCACACCTGTCATGTTTTCCCAATGGAGTTGATTCTAAAGTGTATGAATCACATAACATCCATACCCCCTCTTGCATACCAATGGTTACTGGATGCCATAACTATCTCTACACTTTGGCTGTTGGCAATGTATGAATCACTGGTGCCTGTAACATTGTGGAAAGCTGGGATGGTGAGGTATGTGCCCATGACAGTTCGATGAAAGTAGCTGTGATTGAATATAGACTGGGACTTCTTATACAAGATTGGATGATTTACTGCAGTGGAAGGTGGTCCCTGAAATTGGAAATGTGTAACGAAACAAACGCTTTGAGAGGCTATTGTGAGAGGATTGACTGAGTGTGTTCAATAAGTGGTGCTGGGAGATAATTGAGGTGATTCAAACAGTATAGAACTATCGATCGTGTCTTGTTAACAGGTTCCGAAGAGGCTATACTCCTGCAGCAAATATATAAACAATCAGCATCAGCAGGCTAATAAACCTCCTATTAGGAAATTACATCGCCGTCCCACCTTTTAAATTAAAGGATGAGAAATGGATTAGGTATATCTCACTTTTTTCCAGGGATGGGATAGCTGGGTTGAAACAGGATCACACAGAAAAGGAGGAGGGAATGTGAATGAGATCCAAGGACAAATCTAACTGTTGGCAGGCTCTCTTAACAGAGTATCAGCTCTGGAGCACCTTTTGGCAGAGTACACACAGGGGAGGGAGGGAGAACAGAGGTTGGTGAGGTGTGGGGAAGGAGGAAGACAGTTGGGGAGAGTTTTTTTTTTTTTCTGACAGCCATTTTGTGGATTCTGCAGCAGGAAAATGGTTTAATATTCATCTGTGTGTGTGTGTGGGGTAGTTTGGTGGTTTGACTGCTGTCTGGCATTTGGCTCACTCAGAGGCGCACATAGCTCCCAGTCCATCTCTTACCATCACCGTCAAAGTACTCTGGCGTTCCATTCCACAAGTGTCCTTAAATGTACCTCACTGCCCTCCCATCACAGGTGTGCTATATGCTAATGATGTAATGATACAGTCAGAATGAGCACCATACACTCAGAGGCTAATTGTGAGTCTAGAGAGATTTCCTTTTTGGCTTGCCTGAAATGACCCACAGAAATATACTGATGAAACACGAGAGAGGAACATGCAGAATCAGAAACATCAGGTACATTTGCGAGTTATATCAGTGAAGAGTGGCATTACAGATGTACATGTACTGTTGAAGAGCTTTTTGAGTCCACCTCAGGCAACGGGCTGCTGGGTATACAACCTTAAAAGGCTGTGTTTCTCCTGCCATCTCCTCCTTCTTTTTCTTCTTGCCCTCAAACTTCCAAATTGGTTTACCTCCATCAATTTCTTCCATCTGTTATATGAGTACATAACTTATTGTTTAAAGATCCTGCAAATTCTGTTGATGTAATTAAGCAATATCTGTTTTGTCCATGGTCACAGACGACTCACGAAAAGTTAGATATTCAGATTTCAAGTGGAATTTCACTACAATTGCATTCTGATCTGTGTTGGTGATTTCAACGGTTTTGTTAAGTCCTCTGAGATGACTACTGTTGTGATTTAGGGCTATACAAGAATAAATTGTAATTGTGTCCATTCAGAACCTGTTGCCTAACTTTGTATAGTCCTCAGGAACTCGGGTCTCTGAGTTAGATGCTGTGTGTAACTTCCGAGTTGTGTTCTCTTTCATCTCTGGAACTCAGTACTTTGATGTCACTAATTCAATTATTTGGTGTTTAACAAAACAAACATGTCAGATAACAGCTTGTTAGCCTAACGTTTAGCATTTAATATATTTACAAACACCCATCATCTATTTTTTATTAAGCCAGAGTTAATATCAACCTTTCAGTACTGCTGAACTGTTGCACTAATGATCAGAAACACAGAAAACTCTTTCAAACATGAGGATAAAAGGAGAAATCTGATGGTGTTAGTCCCATCATCACAGCAGGTGATGTACTAGTGCTGAAGTCGGGAAGCTTCTTTTAGGGTGAGTTGTTTTTCAGACTTGAGCGAGCGTTCATGTGTATCTTCCAACTCTGAAAAATGTTCCCATCTCGTTGTGAACTTAGGTATGAGGGACTGGAAAGTCACAAAATGATGGACGTTCTTGTACCACGTTCAACACTGACGACCGCTTCATTGTAAACAATGATTTGCAGAACAAAATGATCAATACCTCTCGACTCCAGTCATATGTGAGGAAGTGTGCGCACATCAGACCTTTCACTCCGTTCTAACTGGCCATCGGACCCTCAGTGTGGTCAGTGCCAGCGACCTACCAGGGTACCTGACCGCACCAGGCAAGCAACATCATCCATTCAATATTTATGAATTGACACATAGAATGGCTGCTGGAGACCGGTTTACCTCAAATGCACTTTTTCAGATCTGAATCTCATACTGTGGGATGAGCTGTGAACCGGACACAATTGAACACTACAGTCGAATTGTAAACAGCAGGAGACGTGAACAAGCTGATATTGATGCTCACAGACACATGACAAGTTAGTTACATATTTGGAGTTTAGTTTTACATATTGTTATTATTATTATTATCATTATTATATTATTACATAACAGTGTAAGCCCACATTTCAAGGGAAAGTGAGTGGCTCCCCTGACTAAAAAGAACCATGGGATTAAATAGACTAGTTCTTGGTTTTGGGGAGACTCACCAGTGCATGTTTCTATATGCATTGTCTGATGACATTGCTGCATGAATATTTTCCATTATTTCATTTTTTGGAATGCAAAATAGGATTTTCTCTAACATTTTTAGGGTAGCTTATGTTGTTAAAATGTATTTGATTTATTTATGTTTTACTTTTTAAAGCTCAAGAAGCTGGGAGTGCATTGTTAACGAGGATAACTCGGCTTAGCCCATACTGTGCTGTTCCAACACATCTCTAAAAGTTTTGAAAGTCAAAGTCATCACAGTAATTAATTAGAACGTGAAGAATGTTTGAGAAAGTGATAACAAAGGTTAGACTGCTGCAAATACTGCAGAGTAATAGCAGGGGTCCTCACCCTCTTTGCTGCTAAGAGCTGATTCTTTTTTATTACGCAGTCAAAAGAACTAACAGTACTAACATTTTATCCATGTATTGTTATAAATGTAAAGTAATGTTAAGTAATTAAGTTTATTAGTGTTTACAATAGGAGTAGGCATAGGAATCATACAATGTTAAATATTAAGAGGATGGTTTCTAAATCCTTTTGGGAGCTTCTTGGAATGATGTGGTGATGTACTGGTAACTGCAGAGAGCTCTATGTTGGAGAACATCTTGGTTAATTTAGAATGGAATAACTGCTCTTGTCGTACTCAAAAGCAACCTTGGCAACATGAAAAGGCTGTCTATGCATTTTGTTTTCACAGTCATCTTGCAGTTTGGCACTTGTAAACGTGTGTGAGTTTAAAGCAGAGAGAAGACAGTAAGGCTTTAGCCGGGCAGGAGAGGCCCGCGGAGGGGTCAGACTTACATAAACTCCACTGACTGCCAGGAACATACAGCTCTAACACAGAGCACTTACTCAGCTTATAGGGCGCTGAGCCGGGACGCCTGTACTCATGGCCTGTCTGTTGCAGAGGAAACTCCAACCAATAGTATTAAGTTGTCATACTACAGAGCCAACGCTGAGACAGAGAGAGCAGATATAACACTGTTTTTGATCGTGTTTGCCCTGGCAGCTGTCTCTTTTCCTGTCATTGTCACTGGTCACATAACAGGGAGGATTTCACACATGCCATAAGGGTGAGTCATCAACATTCAGGAGGATGATATTGATCAAGGGAGCTTTCTAGCATCAGTAGTAGTAGATGAATAAACATATATGCATGAGGTGTCACTGAGGGCCACATCGTCATACATGACTGGAAAATACTGCGAAGTGAGGATTTCAAATGATCAGATCGTACTGCACCACCATGCTGTTAGCAAGAGCAATAAGGCATTAGCTCTGTGTCAAGGTGTCTGCCAGTATTGATAGAACTAAATATTCCCATGATAATATTCCCGTGACAAATGTGGCTTAGGTATTCAATATTATTACAAGCCTGATACTGTTTGAGAAAAGCCTCATGTAAGGGAACAAACGCAGGCGATACTGACAACAAGTCATTCAACCTCGTGAAACCAAAATAAAGCTTTTACTTGAGAATTACCTTATTTGTTGTTGTTTCTGTTTATTTGTTTACTGTGACATTAAAAAGATGGATGTACCTGATTACAGATGGAATTTTACAAATATATGTACAATATATTACAAGCCATTTCCGATGTAAACAAAGTAATAATTGTTTTTGTCTCCAAACGGAAAAGCAGTGAAAATGCCTTTTTGGTTCAAAGAAGTTGGTGCTATCACACTGCGGCAAAATGCTTGTGTCTCCTTCTCACTGAGCTTATCAAGGCTGTTCTTGCAAATGATAGATGTCTGGGAAAGTGCAGTTGTATCTGTTGAGTTATTGCTGCCATTCATTTGAACTATTAATATGGCTTTGGTGGATTGCTGTGGTGGATTACTCATTCCAATTGTAAGTATGTGCTGTTCAAAGTGTTAGGTATTACGACAGGATCAGTGCCGCGGCATGAGCTGGTACAGGACTGTGTTAAACCTGCGGTGGACTCAGGTCACTGGGCGTCTGTAGGAGCCATCATCAGGTCTGGAGGTGGTGGTCTAGCCGTGGCTGACATCAGTGTAAACAGTGTCAGTCAGAGCTCAGAATGTAGCACAGCATTCCCCACTTCCAGCTCAGTCATGTCTTGTGTCATATTGACTGATGGGATTCCCTGGAGCTGCATTGAGAAGCGCAGTCTACTGTTTGTTTTGGTAGCTTTCAGTCGGTGCAGCGGTGTGTTAGGAGCCTAGTGTAACTTGATGGCTTTTCTGTCTGAGCTGGTCATATATAACTGTGCAGCCAGTGCCTGGCATGTTCAATGGTCCATAATAGAAAAGCTGAATCCTGTGAGAAATGGCTGCCACACAAACATTGCTGTTGCAAGCAGTGAGGAAGGTGAAATCTGACAGCAACATTGTCACTTACATCTGTACTTATTTATGTAGACCATGTATTTTATGTACTTTGTGTATAGCAATGCTACTGCATGTGTGTGTAAAACATTTCAGATGGTGTTTTTTTTTTTTTTCCAGAGCAGCTCGTAAACCACATCTGGGGAAAGAATTTAGATTCCTTCCCTCCATTTTTCTCCCCAGCCTTCTCCTTTCCTTTGCACCATTCCCTGCCCCCTGCTGAAAACAGAAAATTAGTTTCTTTTTTCATCATAAATCAACCTTTTCCTTCAACATTGAAGTCAACTTTTGCATTACACGTTTAAATCAAGACAGTTTTGGACTGGAGTCCTATTCAAATCAATTCAGGTTTGCCTGGAGAAAGATCAGTCAGCAATTTTTTTTAATTTAAGTTTTTACAAACAATATGACTGTTCAGTATTTTTTATTCTTATGAGTATTTAAAAAAAAGAAATCTGAATGTATACTTCAATGTATTTCATTCCAGGCATTTTAAAATAAAAAGGCCTGCATGTTTTCATTCATAGATTTTGTGACGCACATTTTGAGGTACAACAATATCTTCATGGCGATTTAAACAATCTCCTACTAAAAATGTATAAATGTATGTTTTTCATTGATCAGACAAACCTCAGATGAACAATATTAATGTATTACCAACATATCGCCAAATAGTTTGATCCTATATTCCCCTATGTTTGCAGACTCTCCCTGGCTTTGCTGTGGTCCTATGGGACCATCCACACTACCGCAGTAGCTGAGTGACACTACGGCCCGCCCCGCACAAGGCCTCTGACTGCCCCAGGTTCACCATCCTTGCGGGTCTGGCCATAGAGTGGATGGAGCCACGGGACCTGGTTGGCTCAGCCCGACCCAAAGAGGCGGAGATACAAGGGGGAAGACTGGGTCCAAATGAAGACAACCAGGAAGCGGTTGGAGTCAGTTTGTTACGTCGTGATGATGCGATTAACGGTGCAATCAGTGAAGGGGAGGGGGTAGAGGAGCAGGGAGAGAACCTGGAGGAGCAGGAGTTCTCCATCAAGGAGGCAAGTTTCAAAGAAGGAAGCTTAAAGTTAAAGATTCAGACTACCAAGAGAACCAAGAAGCCCCCAAAGAACCTGGAGAACTATATTTGCCCCCCAGAGATCAGGATGACCATCAGGCCTCCAATGGGAGAGAAGAGTGGTCGACAGAGCCGAACATCTGGAGCAGGCGCACGAGCCTCAAAGGATGACGAGAAAGGACCGCCCCGCAAAAGGGTATGTTGTTATCAGTGGTGAAAATCTTTGTTATGAGCACATTAAGTTTGAATGAAAAGTCCCAAATAAGGTTTGTTTTACAGCTGCTGGTGTTTATACTTTGTGATGAGAGTCACTGTAGATACCCCAGCGAGAATGTAATCATTCTCTGTCACCCAATGAGCACACTGTTGTTTAATACAGCTTTACACGCAGTGGCACTAATGAGTGCAAAAAATAGTATGAAACATTAATATTGTTTCTGTCAGACAAAGACAAACCCATTTTAGGCATCTGTCTGCCGCTTTTCAAAAGACTGTGGGGGTCAGAAATTGCCATGTAACTGAGACCATGAGTGCTGGGATCACAGCGCGCACATGTAGACTGCACAGAAGCTGAGAATAGGGTTGACATAAGCGAGTGACAGCTGGTGTGTGTCCTTTCCATTTGTGGTCATATACACTAGCACCTTTCCCGTCTCCTCTTTGCTAATGCAATCAGTTTTGGCCGGTCACGCCCCTCGTCCCTCTCTATCACAGCCTTTAGTTCGGCGCAGCTTTGGAGTGTCTTACACTGTGTACGGACAGCTCCTTTGGGGAATGGGCTGTTTGCTGTGTTTGTTGACCTACATGACGGCGCGTGTGTCCAAACCTGACAGCCATCTTGATGCCGCTGTGCTCCACAAGCTCAGCAGGAGTCACATTTGCTACTCAGCGGCTGGCCTTTCTTTTGCCAATTATTTATTCATGTTTTGAAGAAGTTAAGAGCTACTTGAATTTTTGAGGACTTGGAAAGGTTTATGTGTGAGATGTGAGCGGGGTTCAGCATAACTCCGACAAACCATATTATTCTATTGGTATAAAGTAATCTTTCCGCGCAAAAACATTCTTTGAATTGTGTGTTTTCCTGGGTGTAATTATTTGGCTTTCTCTTTAAGTAGTTATTATTTAGAATGGGTGAATACTCACCCATCAAAAGACTGGTCTGGATTCTGGACTTCATATAGTCATAAAAAGTTTTGAATATATTTTACATATCAATCATATATAATATATTTATCATTTGGCAGGTGCACCCTTAACCTGCTTCTTTCAGATAAATTAGTAGTTGTCTTTAGTACAACAAAAGGAACAGGACCATGCTATACAATGTCTGGCAATCAGCAGTGCTGGCCCTATGAGAAAGCCTACTGCTACAGCCTGATTGACACAGAGGTTGTCATAGTGACAAGGGCAGCAAGCTGCTCTCTATTGAGGTCTGGTGTTTTGGGAGGGGAGCGTGGGATATGTAAGTGTTGATTGAGATCAGTTTCAAGCTTTCGTCCCTCAATCACACCCCCACCCCCCCGACCAACACTTTTTCCCTTCAGCCCAGTCATCACCTGCCACCCCAGAAGAACAACAGCAGGATCAGTGGAGAGGAACGGGTTAAAAAGCGCCACTCAGCTGTCCTGCTCCTGTCTGTGAATGTGGAGGTTAAATACTCCCTTTGTGGCCATGATGGTGATGGCTGTCCTGTTTTAGCACATCCATGCTCACTTTTTGCTTGTATGCATGTTTTTTTTTAAATTCTTTTTGGTACTAGTTCCCTCTGTTGTCTTGTAGCAGATGGCAGCATGGGGCAGCAGCCTCCGCCATAACAACAGCAATAGAGCAAGAGATGAGGGGATAGAAGGGGGATGTGGGAAGACAAGGTGGGGGTCAGGCATATGGAGAGCCTGGTTAAGGGGCCCCACAGAGGGAGTGTGCATGTGCAGAAGGGGGAAGAGTCGGCATACAATAGATGGCCATTAGGACAGAGATTTGACTCTAATAGACAGAAATAGAGAAGGATAAAGACAGGCAGTTAGGTAGGTAAATATCTGAAATGGTAGAAAGAAAGCTGTCGTGACTACATTGAAGCATAATCTGACTCATTATACAAAGTAAAATAAAGTGGCTTTCAAGCCATTTTATGTAATACATTACATCAATGTAATCTACAGTATATTGTAATTGCGTCCAAGGAATAGGACTTAACATTCAGATGTTAAAGGTCCTGGGGGCATGGCGGTGTCAAAATCATGGCTGTCAGTGTCAAAAGGAGCATTCCTCATGTTCATTGCCGCCTCTATGAGTGGGTTCCTAAGCAGCATGCTGCGTTGGCGGACAGACACACACAGGGAGGATATGATGGGCTCTTCTCTCTGTCTCCAGCTGACACCGTGCACATGCTGGACGTCCTCTCACACACCCTCTTTGTCTGCACTGGCTCCATGCATTTACAAGATGAATGCATGTCTTATAACGTATTGAGTCCTGGGTCAACCACTGCATCATTCCCCGGACACGCATGCCCACACACATATAATCTTGGAGCTTGTTACTGGTCCAGTGGCTGCACATTGGGGAGCGCACACCGGCTACAATTCTGCCCCTCTATCTTGCATTCTCACAAATACTCGCACAATTCATGTCAAGCAGTGATTGCAGTTAGAGAGTGTTTTTCTGGTTATCTGTCCAGCTCTCTGGACGTGCCAAATGTGCCTCTTAATCCATTTTGCTATCTGTGGTAAAAGATAAGGCCAAGCTTTTCCAGGAGTCTGGTGTATGGCCTGCATGTCTTTTGGTAATGCGTGTTTGTGTATTAGTGGGTGATGCTATATGCACACTTCAGAATCAGAATCAGAATCAGAATCATTTTTATTGCCACGTGAGTAACAAAGTTATCACTTGGAAATTGTTTTGGCAGAGAGCGTGCCACTTCGCCATTTGCGGCGCTGTGTGCAGCAAGAAACAGCAGAGAGCAATAACATACAGTTCACAGACAATTGGATAGACACATTGTGCTTTTTATAAACCACGGATTTTTTTCTCGGGAAGAGCACCTCTTCGGCCGGCCCAATGTAGCTGTCAGAGGGGGGCGGGATCAGGGAGGGGGTGAGTAGGAAAACAATAAGGAATGGAGGGGAGGGAGGGAGCAAGATGGATAGGTAGAGGGAGGCGGGGGTGGGGGATCCTTGCTGAAGACTTATCTTGTCCTGACAGCCCCCATGCTCAGTGGTCCCCCTGGCTGTGCATGTGTCCCTGTGTGGCGGTCTCCCAGCAGCGTCTCCGAATGATTATGTATTTGTCAAGTGCATTCACAAGAAAATTAATGCTGCCACAGACGCATCGCCATGTGTGTGTGCATGCATGTGAGATGGTTAGTCTTTTGATTTGAGCTGTTTTATCCCTGGCTGAGATGCCCGTTGGTGACCTGAGGGAGTTGATGAGCTCATAAAATAGATGAATGTGTGTGTGCAGGCGTCTCAAGGAGAGCAATCCTCCTCTGATTTATGAATTTGCATGAATTTAAGGGTCACCTCTAATATAGCCTGATCAGACTGTCACTCTGGCTCCTTTAGTAGGTGTCATTTTGGTAGAATATAACCATGTTTGATGTTGATGTGCATGTGGCCTCAGCACGCTGCCTGAAGGAGTGGGTATGCTGAGGGGCGTTTCCTTGTGGTAGATGGGGGATGGGACATGTGTATGTGTTTGTGTGTCTGCGTGTGGGGAGGGGTGAGTGATTTAGCACCGCTCAAACACCAGCTGTCTATCTGTGTCTGACCCTATACACACGGTGTACACTTTTGAAATGGACCACTTCGAGCATCTAACCTCTGATCTCTACCTCAGACCCAAGGAAAACCAGTACTAATATTCATAACGCCAACACAGCTAAACTGTTCTCATCAGTGAGGCTGCTGCAGTGTAACATGCGGACTTGACAAGGTCATTCGCAGTGATCATAAACACAAACAATTAAAGAAATGAGGACAATTGCCAGTAGATGAACCCTGACCCCAGTGGACATTGAAAACCTGTATGCGATGGCTTGGTCTCCTGTGCAGCTGTATAAGCCCTGGTGAGCTCTTCTCTATGTGTGCATTGTTGTTTGTGTGAGCAGGTCAGGGTTGAACCAACTGCAGTCTGGCCTTTGCTTTCTTCCCTTAGGGCTGGATTTGAGGTGTGCGTGTGTGCTCTGCTGACCATTTGTTTGGAAGTGTAGCTAATTTCTCAATCAGACACACACATAGCATCTTCTCAGTCGGTCCCAAAGGTCAAGACCTATTCATTGACTATTGTGTCCAGTCCCAGTGGGTCGCCGGTCCTCTTCAGGCAGATGTGGATGAGCCATAATAGGCCGTCTAGCCAGAGGTACATTTAATGAAGACCTGAGGCAGTTACTTGAGCTTAAAGAAATGCCATAGGCATAGTCTAGAAATCCCCAATTATTTCCAGGAAAATCTATAAAATTATTATATAGACTCTCTGACAGTGCCCATATGTGAAGTCGATAACAACAACGCTTCATACAATGCATATTCAGAATCATTTATGATAAATATTTCAATTATAATGTTATTGAAAAATGGTAATGAGGCTAATAACTTGCTCTGGGCTAGCATTTTCCAAACACATTGTGTGAATGCAAATGATTGCATAATGTATATGTGTTTTTGTGCGTGATGATGTTGAATGTGTAATGAACTGTGACTCACTGATGGCAGTATCTAAAGAGGGCCGGTGCTCCGTTTGGCTCATGATGAGTTCTGCTCTCTGACTGTGGTCAATCCATGAGCCTCCCAGTGTCTGAATGTCTTCTGTGGTCTATGATGAGCTAAATGATGATGTTCAGGGCAAATATCCTGTAAAATGAATGATGGAATCCAAGTAGAAGCAGTTGCAGAGTATTGGCTTTCACTGTGTCTCACTTGAAGGCTAAGTGTGTTTGTCAGTGAAATTTGATGGCCCCATCAGCTGTCTGGACGCCTCTGCCCTGTGGGGTTTGTAAATGCATGTGTTGGTAACCCTGCATGAAAAATGAGAGGACAGAACAGCGGTTAACCAGTCCTATAATCAAATTTCAACCATGGCATCAGTTAAAACCAAACCTATTTGGTGAGGAGATTACAGCGACTGACTCTCTGTACGTACAACACCCATGAAGAGTCACTCATTGTGCTGGTGTTAGATGGTTATAACTCATTTTTATTT